GTAATACAAAGTCTATAGAAGCCTAAGCCTACAAGTCGAAGCGTAGAATCCTAAACACAAAAACGTTAGCTTAACTGGCTGATCCGAGCTTAAGATTAGTTTCTTAATACTACGAGCTTGAGCCTAGAATTTAAAAGCTATGAATATTATACCTATAACAAATAATTTTTTCAAGAACCAACGGCCAGTTTTAACGCACTTTAAAGTGCTGTTTGTAGTATAATATGCTACAAAACATTCCAAAAGCTCTTAAAATCTTGTAATAAGTTATGAATTTAGAAAGTTGTCTCTCTGCTTTGTCACTACAAACGTCAAAGTATTGTTTAAAAAATGTGCTTACAATGCACTTTAAAATCATCATATAGAAACATTAAAACAAAATTGAACACATTTATTTGAAAATTGTAACAAGAGTCGGAACGTAAACTCTTTTTTATACCTAAGAAAACGTTAATAACGTATCGAAACAATGTTTTTTGTATTGTGATTATGCTAGATTAAAACTCAGAATTGTAGTTTAGGTAATTAACAAGCGGGAAATGTCTTTAACTTCTTTGAAAAACGCTCCCTTAGGAAACCCGAGTTGACCAACAATATGTTGTGTGTTATTACCAATTCTTTTCTTTAAGCTGTTTTCATCATACAAGTTAAGGCTAATGATATAGTGAATTTTGATTATAAAAGAAGTTGTACGGTCCGTTCTACAGCTTTATAAGTGCCAAATTCCATGCGAAAATTCCGGGTTGCTGCGGTTGCATTGTGGCCAAGTTTGAACTCGTGTAAAAAATGCGCAACTCGAGCTTTCCTAACAACAAATAACTCCAAATTAAAAAAATTCCGAAGAAAAAACGCGGTTAACAGATTAAACAAGCCCGAAACCTTAGGCGTTGGTAACCATTTGTTTAGGTTCTTTGTAGATCAAACAATTACTTACACTGTGCTCAAGAAAGCATATTTATTTACATATTAGCTTTATTCCTAGTTGTATGATTTGGCTGAGTAACACTTATTGTGCTCATGCTGCTGATTTTCAATGATCGTTTCTTCCACATTTTCGTAATGAATCGTCTATACTGCTTGATAAACAGAATGGCTGACAGCGCGTTCAAGACTGGGATCCAAGCCATACAACCATACACAGTCACTTCAAATCCATGCATGTCAATTTTAAACAAAATACATATATTATTAACCGTCATCGGGCCGATTGAAGTTAATATTGGGATTATGCTCTGTAAGAATTCTTTTTAAATATGTTTTTAATTCAAAAATTTTTAATTTTAAAAAATGTTCGTGCTTTCGCAATTAATTGCGTCTGGGCAATTTAAAAAAATTACCTGTATAATCATCACTCTAGTCAGTTGTTTTTGTGTAGCAATAGCTGATGAAGTTTGAAATGTTATGGTTTCGCGAAAAATTTTCACGGTTTTTGCACCATAATACAATGATGCAACGTAGATCATTGCAAATGTAGTAAACCACATGATAACCAATAAAACAGCACTGGTATTCGCCTTAAATGTTGCAATTTAAAAATCCGTTTTTCTGTTTTCAGTATTTCAACAATTTCTAACAGTATTACAGGTAAAAACAGATGTTTGTGACAAGCAAACCAACTTACTGTATCAATTTGTAAAATATTGCTGATGCGTTTATCAAAACACAAGCTTTTATATTCTTTTTTAGTTATCACAGATCCGTTTATAGTAAAAACATAAGCTGTTATTGCCGATAAAACAGCTGATATACAAGATACGACCAAATAAGATGATATCCATTGTCTTTGACTATTGTTTTGGCTCCTAAACCGTAATATATTAGCAATTTAACGTTTGGTGGTTTATAGATAGTAATTTTATCTATGACCGGACAGGAACTTTAAATCATCCACTCCCGTTCCTTTTTTAAAGCGAACCCTTGTTTTATCAAGTACTAACATAAATTCCCTGCTACTGGTGAGTAAAAAACTTACTCCGAAACGACCCTGTAACGGCAGTGACAACTAACCACCAACATAAACATAAGCATGTATACAGAGTACGAGTATACTGCAACAGTAATCACAACATAAGAAAGGTCATCTTTGCCTACACTGACTCCAATAATTAGTCCACTACTTTTAGCATTCGTTGTCTAAAAACAAAACATTAACGATTTTTCAGCATGGTTAGTTACTGTAAAAGAGTTCTTTCATCATATTACTACGTAAATCGTGGAAAAAATGTGAAAGTGTATAGTTAAACAAAAATACTTACAAAAAAGGAAGCAATACAAACTGCTTCGTAAATAATGTCGTGAATACAATATAAAACAATTATAGCTTGATAATTCTTAAGTACAGTCTTCCGCGTGCAATATATTACATACAGTAGCAAGCAACTTAGTAAAGGACCAAGCACAGCAGACGTCTTATAGCACACGCTCTCAAACAAAAGCCAGTAGTCGCAGGACATTTGTCAGTGTGGCTTATTAAGCAAAAGTAAGTTGTAATACCAAATATACTGTACCTTTTAGAACAATAAACGCCTAAAATTATAAAATGGTATTTAGAAGTTGATATTAACTTCTTAGTTTCAAAATATAAATAAAAAGTGTAAAAACAACGGTTAACCAAGGCTTATATAACTATTTGTCTACAAAGTAACCGCCTTTAATGAAAACTACAAAACTGTTTTCTCTAATGAAGTAACAATGTCCTTTTTAAACACTTGGCCCCTTTCGTGACGGATAAATGAAGATAGTCGCGGATACGCTTATGACAATTAAAATTTTATAAAGTAGAAATTCTCAATATATTCATCTTTGTCATTTGGTTACCCTACAATTTAGAGAAGATTTAAAATGTTAAAGGTCAAAACGTTGTCTACCAATTAGCTTATTGTACTCAATATAGATAAACGTTTTTCTGTCGTAAATCCTCAACAAAGCACAAACCAGAAAAACCTCTGTTGTAGCCTCACTAAGAGAAGAGACTTAAGCCTAGAGCAAACCTTAGAAGACAAAGCTTAAAAAAATTCAAATACTACAAACATATGCTTAGAAGCCTAAGTCTAATAGCCTAAGCCAAGCGTAAGTCAAACCTTCAAATGATACCTAACTTTATAATTTTACGACTGTACTATATGACTACAAACTTCAAGGCATTTTTAAAATATTGTGGCAACAATATTCAAACTTCAAATGTATTATAACACAGATCTTAAAAATTGCAATGGAAACTAGAACTCATTTTTATACCCAAGAAAACGTCAATATACCATGTATTGAGAAATTGTAATTATGCCAGATTAAAACTTAGAATTGTTGTTTAGTTAATTAACAAGCGGAAAATGCTTTTAACTTCTTTGAAAAACGTGCCCCTTAGGAGTTTACCATTGTATGACATATGTTATTACCTAATCTATGACTTAACCTGTTTTTAGCATACAAGGTAAACAGTTAATAATACAGGAACTTCTTTATAACGAATCGCTCGAGCACTGTATAATTGTTGGTTATAAGAGTTTTGGTATACACGATTTCCTCTATATTAATAAACGAACCGTTCAATTAAATGATCCAGTACGAGGATGTAGTACGAAACAAGTTCATGAAGCCTGGTCAAAGTATCACGACTGACAGCTACTGCAGTCACACAAAAAAGCTGAGACACAACCTTCCAAAAATGTTCAAAATGAGAGGCCCAAGATTCTTTAAAGAAAACGCTAGGCCCCTCGTGGCAAAAAGACAGCGACGTTCAGGTTTTTGGACTACAAAGTCTCGAATCATCCTCTGTACTCACCGGAACTTGCCCCAACCACACATTTTACTTATGAACAATTATACCAAAACCTGGCTTCGTTCCTCAATTAAACACGCTTCAAGCCTACAGACGAAGACAGGAACGCCTCCAAGAAATTCATCGGCTATATTTTTAAACAAATTTACTTTACATTCTTCAAGCGTCTACAATTACAATTCGGAAAATATAAATTAGATTATTCTGATTTTTGATGCTGTAGATTAACATGATTTTTGATGCTGTAGATTGTAGCGTACAGCGCTGATGTGCAAAGATGTTCAAGGTTCAGATGAAGGCCAACGGAGCTATCCTTAAGTCTGACGCTTCCCATCATTGGTCCTCCTAAATGGTGGGGTAAAAAAAGCTTGTGAATCGTTGGCAATATTGTATTAATTCAGGTGATAAGTAGTTTGATTCATTGTAATATAGTTCATGTTCCTGTAGTAGTGTACAACGTAACCATTACAAGCTTGTATTGATTTTTTTCAAAAAGCTTTCCAATTTTAATTTTTACTTGTCCGCCAAAATCGGCCATTCTTTTTGAAACAACCTAACAGTTGTTAATTACATTCGTAACTTTCTAGAAAAATTTTAGCCGTTCATACGTAAAAATTTTTTTTTCCAAAGGCCACAGATGAAGCTTAAGTGCAAGCCCTTATTTTTATAACAAAAAAATTTTCGTTTTCTTTACGATTACAAGTTAATTCCAGCGTTATCTTGATCAAATCGACGGTAATTTAACAAGTTTTGTACCCCACGTAGCAAAAAAGATAGTGGTATTTCTCCCGAGTTATCTAAGACAATATCTCGAGACAAAAAATATTAACAAAAGTCATTTTTGTATTCTCATCAAAGAAAATATTTATCGAATACGTAAATTTTGACGTATCTATTTTTTCAATACTTAGAAGCCCAAGTTCTAGCTAATTGTCATCATTATTAATCCTAATATCAACCTTAATCTATGGTCCTAGTGTTTAACTTTTTAACCAGTAAACTAATGCGGATATACCATACTCGATTCGTGATGATGAACCGAAAGTACATTCTTTTTCTGACCATAATTGGTTTGTTCTTAATCTACCCTAAGTTTGTACAAAATGAGACGATCAAAACCATTAAGCGAGCTAAAAAACCATTTTTACCTTTACTGAATGGTACGTATATACAACCGGAAACAGGACGTAACGGTTTGCATGCATTACCTCCGTTCCGAAACATGGATGAACACATGATTGTAGGTTTTGAAGGTAGAGTAAGGTAGAACAGAGTAGGGTAAACGTAGGGCAGCGCGAAATAGGGTATGGTGTAGCAGAGTAGAGGAAAATAGGGTAGAATTGAGTTAGATAGGATAGGGAATACAAATATTATGCAAAGTTGATATCTCTAGTACGTCGACCGCTACAAGCTAGGGGCATGCTTAGTACCAAAATGTATGTCAACTATTATTACTGGAGTCCTATGTTATTTGAACGATGACGTTGCTTTTACAAAAGCCAACAGAAATATTACTACTGAGTCATATGTGGATAGGTAAGGTAGACTTTTCATTGCACTTTACAAGTCTTCGCACTTAGTCTTAAGCTTACGCTTAAAGGCTTAAGCTGCTGTTCTTGCCTAATTGAGATTCTTAGCATTGTTTTACAAAACATTTTATGATAATTGTTTTCAGATTTTGTGGTGATGAAATTGACAGCAGAGACGTAGTACAATGGTCAATGGATCACAATAGTAACAATGAGTATACTGTTCTTACATTTGTTCGCGACCCTATCGAAAGATTCTTGTCCGCGTTTGTCGATAAATGTGACGTGTAAGAGTTTAACATGGAGTTTTAAAGTAGTTGTACTACCCTGCCCTACCTTACCCAACCCTATAGATTATTTTAGTGAACAAAGCCACCCAGAAGTATGGCGTCGTTTGGATTGCTATGGTTGCGTACGGGACGTAGACTGCTTTATTCGTGAACTTGAGAGAAGACTATGGCTGAATGTGGACGGAAGAAAACATCATTTGACCGTGATGGACGTTCATGTTGTTCCACAGACATGGTACGATTTTTTTAAAACTTACCCTATCCTGTATTACGCTACCCTGCTTTTTTATTCTACCTTTATCCCTAATTTCCTATCAAAATTAAAAAATTTTTTTCAGGCATTGCAGTATGGAGCGATATCTCTCAACATACAGAGTTTTTCGTCAAGTCTCCACCAAATCGCCCGAATACAAGGTCTTCCTCGACGAATTCAGATTCATCCTAGAGGAACGTCAAGTACCGGAGAAGCAGATAGCCTATGTTATGAATGAACTCAATCAAGGCCATACTCACCACACCACTTCGAATTCGGTCCTCAGAAAGAAGTATTTGGAAGAAATTCAGTCGAAACCAGACCTCATGAAAATACTAATTGAACTTTACTACTATGATTATATTACTTTTGGACTTCCGATGCCACAAATTTAGTTAGAAATAAATTTTTCATGATAAATGTATTTTACCCTTTCCTACTTGAACTTTCTCTACTCTACCCTACCAACCGTACCCCACCCTACCGTACCCGCCTTCTTCACCTCTATCTTACCCTACTCTACCATATCCTTCGCTACCCTATCTTATTCTACCCTACTTTAGCCGTTCCCACCTTATTTTACCCTACTCTGTCCTACTCCACACTCCATTCCGATGTACCATATTATTGTCCTTACCCTAGTAGTTATTCTCCAGCTCAATTCTCCCTCTTACCCTTCCGCTGCCTGCACTTTTTTCGTATATGTAATAGTGCCTGTTAAGCATAAATTCTTGTTTAAATTTGTCAAATTTGATGTAATAAGCCGGAAGCAATCTGATACTTATAAAGAACACCAAAAACATCAAAACGTGAGGTGACTAGGTTCAAATTAAAACAAACATTCAATGTCTGTATTGTATTTCAATCTTATCTTTATGAGGTTGTCAAATTTAAATATTATTCTTTGTAATTGGTAGTAACGTATTGTCATTACTATTGTAATTGGGTTTTGTAATTGGACATATTGCTACCGTTATTTATAAGTTACCTTTTATTTCTTCGGTAATCATCATGAGAACTGTTTTAGTTGTGTTTATATTTTTTTTGTGGTCCAGGCTAACCTGTAAGTTAAACATTTCAAAAAAATATTTCACGCTATGTTTAAACACACCTAGGGACAACATTTTTCTCATTTTAGCGCCTGTTACATTACTGCTAAACAAGATACTAAAAGATTATGACAAAAGAGTTCGACCAGTCTTTGATGACGACCTGCCAGTTGTTGTCGACGCTCAGCTAGTTTTTTCTATGTTAGTCCAAGTGGTAAGGAGTTGCCATACGTAAAAAATTAGTTTAGGACGAAAACCAACAACTATGCAGTTTTGTCATCTCTCATACTCAACAATGGACTGAGCCAAAGTTATCTTGGAATCCAGAAGAGTATTGGAACATAACAAGTGTATCACTGCCACCTTCAGTTGTTTGGCTACCTAGCTTGTTTATTTATAACAGGTAAGAAATAATACTCTTCTACCCTATCCTATCCTACCCTACCCACTGTATGTTTTTAGCATCAGCACTAAAGACATGATGCGACCGGAAAGGTTCAACATGAGGCTGCACGACAATGGAAGGGTATTCATGAACATCCCACAAACAGTGGTAGCAGTGTGTGACATGGATGTGTCGGTATGTTATTGATTATCGTAGCTTACTGCAGTCATAGACTATCTTAACCATACCTCCCTATTAAGTCCAGTCCTACCACTAGCCCGGGCCTTAACCCTATCCTCAGTCTAAGTCTCAGACCTAAGCCGCGGCCCTAATCCCTAACTAAGTCTTGACCCTAATAATGACCTTTTGCTAACATTTTTCCAGCTATTTCCATTCGACACTCAATACTGTCCAATCTCCCATACGTCGCCACTTCTGACGGTCGAAGAACAGGTCGTGACAGTACGCCAAACACCCGAAAAAGCCGACTTTAAAGGAAACCCGGAATACGATGTTATCAACGTCACCACATTTGCCTATAATATTTCGGAAAATGGCGAAACAAGAATGAGCTATGTGTTTGTGTTTCAGTTGAAACGACGACCTTTGTATTACATTATTGTCATTGTTATACCGACGTTCTTGATTAGCGCGTTAAGCATTTTTGGCATCTTTTGTAGCGAAAATGTGGCACAGTCTAGGACTGAAAAGGTAAAAAGATTGTTTGTTGTTTTGTACTAGGTTGTTCAAAAAGTAATGAACCACTAAGCTTCATAACACAAAAATTTTAAAAATAAAACAAAAAATGTCAACCATCGTATAACTTGTCACTGGCAACCTGCAGAACATCGAAATTGATGACTTAGAAGAAATGGCAACAACTTTCTTTACAAGACAAAAAATGGCAAGACCTTTCATTACAGACAAAAAACGCAAAAACTTTTAAAAAAAGAATTCAGATATCGACCGGTCTAGCCTCTCTACTCTCCCTAATAGTACTACTGGGTGTAATATCATCCGAAATGCCTAGAACCGAAAAGTTCCCTTTGCTTGGAATGTACATTTTATCAGTACTATTTGTCATTTCATTGGCTATAGTCGTATCTTTCATCGAACATACGATCCACGCCAGATTTATCGAGAAAAACGTTTTTCCGTCGTTGAACTTGTACAAGATATTACTATTGACACCGTGCAAGGATGTGAAGGAGAAAATTAAAAGCAATGGAAAATGTGTACAAAATGATTCAAAATTGGCAGCAATGATTGATAGTACTATTCGAAAGAACTCAACTGACAGTTTGGATAAAAGCAACTTGGAACAGTAAGCTAAATTTTACAACCTGTCATTCATAGCCCGATCTTACTGTACAAAACGAGTGTTTTTAGCAAAGAACAGCTGACTAACATGAACGTCATTACCCAAAAAGTCAGTGAAATACTAAAAATTCAACGAAAATTCTACGCGGACTTTGAGAAAAACGATTGGTTTCAAAAGGCAAGTTTCCTATTCTACCGTACCCTACTCTACCTTACTATACCCTACGCAACCATACCCTACCGTAGTCTACCCTACTCACTCTGCCCTACCTGATTCTACTCTATGCTACCTTAGCCACGGCTACCTCATATTTCCTTGTATTGTATTGTCATGCCCTAGTCTTGCCTTAACCCTGCTCTAGCCTTAACTCTAGCCCTATCCAACCCTGCATTGACATGCCCCCTCTTGGCCTCTAATACCCATTCCAAAACCACACATACAAAATATTGGTATGAGTTAATATTGAAGGTATGACTACATAGCCTTAGAGAAATCACAAGAAATGATGTTACGCAACTTTTTCTTGTGTAATATTATGATTTTATACCATATTTGCCTCGGTGTAAAACGACCCAACAAATTACTGAGAGTGCTGGGATTTCACTCCGTTTTTCCTCGAGATATAATCGTTCTAAGCTTAAGTCTACTGTGCCAAGGCCTAAGGGTAAGTCTACTAAGTCTGAGCCTACTAAGCCTAAGCCTACTGAGCCTGAGTTTACTAATCCTAACCCTACGACGCTTAAGCCTACTAAGTCTAAGTCTAACAGGCCTAAGACTACTAAGTTTAAGCCTACCAAACCTAAACCGACTATGCCTAGTAATAATAAATTTTCATTTTCAGGTTGAAATCGAATGGAATCGAATCTTCGGCCGTGCCGACATTGTTTTTGTAATCATATTTGAGTTTTGGAACACTGTAACACTAGCATACTTCTTTTATCATGGTACTCTTGAGCCTAGACCTATACCAGATTTTTAATTTTTTAAATTCAATAAAATTTATTTTCACAATTTAATAATTTTCATTTTTTCAATTGCATGCACTTTGTCGTATGAGCCAAGGCTACAGTATGTAACGTATAAAGCGAAACTTGAAATGTTAAGAAACACTACACTTACACAATAAAGATATGGTAAACATTGAGAAACTAGTTTTTACTTATCTACAACATTAAATGTACACTGGAAAGACATATCTTTCCACTTCGAACAGTACTTGAGTAAAATTAACAAACATTGCGGCAATACGGTGTAACCACTACACTTACAAATATAGTGTTCCGTATACTTAGAAGTTGTTAAAATTATCATTGTTACACGCTACAATTGTTTTGTGTGACATTATGTGCTATCAATAGTTGAGCTAGAGTGAGGCTAATATTAAAGACTAAGGGGTTAAGGTTTAGGAGCAATGGCTAAAGCTAGTGATTGAGCCATATCTTAATATAGGGTTTAAACTTTGGCTAGGTCTTAGGCAATGGCTTCGGCAAGAGTCTAAGCTAAGACTTGGACCAAGCCTTAGTCTAGGGCTTCGAATAGGGCTTAGGTTAGAGCTTAAGCCAGGGCTCAGGTTTAGACTAGGGTTTATGCTAAATCTTGGGCTAGGAGTAGGGTTTAGTTTAAGTCTTAGGCTTGAATTAAGGCTTATACTACGTCAATAAAACCCCATAGTAAGCCTAAGACTATAAAGCCTAAGCCTACTAACCCTGAGCCTACTAATCCTAAGCCTACAAAGCGTAAGCCTACCAAACCTCAGCCTACTAAGGCTCAGCCTACTAAGCCTAAGCCTACTAAGCCTAAGCTTACCAAGCCTAAGCATACCAAGCCTAAGCCTACTAAACCTAAGTCTACTAAGCCTAAGCCTACTGAGCCCAATTCTAAAATAAACCTAAGATTACTACGCCTTTCGTTTTTACAATAACTTTCTTTGGCTACGTGATCTATGCTCTGCTAATTGTTTATCCCTATAGAACACCGTTTCCTTTACAGTATAACGTACTGTCGTGCGCGCAAATACGATTTTTTAATACATAGTATAATAAATTGTAAAGCGGAAGAAATGTCGCACGCATTTTGAAACAAGTCTGTTTAATAACAAACCTCTTAATGCAGTATGAATCTTGCGTTTTGTAGTAAATTGCATACATTTTGAAATCTAAATACCATTACTTTAGATTGTCAATAACCATGGAGCAATGGTCAAGTACCTTAATATTAGAAATATTGATCGTTTGTTTAGTCTTGTTTATATCATGTGCCATTATATTACTACGGGTCACATATCTTCACGCACGATGCGTATCAGCGCATCTGAATATTCAGTTTGTTTCTACTATAATATCAAGTTTATTCGCTTGTCCTTTTATATTTTACATCTTATATGAATATGATGGAGATGGTAAATCAATATACTATCTTTATTTTAATCTACCTTTGCCTACCTTGCCCTACTCAACCCCACCCTACCCTATCGTACTCTAGCCTACCCTACTTTACCCCACTCTATCCTACCCTTCCATAACTTCTCAAAAACGTATCCCACCGTTAATGTTTTTTTTTCATTTTCAGATACCCAGTACTCTATGTTGGCCATGTTCTGGACTGGCACGTTATATTATCCAGTGTTCAGTTCCCTTTCTTTTAGTTTCTTCTTTCTCTCATTAGATCGACTGTTTACCTTAACATACCCTTTGCGATACACTAATAAGCATCGACGTTTATTAACGTATCTGAACGTTACTACACAAGTCTGCGTATACGTTATTACTGTAACGTTTGAAATATTGTTGTTGGATCAGGTTAGGCCTGGATATGATTGTACGTTTTCTTTGCACTGTTCCTTTGCACGTTTTCTATGGACTTTTTGTTTTGTTCTATGAACTTTTCGACCTGTTTCTATGAAATTTTTGACCTTTTTCTAAGAAATTTTTATATCCAGAATGCTATAAAAAATGATCCTAAAAACTTTTTGACCGGTTTCTACAAACCTTTTGACCTTTTCTACAAACTTTTTTAACTAAGTTTTTTCCAACGGACCTTTTCACAAACATCCCTATACTTCCTAACCAATTTTTCTAAAATTTCAGCATGTGTAATATACGGATGTGTAACAAAAGATAACGCAACACTACAAGTTATTTGGCCATTCACGCTACCTTTAGCATGTACAAATTTAGTACTTGGCCTTTCTTATTATCGTATATACGTCAAATACAGCGCGGCCAGGGTTGTTCATGGCAGTAAAAAGGTGGGTTTTGAAAGAAACGAAAATTTCAAAAAAAAAGTTTTTTAAAGATTATATTTTCATTTTTTTTTGACATATAGGCTAAGGTCTATCTTTCAGGTAAACCACGCAGCCCTATTCGCAGTATCTTTGGAACTCTTCTTCAAATTATTGCCGCAAGCATTAATCCGAATACACGCTGTAAGTTCTAGCAAAACTCGTGACAGAAGCGGTTATCAGTTCAAATCCTACAATATTTAAGCCAAAAAACGCCATAATTAACTAAAAATAACTTTTTTTGACCAATTTCTTAGTTTTATCCCGAAATATCAGAGTTTATCATCTTTAAAAATTCACTGCCACTTTAATTGCCATTTTAAAATCTTGAAATTTAAAGGACTTAAACTATATAGTATAGGCCTGATTTGCTCTAAATTTCAACTTTTTAGCTATAAAAGTGAATAAGTTATGAGCTTTGAACTGTTATCCATCTAAAACAATATAATTTTTCCCTTATTGTTTCAGTGTTTACGCCGCTATAACATTAACTTCCTGTGTAAAACATGCCGTGTTACAGTGAAAAAATGTTCATTCGAGTTCAAGAACCCAATTTTGATATTTTTAGGCAATGGGCGGAATAATGCACACGAAAATGGGACCCTTCTTGACGTACTTCCACGCTGCCGAAGTGACTTGCCTGACACTTGCGTATTGTAGTGTGCTTGGAGTGAAGAAACGTTTGAAACAGCCTTCGAGTAGTGTCATAAGCAGAGTACAAACAAGAACTCAACCAGTTTGATAAAAAACTTTTTGTCAATATTAACATTGATCAAAATTGAATGTATATAAAGGAATGTGCAATAAACTGATAAAATAGACTGAACTTACATTGAAATGGGTGATCTAAGTCTTTATCTCCATAAACTGTCCCATTTCATCTATTATCCACAAAGATAAGACAAGATTTTGTCCAACAAACCGATCATTTCAAAATCCGCCATTTCATTGACATTTGGTCGCGAAAAACGATATAAGTGAAACGAAATGTTTGTAAAAAAGAAATTGCTCTTTCGAAACATTTATGTTGAGGTAGAGAAGCTTTTCTCTACGGTTTACTAGCTTGTACTTATTTTTTTAGACATGTTTGTTTATTTCTTAGTTTACATTGGCTGGACTGTTGTACATGGCGTATATTTTTACTTTTTTGATATGTTATACCAAATTTCTTGAGCTGAAATTGTTTTATTTTACCCTCAAAACTTGTGAAATTTTTAGAGGGTGTAAATATGTCTTTTAAGTTTATTTATCTAGAATAAAACTAAATATTTTTAAAAGTTGATGTGTGCTCGCGGAAACTTTAAAATCTCCTTCGAATTTAATCTAAACGTTTAATTTTTAGTAATGTCTGACCGTCGAGACCGTGACCGAGATCGTAGTGACCGTGATAGAGACCGTAGGCATCGTTCCCGTTCTCCACGAGGTCGTGATAGGGACCGTGACCGCAGAGATCGACGAGACCGGGATCGTGATCGTCGAGAACGTCGCGACCGTGATAGAACGGACGAGGATCGTGCGGAAGCTAAAAAAGCTGATGATGGTGTTCAGAACAACAAGTTGACAGCATTAGCGTCTCAGGTAAGGTTTATATTGTGTTTGGTATCTGAATGTTTAGGTTAATATAATTGCATCGGTTTGATGTTGAAGATGGCCGTAAACACCTTTCTACGGCTGTATGAAGATGTAGAGAGGTAGTTCTGACAAAAATCTTTTTGGATAAACGGTTTGTTGCTTGGTAATCAATGGATTTTAAGGACTTGTTTAGTTTTTGCTAGTATAACATAATTTTTTGAGCGTTTGGCCGACAGATCGAGATTAAAGCTTTATATTTTTAAAAATCAAAATAGATAACAGAATATACGTTATATTTACAGTTAGAAGAAGAGGTTATAAAGCGTAGAGAACGTGCAGCACAATGGAGAAAAGACAAGGAACGGCATGAAGCTCGATTAAAAGAAGCCAAAGAACAGCTGGAAAAGGAGAAAGAAGACAATGATGAACCACAAGAAGGAGTTTTTGTGGATGAAAACGATGAAGTAGAGGAAGTGGATTCTGGAGAGAATAGCGACGATGAGCTGGATGAAATGGAAGTGGACGTTAATGGGTAAGATTATATTGTAGTAGGCAACAGAATGTTTTTAAGCGGTATATTTTTGTTTTAATAAGGTTCTTAAATAAAGAGACCATGAAACTGCTTTAATGGATGTTAGCTTCAAGTTTATTTTCTAGGACATCAAAAGAAGAAGACGACGATGAAGAAGAAGACCCATTAGATGCATATATGGCCGTGTTGGACAAAGAAATTAAGAGGGATAACAAGCCGAAAGTCCGCCGAATCGTAATATCAGAAGCCGAAAAAGCGTCAGAAGGTCCGGCTAAAGGGGAAATCATTGATAATGAAGATGAACCGAATCGAGTTCTGGAAGATTTTGACATGGGCGAGGAGATGAACTCACTAATGGCTCGGTCGAAACACTTGGAAGAGACCGACCATACTAAAGTGTACTACAAGGACTTTAAGAAGGACTTTTATCACGAAGTTCCGGATTTGCAGAAAATGACAAAAGAAGAAGTGGATCAGTACAGAGCAACGCTGGATAACATTGCTGTTCGAGGGAAACGGGTGCCGAAGCCGATAAAGAACTGGGCACAGGCTGGACTTAATGTTAAGGTTATGAATGTGCTCAAAAAGGTGAGAATTGATTTTTATTTATTTTTTTGGAGGTTGTATCTTTTGGAAAGGGGAAATTTAAAAAAATTTTTGGGCGGGGTAAATTTTTTTTTGGAGGAGGGGGGGGGGAGGGGAGGATGGAAAAGTGTGAAAATTTTTTAAAGATAGGCAGAGCGACAGGGAAGTAAGCTTTTTTAAAAAATTTGGGCGAGGTAAATTTTTTGGCGGGGGTGTGGTAAAAATTTTTTTTCTAGCTAGCCTCTCCCGAAAAAGCCATTGCTCTAAATAATTGTTTTTAATCTTGAAATTTCAGGCTAAACTACCAAAAACCAACCTCAATCCAAGCCCAAGCGGTACCAGCCATCTTGAGCGGTCGAGACGTAATAGGTATAGCCAAAACCGGCTCTGGCAAGACCCTCGCCTTCCTCTTACCAATGTTCCGCCACATCCTCGACCAAGAACCCCTGGACGAAATGGACGGCCCAATAGGTATAGTCCTATCACCAACTCGAGAACTGGCCATGCAAACCTACAAAGAAGCGCGCAAATTCGCCACGCCCTTAGGCCTAAGGGTTGTGTGTGTCTACGGAGGCGTGGGTATTTCGGATCAGATCGCTGATCTAAAAAAAGGAGCCGAAATCATCGTATGTACACCAGGAAGAATGATTGATATGTTGGCGGCTAATGCCGGTAAAGTCACAAACTTGCGCAGAGTAACGTATCTTGTCATGGACGAGGCGGATCGTATGTTTGATATGGGTTTTGAGCCTCAGGTCATGAAGATTGTTAACAATATTCGACCGGACAGACAGACGGTTCTGTTCTCGGCCACTTTTCCAAAGAGAATGGAGGGATTGGCCAGGAAAATTTTGAAATTACCGGTCGAAATTCAGGTAAATTTGATTTTTTAAATTTTTTGAAATTAAAAAAAATTTTTTTGAAATTTTTAAAAATTTTAGATTTTTTAGAAATTTTTACTCCGCACTAGCTTTTCCCTACCCATAACAACCTCCTTACAGCACCAATTTCATTTTTTTTCAAAATTTAAAATTGTTTAATTTCAGGTCGGAGGCAAAAGCATTGTCTGTGCAGACGTAAATCAACACGCCCTAGTAGTAGATGAGCATGTCAAGCTTCTAAAACTACTAGAATTACTAGGCCAATACTACGAGCTAGGCAGTGTTTTGGTTTTTGTGGAAAAACAAGAAAAAGCGGACGAAGTAGTGGTTGAATTGATGCGTTCAGGCTACAATTGCGCCCCATTACATGGTGGTATTGATCAATTCGATCGAGATTCAAGGATCATTGACTTCAAAAGTGGAAGACTGAAGGTTTTGGTAGGTTTTTTTGAAGCTTTTAGAGGATTTACGAGGTAGTTGGAAGAAGGTTTTTAGGATTTGAACCAATTTTGTCTAGTATAATATAGAAAAGGTGGGGATGGTTGCACTTTTTTGAATAACTTTTGGTAGAGGTTAGATAGAGACTTGAAACTTTGTGTCAACATAGATTATGGTTTAAGTTAACTATGTGAAGAAGCAAGTTTTTCGAAACCACAGTAATTTTGGTGTTACAGTACACATACCATAGCATATTTCAAATTTTGTATAATTTTAAAAAAAAAATAGGTATGTATAAGCTTAAAATTTTTTGGTAATACATATCGATTATATTGACAAAGAAAGCAAAAAGATTATCAAAAATTTTGAGTCATGAAAAAGTTACAGCACTTTTACCGTAACCGACTTTGATATCGTTATAACTTTTTTCAAAAAATGAGTAGCGATTTGAAATTTTGCGACAATACACTTTGTTACTATTGACAAATGACGTAGAAAGATCATTTTGAAATTTTATATTGGCAAAAAGTTACAGTACTTTTCCGTAAACCAACTTTTTTAAATTTTTTGTGATTTTTCGCGAGCTTAGGATTATAATGTGATTTTGAAGAGTAAAATACGACTTGACATAGTTTAATAAAGAATATTGATTTAAGCTATTTAATTTTTATATCTTCAGGTAGCCACTTCAGTAGCAGCCCGCGGTCTCGACGTGAAGGACCTTATTCTAGTGGTAAACTACGATTGTCCAAACCATTACGAAGACTACGTTCACCGAGTTGGCCGAACAGGCCGCGCAGGCAATCAAGGCTACGCCTACACCTTCATCCTACCGCTGGGTCAAGAACGGTTGGCAGGCGAAGTGTGTCGTGCCTTCGAAACGGCCGGCATCGAACCACCAGCCGATGTCAAAGCATTATTCGACAAGTTTAAAGAAGAACAAGAAGCCGAAGGCAAGACTGTCGTACTGGGTGGCGGTGGCTATAGCGGCTCCGGATTCAAGTACGACGAAGCAGAGAGTGAACAGGAGCTGAGCAAGCGAATGTTCACCAAGCTGGTACATGGCATTGAAGCTGGTGCAGATGAGGACGACGAAGCCATTGAAGAACAGCTGTTGTTGTTAATGAAGAGCAAGAGTAAAGTAACGAAGAGAGATGCTATTGAGGACCCATTTGGCTTCGGAAAGAGTGGTAAGTTTTTAAGGGGATTTAAGGCCATCTTTGGTTTACAGCGTGTGAAATGGCGATAAATTTGTTTACATAACTTAAAATGACAAGAACTTTCTTTACAAAACTAAAAATGGCAAGAACTTTCTTTACAATACGAAAAATGGCAAGAACTTTCTTTACAAAACAAAAAATGGCAAGAACTTTCTTTACAATACAAAAAATGGCAAGAACTTTAATTAAAAACAAAAAAATGGCAAAAACTTTCTTTAAACAACGAAAAATGGCAAGAACTTCCTTTACAAAACAAAAGTACCATTTTTGCACTATTTTTGAAGTTTTTAAATAAAAAAATTCAGATTTTTAAATAAATTTTTTATTTTTTCAGACGGCACCGCCCCATCAACATCAGCCGCACCCAAAGACCAAAAACCCCTAAAACCGACGAAAGAACAACTGAAAGAAAAGGAGAACAAAGCAGCAGCGGCCAGAGCGGCGGCCGAACGAATCGCCAAAGAAAAGCAACTGGGCGCCATCCAAGTGGCCGAAAAGGATGCGACAGCAGTAACGGCCGAAGCCGTCCTCCGAGGTGAACGAGCTCCCGAACTCAAGCTCTCAGCCTCATCTCAAGCCAAGCAAATCGCCGAAAGACTAAACAATCGCCTCAACTACCTACCATCAGCCATTCATCCATCCGTCAACCCCGACTTCCACACGAATTACTTTGAGGAAGAGGTGGAGATTAACGACTTCCCACAACAAATCCGATACAAAATTTGCTCGAGGGTAAGAGTTTGCTTCACTAGGGGGGGGTCAGATTGAATTTTTTATCACAGGGGGGACCAAGTTAAATTTTTTGAACAAAATTTTATTTTTGGCAAGAACTTTGTTTACAAGGTCTGAAATGGCAAGAACTTACTTTACAGAATAAAAAATTGCAAGAACTTTTTTTACAAGGTCTAAAATGGCAATCACTTTCTTTACAAGGCTTAAAATGGCAAGAACTTTCTTTACAAAACAAAAAATGGCAAGACTTTCTTTACAAATTTTTTCCAAAATTTTTAAAATTCCATTTTCAGGAAAGCATAGCCCAAGTGGAAGAGTTCGCGAACGTTGGAATCTCGGTGAAAGGCACCCATTACCCACCGAATAAGGAGCCAAAAGAAGGCCAAGATCGCAAACTATACCTACTGCTACAAGCTCGAGATGAGCCGGCATTGAGACGAGCAAAGGAAGAGATTATTCGGATCATGAGAGAGCAGCTAAGAGCCTCCCTAATGCAAGGACGACCACCGACCGGCGGTCGATATCAACTTTTCTAAATCGACTTTTTTGTTATGTTCTTCATGCTATAAGCTGTACAATGTAATAAAGTTTATTTATTATTGAATCGGAAAAGGAAAAATGGAAAAAACTTTGCTTACAAGACCTAAAATGGCAAGAACTTTGTTTATAAAACAAAAAATAGCAAGAACTTTCTTTACAAAACAAAAAATGACAAGAACTTTGTTTACAAAGCCTAAAATGACAAGTACGTTTTATACAGTCCTGAAAATGCATTTTCAGCTGTTTTTTATTGTCCCAAACGTAATACAAAGATTAGAAACGATCAATTTTATCAAACATCAGATAAGATCATAAGATGACAACCTGAATGTTCTCTAAGTGCGCAGTTTACACATCAGTCTTTAACCTTTATTAATAAAGTAAACGGACGTGAGTTTTGTTGATCTTTTCTAACCAATCGAACTTCTAATTCTTGGCAAGGGTGATTATTTTAGTTTGAAATTTAGGAGGGGGGGGGGTGGGAGAAATGGCAAAAAATAACGAGTATAAAATACCAACACAATTTTAGAAAAAATGAACAAAAACCAGCTGTTAGAGTTACTAACTGTAGATCCCTTGGACACTCTACCAGCCTACCCTCATCAACAACGTGGCCTAGCCATTGCTCATGCCCCAAAAAGGATATGCCCTTTGAATAAGGCTGAGAAACAGGTGAGTAAACTTATTAGTTTCAGGAGTAGCGTAAAGCAAAATCGGGTAGGGTAGGGTAGGGTAGGGTAGGGTAGGGTTGGGTTGAGCAAAGTAGGGTATAGTTAACCTAAAGTAACCTCATCGTAACTTCACTTTTATATCTTTAAATTTCAGCAAGCCGTAGCCAACATCCTCCGCTACATCCCCTCCAAACACCACTCTACTCTAGCCAAGGAATTCGCAGAAGAGCTAGAGCAATATGGCCATATCTATGCCTATCGCTTCATGCCCAACCATCAACTCAACTCTATACCTATAACTGACATTCCTTGTAAAACCACCGAAGCATCCGCCATTATCTTAATGATTCTGAACAATCTCGACCCATCAGTAGCTCAATTCCCTCAAGAACTGGTTACTTATGGTGGTAATGGCCAAGTCTTCTCCAACTGGATCCAATTCCGCCTAGTCCTACGGTACCTCTACAGTATGACCGACACCCAAACCCTAAGTCTATATTCGGGCCATCCGCTAGGCCTGTTTCCATCACACAAGACCGCACCTAGGGTTGTAATCACAAATGGCATGATGATCCCAAACTACAGTACCAAAGAGCTGTACGATAAGTTCTTCGCCTTAGGCGTAACTCAGTACGGCCAAATGACAGCCGGCTCCTACTGCTACATTGGCCCTCAAGGCATCGTGCATGGCACAACGATTACTGTAATGAATGCTGGGAGGAAGTATTTGGGCGTGGAGAGCTTGGCCGGCAAGGTTTTTGTGACAGCCGGCTTGGGCGGAATGAGTGGCGCACAGGCAAAAGCGGCCGTTATTTCCGGATGCGTGGGGGTGATTGCTGAAGTAAGGGTGGTTTTCTAAATTGAAAGAAACCATTTAAAAAATTTTTTTATAGATTTTTGTGAAAAGGTCCGGAAAAATCAATTATTTAATTTTTTGTGAAAAAGTCCGCAATTTAAACAAATTAATTTTTAAAAATTAAATTTCATTTTTCAAATTCAAACTTTTATCTTCTAACTCCAAAAATATGCAAATTCCCCAAAAATTTTGATTTTGCGCCAACCGGGATTCGAACTCAGGCCTCAGCCTTGGGAGGGCAGCGTCCTAACCACTGGACTACTGACGCCTTGAAACAACTGAAAAACGGCAAAAATAAATGCCAAAGGGTACCTCGAATTCCCATGGATGTGGGAAAACAGAAAGCTTATCAAACCGGGCCTGAATTGGCCGAGAATTAGAAAAGAAAATCAAGGAGAATTGACGAGCATATTATCCATGAAGAAAAGATTAAATCAAAAATCTTTGGTCGATTTTTTTTGTTTTTCGATTTTACCTTTATAATTCTAGTTTTAAAACACTTTTAAACTCTTTACCTTCTAAAAATCAATGCTAACCTTCCAGATCAGTGAAGAAGCCCTTCTAAAACGTCACAAACAAGGCTGGTTGGAGACCTACAGTGCCGACCTGAACCAGATCGTCTACTGGATTCGTGAATACCGTGAAAACAAAAAGCCTGTCAGCATCGGATACCTTGGCAACGTCGTAGATCTGTGGGAGAGATTGGCCGAAGAGGATGAGTTACTGGTTGAATTGGGCTCTGATCAAACGTCTTGCCACAACCCATTCAATGGTGGATATTACCCAGCTGGCATAAGTTTTGAGAATTCGAATCAACTGATGGCTTCGGATCCGAAAAAGTTCAAGGAATTAGTGCAGCAAAGTTTGTTGCGACAAATCGCGGCGATTGAAAAGTTGTCGCAAAAGGGAATGTACTTTTGGGACTATGGTAATGCATTCTTGGTCGAATGTTACAGAGCTGGTGCGAAAATTTTGGCAGAGAATGCGAAGGATGATAAGAGCTTCAAGTATCCGTCTTACATGCAGGATATCATGGGGTGAGTAGTTGTTTAGGTATTTTTAAGCTCTAGGATTAGTGCTGCCTTGGTTCTGCTCTAGCTTTGCCATAGCCCTAATTAGCCTAAACCCACGCCAAAAGATTTTTAATAATGAAGTTTTCACAATTTTTTTAAATTTAAAAACTTTCAGTGACATCTTTTCTCTTGGGTTTGGACCCTTCAGATGGGTATGCACTTCTGGCCTACCTGAAGACCTGGCCATCACTGATAAGATTGCCTGTGAAGTAATCGACTGGTTGGCAGCTGGAAAGCACGGTAAGTATAAACTTTTGGTTTAATTTTACAAGGTTGTTCAAATAATTCTGTGTCCCCTCTGGTTGTTCAAATAGTTCTATGCTCCCTGAGTCTTTAACTATTTCTATGCCCCTCTGGTTGTTCAAATAATTCTGTGCCCTTCTGATTGTTCAAAAAATTCTGTGACTACTTGATTGTTCAAATAATTCTGCCCCCTTGATTGTTCAGATAATTCTGTGCTCTCTTGATTTTTCAAATAATTCTGTGCTCTCCAGGTTGTTCAAATTATTGTGTGCTCCCTGATTGTTAAAATCTGTGCTTTTCTAATAATCCTGTGCCCTTTTGGTTGTTCAAATAATTTTGTGCCCTTTAATTTTAAAAATTTGAGATGGGGCACAGCATTATTTGAACAACTTAATAAGCTTCTTAAATTTTCGATTTTTTTTAATTTTTGGAATAAAATTTCAAAAAGTAATTAAAATTTTGCCATTTTTAGTGAATCCTTTCACAAAACAACAATATATTGACAATAAGCGATGGATCGAAGGCGCTGGTGAACATAAAATGGTGGTCGGAAGCCAGGCCAGAATCTTGTACTCTGACCAACTGGGCAGGATTGAGATCGCATTGGAGTTCAACAAGGCTGTTAGGGAGGGGAAATTGAAGGTAATTTAAATTTTTGGTCGATTTTTAAAAATATTTTGTAATTTGGAAGGTTTGGGACATGTTATACTCTGGAACATGTTTCATGGTATTATGTAACATGTCATCGTAGGTAAAATACGCTGGGGTAAACACAAATTGTAATATAAATCATGATTGTTTGTTGAAATTTAAGCCTTTATTTTGAATTTAAAAAAAAGTGTCATGTTATATTATCGTATAACATGTCACTGTGGTAAAATACGTTAAGAACGGTCTTTTTTTTATATAAAACATGAAGTTTTGAATGATATAGAAGATGATATTGGAATTTCAAAAATATTTTGAAATTTTTAAAGAATTTTTAAAAAGAGTGACAAGTTAAACGCTGGACATGTTTGATCGTATAACATGTCATTGAGGTAAAATACGGTAATTATTTTGTTGTAAAGTTATTTTTATTGTACACCACATGTCTGGTTCTTGGGCGAACCTTGTATTAAATGAGTTTTTGAAACTATTGGGAGGGGAAACAGGACTTTTTCACGGTTTAATGACATGTTATACGATGAAAAGTGTTCGAACAAAAATTTTTGGAAAATGACGTTTTTAATTAATATTGTAGTTTTATTTCATGCTGATAGGTCATTCTTGAAGATATATTTTACTTTTATTGTCAATAGGATCATCTTTAACGAAAAAGTGACATTTTTTACGATGAAAAGTGTCTAAAACAAAAATTTTTGGAAAATGACATTTTAAATAAGCTTAGGATCACTATACCTATTAAAAACCTTATTTAATAATAAAAGTTGAAATTCAGGCCCCAGTAGTCCTAAGCCGTGACCATCACGACGTAAGTGGTACCGACTCACCGTTCCGTGAAACTTCAAACATTACCGATGGCTCGGCCTACACAGCTGACATGGCAATTCAGAATGTCATTGGAGACGCGTTCCGTGGCGCTACATGGGTATCGATCCACAACGGAGGCGGAGTTGGCTGGGGTGATGTTATGAATGGTGGCTTCGGCCTTCTGTTAGATGGATCCGAAGAAGCGGATCGTCGTGCCAAGTTGATGTTAACCTGGGACGTGGCGAATGGTGTGACTCGACGTTCATGGAGTGGAAATGCCAATGGAAGGGATACGATTATAAGAACTATGAAGTTGGTCGAGGGGTTGGAGGTTACTGTACCTGAAGTTGTGGATGATCAGGTTCTTGGAGAGCTTTTTTAATGGTTTTTAGAGATTTGAAGATGTTATAGTAGCTAAAAATAATTAAAAAAGTTTAATAAATTTTTGGTACACTTAAGCGAGCAACTGTATTATAAAACAGAGTTTGCGTAGGAAAGGGTTAGCGGCAGGGTTAAAATCAAGGGTAGGTGAGGTGGGCCAGGGTAAATTTTAAATTACAGATAGTTTTCTGGGGCACGTATGTGTAAGGGAGAGAGAGATACTTATGCTATGAATAATAAGCCTATTGTAAGGTTCTTAGTTCATACTGATAGAAAAGGGTACGACAGGCAAGCTTAGGGTAGGATAAAGTGGGATAGGGTAGGATAGGTCTGGTCAGTTCAGGCCAGCGCACTCTTTTTTCTCCTATCGTACTATTTCTATCTATACTGATAGAAAATAGTACGGTAGGAGAAGGGTGTAGGATGATTAAGGTAAAGTCGGGGTAAGGTAGGGTACGGTACGGCAAGGTAGAATAGGGCAGCGTACGGTAGGGTATAGGGTTGGACATTTACCGGTAAATTGATTTTTTGGTAAAAATTTTACCGGGTTTTACCGGTAAATTTACCGGATTATTATTTGGTATTTAAAAACTTTAAAATGTCATTAAAACGTTTAATAAGCGTTTTAAAACAACAAAAACAATAAAATGGTAAGTATTTCACTCTTTTACTTTAAAAAACAACTTATAAGTCCAATAACTCTGTCCACTTCTTTTTCCCTACCGGTATATGTTATGTTGACGTAGCTAGTCATAGATGACTGGATGACCATTGTCCCCTAGACTCAGCTTGGTTCGATGGAATCTTTTTTCCGCATTTTTGCTCATATAATTGCACGACCTGTTCTTGATCATTTGAAGATATCTTAGTGCAATTGTTTCGCTAAATAATCACAGACCTATACATAAAGTATCAAAAATCAACAAGAAAGTTTAAAAATCGAATTTTCCGTCCATGTGAGTTGTTGGCAGAAGATGTTGGTACAGTCTTGTAAGGTTACTGACGTATTTTGCACCACAATAATTGCAAAAGTAGTCATTATTTGTTCTTTTGTAATGGTCTGTGATATTTTTCAACATTTCGTCAAAATATTGCTAATTTTCCATAACAAAAACAAATTTTGAAACAAAAATAATTTTCGTGCTAGGACACAAAACACTTTTTTACCGGTAAAAAACCGAAATTTTCGGTGAATTACCGGTAAATGTCCAATCCTAGTAGGGTAGGGTAGGGTAGGGTCGGCTAGGGCACGGTAATCTTAGCGGAAATAAAAAGAAGTATTGAAATGATCTTTATCCGTAATGTGTAGTAAACAGGTGTCTGGAATGTGTTATGTGCACTATGAAACTTGTTATTTCAATGTAATTTCATTACATATATGTCTTTTTTAACTCGTTTTTTCTATTGAGTGTATGTCTGTAAGAACATTTTTTATTACTATTTCTTATTATGGTGTCTTCACTAACAGAAGATGAAATTCCATCAGAAAATATGCTGATGGTATATCGGGTTTACGAGAATATAACATTTGTTTCAAACATGGTTATAGCTGTTTTTACATTGATTGTTATTTTTTGTAAGTTTTGCTTGGGTAAGGCTGGGTTAAGACGTAAGGACAGGGCTACGGTAGATTGTGGTAGGGCTTGAATAAGTTTAGGCAGGACTGGGATAAGCTATGGTGGGCCTAAGACAGACTAGAGTAGGGCTATGGTGAGGCTAGAGTTGGGATGCGGTAGGCTATGATAAAGCTAGAGTAGGGATAGGGTAGGCTATGGTAGGGTGAAAGTAGAGCTTTGGTTGGTTATGGTAAGGCTAGGGGATAGTAGAGCAGGGCTAGGGTAGGACTACAGTAGGCTATCGTGAAGCTAGAGTAAGACTACGGTAGGCTACGGTAGGACTAGAGTACAGCTACAGTAAGCTATAGTAAGGGTAGAGTAGGGCTACGGTAGGCTAAGATAGGGCTTGAGTAGGAGTACCGTAGGCAATAGTAGGGCTTGTGTAGAGCTACGGTAGGCTATGCTATAGATACGGTAGGCTATGCTAGAGCTACTGTAAGCTATAGTAAGACTAAAGTAGCACTACAGTAGGATATGGTAGAGCTAGAGCAGCGCTACAGTAAGCTACGATAGGCTATGATAGAGCTAGAGCAGGGCTACGGTAGGCTATGGTAGGGCTATTGTAGGACTAGGATAGACTAGAGTAGAACAATGGTAGAAAAAGGTTACTGTTAGCTAAGAAAGGGTTACGGTAGGGCATAAGTAGATTACAATACAATGAATAATAATCTAGTACTGAAACAATATACAGTACATTCCCTTACAGACACGCCAAACAAAATTGGTGCATACAAGTACTACCTTATTCATGGTATACTATGGTCAATGTTTTTCGACGTAATGGGTACTTTAATAAGCCCAATTGCTCTATTCCCATATCCATGCTACTACGGTGTGAACATTGCCGGCACGTTGAGCTTGGAGTCTCAAAAAGCTTATTTCTTAATTGGCATAGCTTCGATTAGTGGCAAATGTTGTGCTTTGGGTTTACAAGTGGAACGACGCATCTATCACACGTTCTCGGTCGATTCACGGTACAAAATCTTCTGTTCTAGACTAAAAAGCTGGACGGAACTGCCGATTAGAGCTGGCATTTTGTTGGCATTTGTGATGCTGGTATTGGTAAGAAGAGGGTTAGGGGTTGGCTAGGGGCAGGGTAAGGGTTCTGTAAGGTAAAGCCCAAATTTCGGGTGGTATCGTAAACAAGGGTGTGGTACGATAGAGTACGGTAAGATAATATATGATAAAATAAGGTTTTCAGTGTACTTATCTGTAAGCTAGGGCTTTGGGCTAGGGCTCTGTGCTGGGGCTAGGTACTTTATATCAACCTAAAATCGTAATGATGTTTTAGGGCCCATTCGTATTATCTATGCCAGACCAAGAACAGGCTAGACGTGATCTCTCCTCCACTGATTCAGTAGCCAAATCTATTATGTCCACCTACCCAGGACTGATCTGTTTCTCTTCAGTTGGTGATGTTACCCAAACACTAATCCTCCCCTTCCTAATATTGATCGCCCTACCCTTCGTAGGGTGTGGCATACTGTATAGTTTGTTCCAAGCCTTAGCCTTGAACGTATTATCAACCAAGACCCTCAAGCTCCAACTTATGTTGTACTGGGCGTTAGCTATGCAAGTTTTAGGAATCGTCGCTTTCGTCATTTTGCCTGGGGCATTCTACGTTGGCGGACCGATGGTTGGGATGCGTGGTATGCCCAAGATCACCATGTATTGTTTCTACTTTTTTTCCTTACATACTGGAGTTGATTGCCTGATGGTGCTGTACTTTATACGACCCTATCGGAATACAGTAAGAAACTGCTGTAGAAGGGTGGCACAAAGAAGATTGACCATCGTGGATTCAACCATTTTTAGTAGATAAATAAATAAATTGCGGTTAAAAAGTTCGTAGAATCGGTTTTATGAAATTTTGTGAAAAGGTCCTCAGAATGAATTTTTAAAATTTTGTGAAAGATTCCTTTATATAAATTTTTAAAAAATGGTCATAAAGCTCATAGATTTGGTTTTAAATCGTTTTGTGAAACAGTCCTCAAAATTAATTACGAAATACAGTCCAAAAAGTCCGTAAAAAGCAATTTTTTAAAATTTTGTGAAAAGGTCCGGAAAATCAAATATAATATAAAATAAAAATTTTAAATATATTCTGTTCTAACCTTTAAAATCATTTGTAAACATCAAATAAGTTCAAATCTCACCCATTCCTACCAAGAAAACAACGATAAAGCAACACTTGACCCAAAGAGTCAAGTTTTTCTCTGACCCAGGAGAAATTTGAAAAATTGATCAAAAAAGAATTTTTGTCCCAAAAAACAGCTTTTCAGCATAAATTAAGCTTTCTTTTTTATTTAAATTTTATTTTATAATGCTTATTTTGTCATTTTTGATCAAGAAAATCTAATTTCAATAGGTTTTTCACATATTATCCTTGGTTTTTGCGGCTTCATTCGAGTTTTTTCGCGATTTTCCTGCGTTTTTGCGGCTTTATCGATGGAGATTGATGGATGGAAGTGCTTAATTGAGTTCAAATGTTATTTGCGATAATGTATAATGTATTTAAACTTTTTATAGTTTTAAAATGCTTGATATAAAATTAATATTGAGAGGTTTAGGTATGTTGTCTGAGGTTTTCTTCATTATTTTAGGTATAAAAAGTTGGGGTAGGGCTGTGATAGGGTAGTTACTGCAAAATAAGGTTTTTTCTTTCAAGTCTAATTGGGATAGGTTATGGTTGAGTTAAGGCGGGGGTGGTAAAAACTTAAAAATTTTTTTATTTTAAAAATGATTTCTAATGAAAAAAAATTTATGGCTGATCAAGATAAGTCAGTGATGGAGCAAAAACGTCATGTCGCTTTAAAAAAAACAAAACTACTCTCCAAAGCGACAATAATTTACTGACCCTCTAAAAACATTTTTTTTTTAATTTTCATGTTGTGAAACTAAATATCTAAAAGGCGGAAACATAATTAGTCTGAACGAATTAGTAAAAGGAAGCTAAATCAAAAATCATGTGGTTCAATTTGTTTTAAAACAACATATTACACTAGCCTTCTAAGCCACTCTTGTTGTTGAGTAGATTAGAAGGCTAGTGTAATATTTTGAAACAATGGCTGCATTTACGTAGTAATAAACGATGAAACATGTTTCAAAGCACATAAGCAATTACAATATTGTAATCCTTAACCTGATAGATTACAAGCCAATAACCTAACAATGATAAGTTAGACTTCTTTAACAAAAAATAATAGAAAAGTAAAGAAAAAACAAATGATCTACAGACTTTATGGTGACTTTTACCATGTAAAGCAACAAGATAAAAATAAATAGTAACAAGAATATATTATTCATTCTGGCCGCCCTAGACACTGTACTAATGATTCATATTCATTAGTATTATGTGTCTATAGCTTCATATTCATTAGTACTATGTGTTTAGGACGAGGTATGGTCATTTTGATGTGTCTAGGGCGGGGTAGGTTCATTTTGGAGTTGGGCGGGGTAATTGGTTGGGGGATAATCAAAAAATTGTTTTCTTAAACATTATGCGGTTTCTTCCTGACCTATAACGTAATTTTTTACCATTTTTTCTCACCCCTTTATCAAATACCCCGCCCTACACCAAAATTACCCTACTCCGCCCTAGACACACTAAGATGACCCTACCCCGCCCCAGACACACTAAAATGACTCTCATAACACTGTATGTGCACTATGAGCGCCAAGAACACTATGCAATCCAAAAATAACACTCAAAGCATACTTATTGTTAATGCTCTTGTACAAGCCCAACGCAGCTAATACTTGGTTATGAATTCGCGGAACGCTCATGCCCTACCTTAATCTTGGACTGTTTTTTGTCGGAATTGGAATAATAAGCGGTTCTTCGAATCGGGCGGGTCAACTTTGTCTCCTCTCTCTCGAATTTCGTATTTTTCTTCTTGTAGCCGGCTGCTTTCGGAGGCATGTTATTGTGTTTACATTATAGTTGCGGTGTCTGCGGTCTGCGCGTGAAGGCTGTGCGGATGCCGCATGTTTTTTGAAGCTTTGTCGTCAAGCTGAGGAGGGGGAATAATCGAGTCCAGTTGAGCAAGAGGGAAAGGTTTGACCCCGGTTGAGAAGGGGAAAAGATTCGCTTCTAGCTGTGCAGGGGGAAGTACTGACCCCAATAGGGCAGGGGAAACATTCTACTTGAGCCGAGAAAGGGAAAAGACTCGCTTATAGCTGAGCAAGGGAAAGGATCAACCCTAACCAGGGGAAACATTCCGTCCGAGCCGAACAACGGAAACGAGTCTACCCCAACCGAGCGGGGAGGGGGGAGTTTTGGCGCTCAAAAAAATCCTCTCCCCCCCCAACCACCGCCCGTCCTCTCTCTTTCCTCCCTCCGTTTTTTGCGATAGGGATTTTTTTCGTTGGGGGCTTGTCTGCTCATTCCACGAGATATTCATTTAAGGTTACAAGGAATTTATGAAATTACTTATATTCTCGGAAATGGGGGTGTTCTATGTCTGGGCATGGGATTTCGCAAAAGGTGGGGAGATGTCTGGGCTTGGAATTTTAAAAGAAGGGTTAATAGGCTTTGTATTAATATTTTAAAGGGGAGTGGATCTCCTGGGCTTTAAAAATAGCAAGGGTTGGGGCTACAAATTTAGCAAAGCCTAGGGTATCTTTGGGCTTTAAATTTGGCAATAACTGGGGTACTTTCCGCCTTTAAATTTAGCTTTGGCTGGGTTATTTTTAGGGCTTACTTTTAGCCAGAACAGGGAATTTTTGAAGGGCTTATTTAGCATCGGCTGGGGTATTTTTAGGCTTTAAATTTAGCAACGGCTGGTGTATTTTTAAGCTTTAAATTTAGCAAAGGCAGGGACATTCTTCGGCTTGATATCTAGCGAAAGCTAGGGTATTTTTGGATTCTAAATTTAGAAACGACATGATTTTGGTAAAATACGGGCCTTGCTTTTCTCTCTTTTTTAAACACTTCAATGAATTGAAGATAAGTAGGCTTTTCCATATGACGTGTGAAATGAATTTGTACATGATTGTAGTTTTGGGTCTGCTGACAAGCTTTTGTACCATGAAATGTGACTTAACAATGGTGTCACGGAAGTTAGTAACTCAGTATTTCTTGAGAGTTCTTGAGATTATAAAGGTTTCGTGCAACTAGTTAGCATGCTTTTGTATTTGCACTTTAATTTTAAGCGTGATTGAAAAAGGGGGTTTAATTTTTTTCAATGTAATTTTGATGTTTTTAGGCTAGTATAAGGCGTTACCTGTAAGGTAGAGCAGAGTAGTGGAGTAGACTAGGGTATGGTAGTGTAAGATAAGGTAGAGTTGCATTGGGTATGCTAGGGTGGCGTAAGGCGGAATAAGGCAGAGAAGGGCAGAGTAGAGTAAGTTAGAGTAGGATAAAGGAGGGTATGGTAATTTGTAAAGAATTATTTCAAGGTACAAAAGCTATCATTAGATTTAAGAATACAATTTACAATTTTAGTTTATGCGTCATTTTGAAAAAGAATACTTGTCTTCAACATAGGGGGACTTATGCTCATTTTTTTATAAAAGAGGGTTGTTTCTACGATCCTTTTCGCCAGAGGGGGGGGGGAGGTACGCTAAAAATTTTATTTTCTCTCCAGCTACTTGTGAGCTCTTTTGACAATTTTTCTTCCAGAAAATTTTTTGAGTTTACACCAAGCTTGGACACAGGGCATTGAAGATTTTCCCTTACATGCCCTGTGTCCAACTCTGTCCCACACTCTTCTCTTTTCACCCCTCTTCCCTCCCCCCTCTTCTCTCTGGAATTGCTTTTAAAATCTATTTGTTCCCCTTGTCGATACTTACAATTTTTTTACAAATCAGTCGCTGCTCTTGTTAACCTTTAAACTGTACCTCGATATTCTTCCAGACCTCCTCGATATACATGAAGAAACTTGATGGACTTTACTTTTAACCCCCAATGGGCAAACATATGGCAAAACGCTATCCAAAACCCAGGCGATCTACCCCAACCCCCGAATACCAACATGTACAACCCGGCATTAGGCCATCACAACTTGAACTATGGCCAAACCGCGGCCATGTTCGGCCAAAATAATGCCATATTTGGTCAGAATGGCGCCGGTTTTGGTCAGAATGGTGCTGTTTTCGGCCAAAATGGTACTGCTTTCGGCCAAAACGGTGCTGATTTTGGGCAGAACGGTGCCGGTTTTGGCCAGCTAGCCGGCTTCAACGAGGTTTATCAGTCCATGTACTCGCCTGGCTGTTACTCTGAAACCGCAACCAATAACTTGAATTGCGATTTCATGCTAAACTCGAACGTGCTATTGAGGATGCAGAATTCGATAGCCTTGGGCCAGGTTCAGGATGCTTGTAATTTTGTTGCTGATCAGGTTCAAAATGGTTTTGGCGGGAATTCAAACGGCTTTTTGGGTGGCTTGACTGATGCTGGATCTAATTTGCATAGCTCTGGAGCTGAGCTTGGTACTGGTTCGCATTCAAGTAATCTTGAGTCTAATATTGGAAATTTGGCCTGTAATCTTGACTTTGAAGCTGGTACTAGTAATATTGACTCAACTGTTCCTCAAAATCCTCAAAGTTCGGCCGATATGGCAATTTCTCACGATTCGACTAATATTTCAAATCCTCAGAATCTGAGCGATTTCGAAGCTATCTACAACAATATCGCATCCAATTCAAACCAACAAAATTCTCATTTAAACTCCCAAAGTTTGACTGAAATTTTGAACCCTCAAGGCTCTAAAAGCCATGCCAGGCCAAAAAATCTTGAAATGAAGTCGCCAGCTTCATTTCCTTCAACCTCAGCTTCAACTAACGACCAATTTGACATTAATTTAGTACCAAAAGCCGAGGTGCAAACGCCAAATCGGCCGAATAGCATTGACTTTTGTAATTTCGCACTTCCATCCTCCTTCAATCTCCAGTCCGCCCCACCCACGCCCCAAACCCCATCCACCCAATACTCTTTATCTAACCAATTACAGTACTCCAAATCGGTACCGGCCAATCATCTACAGTACTCCATATCTGGGCAGTCGAATCAGTACTTCAAGTCAAGCGCGGCTTCTCAGCTTCAGTACTCAAAATCAGTAGCAGGATCTCAACAACAGTACGCCACATCGGTACCAGGTACTCAACAACAGTATACAAATTCTTCGACCGGTCAACCACAGTACACGAACCCTTCAACTTCCCAACTTCAGTATCCCAATACCGTACCCTCTCAGTACCCAAACTCAGTACCATCAACCTCAATGGCCCCATCAACATCGATGATACGGAAAAAGAGTACCAACAGTGGAATCACATATCACCTGAATCTACCTCCCATCAACTCCAACATACCATATCTAAGGGCCAGTAAAACGGTCGGCTTCAATGTGGGCTTAGAAGAACATAAGCCTCAGGTCATAACGGAGAAGGAGAAGGTTGGTGTGAGGACAATGCTACAGAGAAGTGAGTTTTTTAATTTTATATTGTTCTTGATATTTAGGTAACAAAAATAGCGAAGATTATTGGGTTTGCTAAATATTTTCTAAAATTTTTTACCGAAATTGAACATTATGAACTTTAAATTCTTTCTGACCATTTTAGTGGTTTTCCTAACAACTTTTTGACCACAAAACATTAAAATTCGTCCAAAATCGAAAAAAATCTGATTTTCGTTTCTTTTCCACCCGGTTATTTGCCATTTTTGACCTCTTTCTTCAAGAAAAACTGCCATTTTTTAACGACACAGTAAATAGGATATCAATAAAGATATTTTAGAGCTTACTTATTTCCAAATTTTTGGTAGGAAAGGCTAAAACCCGCCAAAATGCGCCTTCAAACCTCATTTTTACCCTTTTTTCTAAAATTCGGCGCGAAAAAATACTTTTTTCGATCTTTTTTCAGCGCTTTTTTTGATAAAAGAGCTGTTTTCCAAATCAATGATAATTTTAGATACTCATTAATGAGCTCATTGATTTTTATTTTGTCCGTTTTTTCATTGTTTTAAGTGAAATTGTCGGGTTACCTAACTTTTTTTTAAGTTTCAAGCAGTATAATGTAAGAAAACTCTTGATTGAATGTTTTCTTCATTTATTACCTTTTTCAAGTTATACTTAATATAAAACCATAATTTTCAGCGATAATCCTCCACAAACGCCTGGACAACTGCATTGCCAATTGGACATTCGCCTATCATGATCAATACTTCCGCAAGTTTTTGTCCTCCACCTTCTTCCTCCAAAACTCATCGATTTACTGCTCAAAAATAGTGACAAATGAAGGAAGTGTCTTCGGAATGTATGTTATGGATCAGGATAGGACGGCACAGAGCTTGATCAAGATGGCAGGGACTTTGACGAGTGTTATGGGTGGGTTTTTGAGTGGTTTTTGGAGGTTTTGATGTTTTAGGGGTTGCTTCTTGAAGATGTTGATGTATTTTAAAGTTTTTCATTTAAAAAAAGATCTCCGATCTATTACTTACCTAAACCTTTAATTTTCAGGCCTCCAAAGGATTCAGATGATGTCGGCCGAGAACTTGTTGATGAACTTCTCCGGGGCAGTGAAACAAGAGAATGGCATTGATCCACGACGAGCTGCTTCAGTTGAAATGGCAATGAACGATGTTTTTACATTGATGGTAAGTTATTTTATTGTCTTTTTTGGATTTTAGGTAGAGAAAGATGTATTTGACGACTTTTTTGTTGAATTAGTCGTATTTTACAATTTTAGGTAACAAAATTAGCTAAGTTTTTAAAACAAGAGTTTTAGCGGATAGATTTTGAAAAGTTTTGGATTTTAGGTAACAAAATGAAGAAAAATATAAATTTATATTAAAGACCGAGCTTATAATAGTATTTTAGGTAACAGATCAATAACAACTTAAAGTTTTAGAGATAAAACCAAGCCTTAGGACACAAAACTCAATCTTTTCCAATTTTACATTCCAAAATTGACTAATTTAAATGTTTTTTCAGATGAAACCGTCCAATTCTCCCCAACAACCTTTCATTCAACCTCGAAACGTGTTCTTCAAATAACTCAACTCATAGTGAACTTTTGACACACATTCTCCGGGTTTTGATCTCATAACTACACTTTTCACATTCTTGTTGCATCTTTGCTAATTTTATACCGTTTTTGTTTAATAAATTGGAAATTTTAATAATGTTTGTTGGTTTTGGCACGTTTTTTTCGTTTTTCGATCACTTTTCAGTGTTATCATTGGTTTTTTAGAGTTTTATAATTATATTTAGGTTTTTTGAGTCGATTTTTTATTTCTTTTTGGATAAAATTAGGTATAACTTCGAAAAATTAGGCTGTGGTTTGAAATTTAACGTTTAAACTTGAAGTGTTTTAGCTAAAAAAAGCTTAGTTTTTGCCCATTTTTACCTCATTTTGTGGGTTTCAGAGCTAAAAGGGCTGTATTTCAATATTTTAGGCTAGAACTAAAAAGTTAAGGCTTGTTTTTATAAGTTCGAACCAAAGTTTAGTTGTTTAGATAACATAAAACCTTCATAACTCAACTCTTATCTTTTAAGGATGCCGATTCCAACCGTACGTCGCTCCAACCGCGACCGGCACATGGTATACTCGAGTTTGAAGGAGAATGCCATCGGAATGGACAGTCCGCTCATCAAAAGTCTGGTTTGTGAAGCCAATACGAAGGTAGGTGAATATTATTAGTGTTTTTGGGTTTTAGGTAACATTTTGGATTGAATTGGAAAGAATTGGTTTTCAAAACTTTAGATTGGGTTTTAAACTTGTTCTATAGACTTTTTGACCAGTAAGATTCCTTTTCAGAACGACCTATTCCTTCGAAGATCCAGCCGTAACCGAGTCCACAAGTCCTTCGATAACTATGTCAACTACTCACCCCTAAACAAGTCCGAACTCTCAGATAACGACGAGAACATTCCCCATCGTCCACGACGTCAACCCGTGAATCGTCAGTACCTGTACGATGAAGACTATGACGAACCAGAAACCGAATACATCGTCCTACAACGAAGAAATCGGCGAACTCGACATTCTGCACCATCAAAAGACCTAACCGTGGTGCCAAGCACTAGTCGCAGAACCAAAAGGTCGACAGCAGCGGAAGAGGTTGATGATGTGGATGGTGGGATAGTTGGAACGTTGGAAATGAGTCAAAATGAAGATTCACAACAAGCAGAAGATAACGAAGTTCTTGAAGAACCGGAATTCTCATCGTTATCAGAGAGAGTCAAGAGAAGAAGGCAACAGTTTGATGAAGAAGAAGAGCTTCAGAAGCCACGGGCGAAAAGAGCAAAGCGAGTACAATATGAAGATGATGAAGAACCGGAACTCAGTCAAAATGCCACAAGAAAGAGAGAAAATGGAGGGGAACGGTATTCTGTTTCGCCTGAAGTAGGTTTTTTTATTTGTTTCTTAATGTTTAGGTAACAAAATGTGATGGAAGATGATTTGAAGGGTCTTTGCTGGTGTTTTATGGAGTATAATATAGGGAAAACACGATTTAAAAGGCATTTTTTTGATGTTTTAGGTAGTATAATATAAAACAAATTGGGTTTTTGTGTCTTTTTCACAAATCTTTACGATTTTTGGAACTTTAGCTAATATAACATCTATAAAATCTAATTTTTAGCCAGACGATGGCCGCCGCTACTTTTTCCGTCGCAACCGAAACCAAGTGATCCGGCTACAAGATGAATTCTCCAAAAAACGCCCCCGCCGCCGCTCCATACGTCAATCCACTCGTGGCTCACGTAGCGAATCGAAACGCACCTCTCGTTACCGTGAATCCTCCAGTAGCTCCACCTCGGATTCTGACAACGATGCCATGGCCAAGGATTTGAAGGCAGAAGCCAAGTTCGAGCGTCGAAAGCTAAAGTCGCTGGAGAAAGGCCGAAGCAAGTTCCTACCGATGAACATGAACGCTACGGAGTGGAAGAATCGTCAGAATCTGAACAACCTTATCCTAAGCAACAGTACCCAAGTGGTCGGCGATTTGGAGCCAATGTCGGTCGATAAATCGACCACTTTTAAGCAGATTGGTGGCCTAGACTCCCACATTCAGTCCCTGAAGGAAATGGTCGCTTTTCCGTTATTGTATCCCGAGCTCTTTGCCAAATTCAATATCTCAGCACCAAAAGGAGTACTATTCTATGGACCGCCTGGTACCGGAAAAACATTGGTCGCGAGAGCGTTGGCTAACGAGTGCTCGAAGGATGGAAAGAAAGTTTCGTTTTTCATGCGAAAAGGAGCGGATTGCATGAGCAAATGGGTGGGGGAGTCGGAACGGCAGCTCAGGTAGGGGTTTTTTAATTTTGAAAAATAAAAAAAAATTAAATATTTGAAAATTTGGATTTAAAAAAAAAATTATTTTTTGGAATTTTAAGTTTAGTAAGCCTAAAACTATCAAGCATACTAAGCTACGGTTCATTAAGCCTAATCTCACTAACAATGTAAGCCGTAGTCTAATAAGGTTAAGATTACAAACGTTTGGCTTTTTAAGCCTAATCATACTAAGACAAAACTTAATAAGCCTAAGCCTGCTAAGCCTATGAATACTAAGTCTAAGGCTATTAAGTTTAAACTTAGAAAGCTTAAACTTACTAAACTCAAGCCTAAGCTTACTAATCCTAAGCCTACTAAGCAAGTTTAAGCCTGTTAAGCTTCAGCCTACTAAGCCGAAAAATACTAAGTTTAAGCCTACTAAGTCTAAGCCTACTAAACCTAAGTGTATTAAGCCTAAACCTACTAAGCCTAAGCTTATTAAAAATAAGCCTAAACCTTTTTTTTTAATTTGGCAAAAATTTTTTGCTAAATTTGAAAAAATGTCATTTTTTTAGATTGCTATTTGACCAAGCCTACCAAATGCGACCTTCAATCATATTCTTTGACGAAATTGATGGTCTAGCCCCAGTTCGATCCTCAAAACAAGATCAAATTCACAGCTCAATCGTATCAACATTACTAGCTCTGATGGACGGCTTGGATAATCGAGGAGAAGTTGTCATTATTGGAGCTACAAATCGACTGGATTCGATCGACCCAGCATTGAGACGACCAGGAAGATTCGACCGGGAGCTGAGATTTGATCTGCCTGATAGGAATGTAAGGTTTTTGAAGAGTTGTTGAAATTTGGATGGATTGAAATGGCAATTAGAAATGAGAATCGGGCCGGGTTTAACATTTAGGCTTAGCTCCTTTCTTATGTCTAATGGCAATAAGGTTCTTTGCCTAAAAATGGTTTTTCTCGTGTAACTTGTCACCCGCAGACTGCGTAACACAAATTTTTGTATATTTTGAGTTGAAATGGCAAAAACTTTCTTTACAAAACAAAAAATTGCAAGAATTTTCTTTACAGGGCAAAAAATGGCAAGAACTTTCTTTACAGCACAAAAAATGGCAAGAACTTTCTTTACAGGGCAAAAAATGGCAATAACTTTCTTTACAGGGCAGAAAATGGCAAGAGCTTTCTTTACAAAACAAAAAATGGCAAGAACTTTCTTTACAAAACAAAAAATGGCAACAACTTTCTTTACAAAATGTAAAAGGCAAGAATTTTTACGTTGCCATGTTTCAGGCCAGAAAATCTATCCTAAACATTCATACCTGCAAATGGGAAGTTGGCAAGCCATCTGACGAGATCCTAGAATCTCTATCCGAAAAGACCTCAGGCTATTGTGGCGCAGACCTAAAAGCCCTATGCGCCGAAGCAGTTCTAGTTGCCATCCGAAACCGATACCCACACATATACATCAGGGACGAGAAGTTGGATCTGAATCTTGATTCGGTAGAAGTATCAGAATGGCACTTTGATCAAGCCCTGAGGCGTATCGTACCAGCCTCAAGACGTGGTGCTACAATGTCAATTGGCACTGTGAATCCAAGAACCAACGTGTTTTTGAAGGAGAACGTTGAGAGGATTCTGAATGAAAAGATTCCGTCAGGTTATTTGGGTAAGAGCAAAGATAAGGTGGTTAAGAAGGCTTCTGGAGAGGAGAAGAAGGATGAAGATGTGACGATGAATGAAAAAGGGACTTCTGAAGGTGATAGAGGTAGGAAGGTTTGGAATTTGTTACTGAATTAGGATTCTGATTCTTAATGTGCACTTTTGTTTGAAAATGGCAAGAACTTTCTTTAAAGGACAAGAAATTGCAAGAACTTTCTTTACAAAACAAAAAATGCGGTTTATCGTATAACTTGTCACCCGCAGGCTGCAAAACGCACATTTTTGATTAGTTTGTGTTAAAACGGCAAGAATTTTCTTTACAAACCAGAAAATGGCAAAAACTTTCTTTACAAAGCTAAAAATGGCAAAGACTTTTGTTACAAAAAGGAAAAATGGCAAGAACTTTCTTTACAAAACGAAAAATGGCAAGATTTTTCTTTACAAACAAAAGAATTTCAAATTTAAAAAATTTTTAAATTTTTCAAAATTTCAGAATCCGAAGCTCAAAAAACCGCTTCAGAAGCTGAAAAAGTGGCTGAATTGGAAGAAGTGCTCCAATACTTATGTGTACCATTAGCTGTACCAGCCTTCCGAATCCTCTTGAACTCAGACGGTGAAAAAGGACAAACTCGCTATTACCTGCCGGCTTTACTGAGTAAATTGGACCATCTACCGGTATTCTCAGTATCATTTCACTCATTGTACACTAATGGACAGCCAGAAGAAACGCTGAGTAATATTGTGACAGGAGTCTCGCAGGCTACGGCCAGAGGATCATGTGCCATTTTGACGTTGCCTGACATCGATTGTCTTCAACAACAGATCAGTGCGTCGTTGTGGGATATGGTGGGTTTATAGATTGTGTATTGGATTGGAGAAATGGAAATGATATAGGGGTTTGAGGCTTTGCTTTTAGTGTTGGTTTATATACATCATGATTGATCGTTAATACTAAGCATAAGACTATAAAGCGTAAGCCTATGGGCTCTTGAGACTAAGCATAAGCCTATGGACCCTTGAGACTAAGCATAAGCCTAGAAATCCTAAAAACTCGGTTACAGCCTACTGATTTAAAATTTTTCAGATAGTAACTTCCCTACAACGATTTGATGATTTCACGCCATTGCTGATCATAGCTACTTCGAAAACCGCCTACAATGAATGTGACGATACCATCAAGGAAATATTCAAGAAAAGAAACTCATTTGAAATCACACTGCCAACAAAGACCACAAGACAAGAATATTTCAAAAAGATTATGGAAGAGGCTACTGAAGAACCGAAACGATTTGATTGTAAGTTTTTGGGTATTATAGTAGGTATAGAAAACTGGTTGGATGGGTTGTAAATGGTTTTTCGTTTTTATGAAGGTTTTGATTATTTTTCGGTCAAAAAATTCATAGAAATTTATTTTTTTCAATTTTGATCAAAAGTTTATGGAATTTTGTTTTTAGAAATATCGGTCAAAAAGTTTATGGAAATTTGTGAAATTTTGGAAAAAGTCAATTTCTACAAACTTATTGACCGAAATCAAAAAAAGTATTTTCTATGAAATCTTTGACTATTTCTATGTACTTTTTGACCTTTACATCTTAATTCTATGAATTTTTTGACCAATGTTTAAAAAATGAATTTTTCTGAACTTCTTGACCAACTCTTTCCCTTTCAGTCACCTCATGCCCAGAACCAAAACCCGCCGTCCAAGAGAACTACACCGCTCCAAAGCTGACTGAAGCCGAGCTGAAAGCTCTCGAGAAGTCGTACGAAATAATGCAACGTCAGCTGAGAATCTTCCTCCGCGACATTCTGGCCAAACTCATCAGAGATCGCCGATTCAACGTCTTCAATTTACCGGTAAATACTGAAGATGCGGAGGACTACTACGAAATCATCACTAACCCAATGTGTTTGTCTGATATGATGTCGAAAATCGACCAGAAAAGGTATAATAATGCGAGAGAATTCCTGGATGACATCACTTTGATCAAGGAAAACGCATGGGAATATAATCCACCGACTAGGATGGAGGGTAAGGGTTTTTTGAAAGAATAGGCTTAAAATGAAATAGAAAAATTTGAAAAGGTTTGGGTTTTTCTTGTTTGTAAAGAGTTTTTGCGGTTTTTTGGTTTGAAAGAAAGTTCTTGTCATTTTGTGTTTTGCAAAGAAAGTTTTCGCGGTTTTTTTAGTTGAAAGAAAGTTCTTGCCGTTTTTTTGTTTTGTAAAGAAAGTTCTTGTCATTTTTTGTTTTGGAAAGAAAGTTATTTCACTTTTTTGTTTTGTAAAGAAAGTTCTTGCCATTTTATGTTTTGTAAAGAAAGTTCTTGCCATTTTATGTTTTGTAAAGAAAGTTCTTGCCATTTTTTGTTTTGTAAAGAAAGTTCTTGCCATTTTTTGTTTTGTAAACAAATTTCTTGCCATTTCTCGCACTTTTAACATATTTAAATTTTTTATCATTTCCAGACCTCCACATTCGTCACAGTGCCGCCGCTCTTCTCGACACAACAGAAGCTTTGTTCGACAATGAATTGGACGAACAATTCGAAATCAAACTAGCCGAAACTTTGAAAATCATCACAGAAACCAAAGAAAGACTTTATGGAAAGGCTAAGGACGAGAAAGAAAAGAAAAAGGCTGAAGAAGAAGAGGAAGCAAAACCAGAACAAGAAGGCAGAGAAAAGGAAAAGAAAGAAGTCGTTATTAACAAGGAAAAGCTGGATGAATTAGTTCAATTTGTAAGTTTTGAAACAAAGTTTTTGCGGTTTTTTATTTTGTAAAGAAAGTTTTTGCCATATTTTGATTGGTAAGGAAAGTTCTTGTCATTTTTTGATTTGTAAAGAAAGTTTTTGCCATTTTTTGTTTTGTAAAGAAAGTTCTTGCCATTTTTGGTTTTGTAAAGAAAGTACTTGCCATTTTATGTTTTGTAAAGAAAGTTCTTGCCATTTTATGTTTTGTAAAGAAAGTTCTTGTCATTTTTTGTTTTGTAAAGAAAGTTCTTGTCATTTTTTGTTTTGTAAAGAAAGTTCTTGTCATTTTTTGTTTTGGAAAGAAAGTTATTTCACTTTTTTGTTTTGTAAAGAAAGTTCTTGCCATTTTATGTTTTGTAAAGAAAGTTCTTGCTATTTTAAGTTTTGTAAAGAAAGTTCTTGCCATTCTCTATATACCTAAAATAATATTTTCCAACTTTCAGGCCGTAACCCGAACTCAGGAATGGCCAATTCAGGACATTGAAGCACTCGGAGTGACCTTAATTACACACATTCAGGAATACCGTGACTCATGGGATCGAGCCGACCTCACGGACAAGTTATACGACGTATTGTGCACGTTCGAACGGGACTAACCGAAATGTCACTATTTTTATATTTTTTGACATATCTTGGCCATATTAACCTTTTTTATTAATTTTAAGTATTTTACTATCTTAAAATGGTACTATTAATTATTTTTTGGGACGTGAGTACTATAAATGGTACTATTAGTTGAGTTTTTGGTATTAATGTTTAATAATGGTACTATTAATTGATTTTTTGGTCTTGAGGCTTAAAAATAGTACTACTAATTGATTTTTTTGGTCCAAAGGGTTAAAAATGGTACTACTAATGGACTTTTGGTCCTAATGTTTAACAATGGTACACCTATTTGAAGGTTTGTCTTTGGGGTAAACATTAGTACTGTTTTTTGATTTTGTAGTACTAAAACTCAAAAATGGTACTATTAATTGACTTTTTGGTCTTATTGCCTACTAGTGATAATAATATTTGACTATTGTCTTTAAGGTTCCAAAATGGTAATATTAATTGACTTTTAGGCCTTAAAGTTAAAAAATGGTACTATTTTTTGATTTTCGGTCTTGAGCTTTAAAAATGGTACTATTAGTAGATTTTTTGGTCTTACTGTCTAACAATGGTACTGTTAGTTGGCTGTTTGGTCTTACTGTCTACTAATGGTACTGTTATTTGATTTTTGGCCTTAGGGTTCAAAAATGGTACTATAAATTTAATTTTTTGGAACTCAGCACTAAATACTGGTAACACTTATGTTACTATTCATGAATTTTAGTACCGCTACTAACGTCTTACGCTCTTAATAATAACTAGTACTCATTCACTACATGATTGTTACTTATAATTTGTATTATTAATATTAACTTTATTACCTATTTGTATACTTGTATACTTAATAGACCTGTATATGTTACTATGCCAGGAATGTGAAAACCGCTCAATCAAGTTCTCATGGTATCGCAGTTCGTCTTTCCGTCTTAGTTTTAGTAATTTATTGACTCTTTTAACTTGAATAAATATTTGTATATTACTGTAGATCGATGTGGGTTATGGTAGTTTTTTACTGAGAGAGTACTGTAATGTTTTGTTGGTTTGTGATTTTTTTTAGTTTTGAATTTTGGTTTTTTATCGTGATTTTTTATCGTACTATAAGGTGTGGCGTGCTCATTTTACGGTGTGTCGTGCTATATAGTAAGGTATGTCATGCTACAATATTGTTTCGTGCAATACAGTACGTAATCGTACTGATATTAATATTCAGTACGCGATTGTTATGTAACTACTATAAATTATGTGATAGTGCTATATAGTACCGTGTTATCGTGTGATATAATACGATATTTAGTTTTATGCAGTACGTCGTACAACACAGTACCTAATCGTCTTTTATTAATATACAGCAATATACAGCTTGCAATTGCTCTGTAAGTACGACACAGTACGTTACACCTTATATTGTACCGAGCGTTGTGTTATATAGTACGGACTGTTGGCTATGTAGTACGGTGTGTTGTGCTATTTAGTACGTTGTGTTGTGCTATTTAATACGGTGTGTTGTGCTATATAGTACCGTGTGCTGTGCTACGTAGTACGGTGTAGCATTCTACTTAGTATTTTACACAATACAGTACGTAATCGTACTGTCGTTAATACATAAGACGCTATCGTTGTTTTTTAAGTACTATACAGTTTGTGAATGTACTATATAGTACGGTGTTGTGGTTATTCATATCTAATTTTGGAAATGCAATAAAATAGCAAAAAACCCGCGCAATGTTCATGTTTAATGTTTGGTCCTTCATTTATTTATAAACAAATCGCAAGGCACACAAACACCATCCAACCAACACGATCTCTACCCCAGAGATCGTATTAGTTAGCGAGAGAGCAGACGACAGTGTAGGCTATTTACATAATTTCAATTTTAAACGTAACTGTTTCGAACTAAATTATTTTAAGAGTTATTAAAAATTGGTTCTATGGACTTTTTGACCAAACTTATTAAATTTGGTTCTACAAACTTTTTGACCGCCTTTTTGATTTTTTTTCTACGACCTTTTTGACCGCACTTTTAAAACTTGGTTCTCTGAACTTTTTGACTTTTAAAACTTGGTTCTATGGACTTTTTGACCGCACTTTTAAAACTTGGTTCTCTGAACATTTTGACCGCACTTTTAAAACTTGGTTCTATGGACTTTTTGACCGCACTTTTTAAAACTAATTCTATGAACTTTTTGACCGAGCTTTCACAAATCAGTTCTACGTACTTTTTGACTAAAGTTTTTAAAAGTTGATTCTATGAACTTTTTGACCAATATTTTAAAATTTAGTTCTATGGACTTTTTGACCGCACTTTTAAAACTTGACTCTACGAACTTTTTGATCAAAGTTTCAAAATTTAGTTCTACGAACTTTTTGACCAAAGTCGTAAAATATGATTGGATGGACTCCGATCGTGTTTTTAAATGTTCTACGAACTTTTTGACCAATTTTCTGCAGAAACACATGCTTTTAAACTCAAAGATTTAAAATCCGGTTTTCCGAGCTTTTTGACCACTATCAAAAAACAGTTAAAAACAACATAAAACCCTCACCAAAAAACAATCAATGCTAGCAGCGGGCGATACGTTTAATTTCCGGCTAGCAAAATGGTTCGTTTACGTTGGTTGAAATAATCAAGGCATAGTTAAAGGTCTTGTTGTAGAGACGGATAAAGTAAACTGTTTTTACTAGAGACGGGGGTTTATTGTGTGTCAAGAAAGAGGGTCTTAAAGAAACAGGGAAAAGAGAGAACACTGTTGTGTTAGTGGTTGTTCTGTCGTTCTTCTCTTTCTACTCTCTTTCTACAGCTACTCTTTTCGAATCGCTTTGTATTTCTGGGCTCACGTCTAGCCTTCTCTTATATACTTTGCTCTTTTTACCTCTTTTCTCGTCTATCGGGCCACTGACTATAATCCTTTCATGTCTCCAGGTTCTTTTTACTCTACTTTCTTTCTTTTATCACGCGCTATCTAACCTACCGTTTTTCCACCTCTATATCATGCACTCCTATGACATTCTCTGTTTATTTCTCGCATATCATCACGTTGTTTCCACACCGCCTTCTCTCTCTCTATCTCACGTCAAACGCAGTAAACGCTCCAGTTTTTTCCATTTCTTGTGCTCTTTTTATTGTACCTTATGTTCATCAGCTGTATATCATCACCCTTTCTCTCCACTTCACGTTCTCTTGTCTCTATACTATCTCACAGCGAACGCGCTGTTGAAACCCCTCTCTCTCTCTCTCGCTCTCTTACTCTCGTCCGAACCATTCATTCTCTCTCGTCCAAATTACTCTCTCTGTCTTTCTGTTGTTATTACCAGTATTCTTCTGATTCTAACTTTCTTTCTTTCTCTTGTTCTACCACCTTCTTACTCGTGTTCTTTTTACTCTACTTTCGTTTTTTATCACGGGCTATCTAACTCACTGTTTTCTGTCTCTATACCTCTTCGCGTCTCTCTCTGTCCAGCCGTCTCTTAAAAATCTTGTTTTTTTTGTTTTCCTAGGCCGACTTTCAGCTGTTTCTTGTATATCTTATTCTTTTGATTCTTTCATTCTTCTCTTTTCTGTTGTCTTAACCGTCTTCTCTCTCTCCTGTCCGAATGACTGTCTTTCTCAAACATTCTCGTCTTAATTCGTCACTCCATCTCACTTCAAACACACTATGTCGCAACTTCTCTCACTCTTCTTTACATTCTTCTTCTTGTTCTAACCACTATCGCTCTATCTCACGTCAACCACACTCTCGTCTCAACCACTCTCTCCCTCTCGCCCCAACCCCCTCCCTCTCGTCATCCCATTCGACGAATAAATAGTTTGTGGCTCGAAAAATATGAAAAAAAGGAAGACGAAAGGAGAGGGGGGAATCGGTTAAGTGAGAGAGATGGAGAAACAAGGGGATGGATGCAAAAACACCGGGGCGATGAAAGAGCGTAAAATGGCGGCGTTGGTATGCGTTATTTCCTTTTTTTAACTCCTGAGTAAGACAAGAAGAAAGGGATTGGAAAAATTGAAGGAAGGGGGGGGGGAGACATTTAGGCCCGGCTTTTCAAGTGCATCATATCATAACCGCGTTGGGGCTACGATTTGTTTTTTTTTATTTGGAACTTCTTTGAATGTATGGGGTAGAATTGTTCGTCTAACATAATATAAGTCGAATATAACAAATATTAAGGCTAGTACAGCTATTTAAAACTTGAATTAATATAAATGTACGTGGTTTGAACTGTCATTACATATAGAACGCCCATTTGCCACGGATATATTATAGTTAGCGCAAAATTAGTTAACACGTAAGACCAATATTGACGCAGGAAAACAAAAAAAAAGAGGGGACATGAGAGGTGACGCACGGGATACGCGGGATAAGATTAAAAAGGTACATGATCAAAGGCTTGTTTTAAGGTTAATAAGGGGCATGATTGAGGGGGGGGGGGGGGAGGTTAATAAAAGGTATGATTGGTAAGTGGGGAGGGAAAGGCTAATAAAGGACATGGTTGAGGGAGAGGTTCAAGTGTACTAAGGAGCATGGTTAGGTAGGCGGCGAGGGGGGGGGGAAAGGCTAATAAGGTAATGATCGATATGGGCAAGGGTTATGAAGTAAAACATCAAAGGGGGAGTTAAGGGTAATAAGGTGGTTGATTAAGAAAAAAAGATCAAATGTAGGGTAGGGTAGGGTATGGGTATGGTAGGATAGGGTAGGATAGGGTAGGGTAGGGTAGGGTAGGGTAGGGTAGGGTAGGGTAGGGTAGGGTAGGGTAGGGTAGGGTAGGGTAGGGTAGGGTAGGGTAGGGTAAGGTAGGGTAGGGTAGGGTAGAGTGGGGGTAGGGTAGGGTAGGGTAGGGTATGGTAGGGTAGGGTAGGGTAGGGTAGGGTAGGGTAGGGTAGGGTAGGGTAGGGTAGGGTAAGGTAAGGTAGGGTAGGGTAGGGTAGGGTAGAGTAGGGCAGGGTAGGGTACACCCTGCCCTACTCTAGTTAACGATTTCAAAAACATTTTTTTAAAAAAAATCTTGATGTCTAACTTATTTTTTGTCAGTTACTACACGAACGTCTAATCGTAACACATTAATGTATTATAGAAACAAATAGTTATTATGACCTAAACGGGTTTAATAATACCTTATTATGGTGACTTAAAGCTGATGTAGACAGTCTGAAACAGAAAACTATTTTTTAGGTATATAATACTGCTCTTGAGGTTTTACATAAAATTCGAAATTTGATTAAACCAGTATATGCTTTGTAGGTGAGAGTCAGTGAGTTGTTTCTAAAACATGTAGGTGTAGATTGAGTTAGGTTAATCAGTTGTAAGGTTGTCTACATGGATAGGTAGGGTAAGGCAAAGCAGGGCAGGGAAGAGCAAAAGAGGGCATGGAAGGGCAGGGCAATGCAAGGCAAGTCGAGACATGGCAAGGCATTGCAAGTCAAATCAAGGCAGGGTAGGGTAGGGTAGAGTAGGTTAGGGTATAGTAGGGTAAGCTAAGGTAGGGTATGCTTTCAAATAACATTTTTTCTAAATATAGGACAGTTGATACAACTTTGACTTTCAATTAGCATCCACCAAACAAGTCTAATGTTGTTAATTCTGTTTAGTAATCATTGAACATTATTTATTAATTATACATTATAAACCTTACGTAAGACGCTGAATACGCTCGGATTTGTGGGCTAAAAATAGCCGTGGTTGGAAGCAGTAAATTAGAAAATGAAACAGCTTGCAAAACGGCTCTAAAACATGCTAGATTACACTTTTATGTATTATTGCATTTTAAAGTACTATAGACGGCATTTGTAGGTTTGGAGGTTTGAAACTTGTTCTTTGTGATAAGTTTTTGAACTGTTTATTGTATGATACATATATAGGACGTCAGGCTTTTGTTATTTAGTCATACTCGATAGGTTTGTGGTCTCCAGCTTGAGAGAAGGGTAAAGCTCTTCTGTGTAGGGCTAATCTTTAATGTGTACGTTGTTTCAAGCTTTTAACATTGTCAATCTTTGGCTTTTAACTATTTTTCTTTATACTGATAGAAAAGCTTCAAATGAACCTGCAATTTTGAATTTGTAAGCCTATCTTATCTGGAACATCAAAAAAAGGGCTTGCAACACAATGCCAAATTTGCCAAATTGGCGGAAAATTTAAATATATTAGTTTTAAAACTTAAACTTAAGATTTTGTACGTGTGCTAATGGTCCTACAAGGAATTTGTATAAAAATTTTGAGCTAATTCTGAAAGTTGCAGGTTGGGTACTTTCCTTGTTAAACTTATAATAATATTAAACGTACTGTAACTCGCTAGTCAAAGCTATTTAGCAGTTTTTGAAAATGGTTTTCTCAATATCTTTTTATGCTGTTTTATCTTATGTAGGTCTAGTTCTTTCATACTATATTGGTTTCATTAAATCATCCTGTAAAGGACCCGTTCTTTCGTCCAATATAGCTCTGACTAAACAAGTATTGTAGTGTCTCGAATGTCTATTTTTTGTTTTGTATCTTCATAGTTGTCTGTTATGTAGTCGTTTTTTACTTCCTCTTTGGCAAATGTACTTAACCTTGTTGGCCAGCATTTTTAATAGCAGTTTTTTTTCAATTAAAGATTACAAGTAATTGAACATTAATTAAAACGTATGGCGCTAAGGTAGATGCTTTAGGTTTTATGCTTTAATATTAATTAAAATTGTCGTTTTCAACTAAATTTTAAAAAATTTTTAAACCTAAAAAAATTTTTAAGTTACTAGTGCCACTGTTTTTTTTTACTTTAACACAATTATATTCTGACACTCAAACCCGAACCTTAATTATGAGTTCCGTGCATTTGTTTGATGCGATGACATCACTACAACGTCATTCCTTTTGTTATGAAGTTAATGTTATGGCCGCTAAAAGGTCTAACTTCTATGGTTTTTGAGATTTTTGAGGAAAAAAAAGGCTTTAATTAAATTAAAATTTTGGTTTCTTTGTCCTACACTACCCTACCCTACTTTACTCTACCTACCTACCCTACCCTACCCTACCCTACCCTACCCTACCCTACCCTACCCTACCCTACCCTACCCTACCCTACCCTATCCTACCCTACCCTACCCTACTCTACCCTACCCTACCCTACCTTACCCTACCCTACTCTATCCTACCCTAACTTGCCTTACTTTACCCTACCCTTGATTTACCCTACCCTACCTTACCCTATCGTACCCTACCATACCCTACCCTAACTTGCCTTACCCTACCCTAACTTGCCTTACTTTACCCTACTCTTGATTTACCCTTGCCTTGCTCTTGTCTTAAACTTGCTTGCCCTTAATCTACTCTACCATGCTTTAAACTACCCTGCCCTTGCCCTGCCTTGTCATGCTTTGTCCTGCTCTTTCTTGCCCCGGTTCGCTCTTACGTGCCCTGGCCTACTCTGCTCTGTAATACGTTGCCCTGCATTGCTCCGCCCTGCACTTCTGTGCCCTGCCCTACTTTACCCTACCCCAATGTACCGAACATTCACCTATTTTTCTTTACCTAAAGCTAATCTACTTTTAGTATCTTATGACAATAATCCTACTCTGCTCATATGAACCTGAATTTGACTCTGCTCATACCAACCTGAATTTGAGCTTAGCCCAGTTTTTCCATGCCTATACCCTGTCCTGCACTACCTTCATAAATTTTTATTTTCATACCCTAATACAATTTTTTTAAAATTGTATTTAACAAGACTATGTCCACAATTACATATGTGATTCCCCCAAAAGTAGTATATGCTAAACAAGATGACATGCCCCCCTTAAACCGAATCCGTTTCCCAGTATTCGTGAAATTTGTTTTTGGGCTTCAGGAAAAAAAAACCTTCTTTTTTCCACAAAACGGCCGCCTTAAAATAGAGCTCTAACTTCTCTCTTCAATTTTTTTTTTGTTTTTTTTCGCGGCTTTCAATTCTTTTCATTTTGCAAATATTAACCAAATGCACATATTTTTCCAAGGCTATAAACTTTTATATCATCTGTGATTGGGGGGCTTGGACGTCGCTAAGAAGGTAGGAGTTTGGATAGGACTAAGGTTAGAAATAAGAACATAGTTGGGGTAGGGGTATAAATAGGGATATATGTAGGGATAAGGACAGAAATAAAAGCATGGGTAGAGGTAGAAATAAGGGCATATGTATAGGCAGGGATAAGGGTAGGGGTAGAACTAAGAGCAGGGGTGGGATGAGAGATAAAAAATAAGTAAATAGGTATGGGCAGAGTAGGATAGGATAAAAGTAAAGGTAGGAGTAGAGGTAGAAATAAGGATGTGGGCAAGGGTAGGGGTAGAAAAAAGAGCATGGGTAGGGTTAGGGGTTGAAATAAAGGGTGTGGGTAGGGATCGAAATAAAGGCATAGGTAAGGGTAGGGGTAGAAATAAGGAAACGGGTAGGGGTAAAAATATAAACAAGGGCATTTGTAAGGGTAGGGGTAGAAATAAGGGCATAGATAGGGGTAGCGGTAGGAGGTATGGGTAGAGTAGGGTAGGGGTACAAATACAGGCATGGGTAAGGTAGGATCGAGATAAAATCAGGGGAATTAAGCCTCCTATCCTGTTTCTCTCCCCCTCTCCCCCCCCACCCCCCCCAAAATATCCATTCCCCCAAAAATAACCCCTCACTCTCCCTCCTCTAACTCAAAAAATTTTTGTTTCTCATTTCCTTGTCTACCCCGCTCTTACTACCCCAAAAAATATAATAACCTACCTCTCCCGCCCCTTCCCTCGCCCTTGTTTCTTCTCATATATTGCGTTATCTTGGTGAATACTTTGTTAAAAGCCATTTTTATTTCAAAGAAATTTAACTTTCTAGCCATTTTTTTGCGATTTTTAAAAATTCGAACGTTCTTTCCTTGTAGAAGAGAGTTCGGTTGCTTTTTCAGTCAACTGACCTTTCTGTTCGTTAATTGATTAGTTTCTGGCTGTTTTGTTTGTAATGTGTTTTCGTTGATCAACACATGAAAAACGAGCGTTCTCACCTTGCACTCTTGTTGTCATTTTATTAAATTTTTGACTTTTTTTATACAAGGCATGGGTTTTTAAAAATAATAAGCGTTTTTTGTTTTTTTGAGCGGGGGAGGGGGTTTTGTTGATAACAGGGACGTCGGTAGGGGGTCGGGGGTGGGGTAGGAATAGGCGGAGGGGAAGGGGAAAGGGTAGGGATGAGAGTAAGGTGGGGTAGGGGTAGTGATAAGGGCAGGGGAAGAGTAGTGTTAATTAAGGTAGGGTAAGGGTCGGGCTTTGGAGGCGTTAGCTGAGGTAGAATGAGGATCGATCCACCCCCTAGAACCAAATTTGAAAAAAAAATATTTCTAGTAATTACCAACAAGTAATTTTTCGAAAAATGGTTCAATTAGGGCCAGTGGACCAAAAAAAATTTTTTACTTCTCTCCCCCTCTCCCTTCCCCCCCCTTCCAAGAAAAAATCAGTAGCGCCGTCCTTGTTTTGGTGATAATATCCCATATTAGGATGTTCAAATAATTCTGTGCCCCTCTCAAATCAAATTTTTAAGGTTAGGAGGCACAGAATTATGTTAACAGCCTATTATAATATATTATTGTTCTTTACTATAATATTAAGCATTTCGAGTAATTCGCGTACTTTTTGGAACTTCTAACTCCGTAAAATACGACATCATTAAACCTTTCACTTTACATTACAGAAGCATTTCATACGCGCCATGGTAAAGCGCGCCGGCCGGGGGTTGTCGGTCAAGGACCTCCCCGACCACCTGGCCGAACTTTTGCGTCAGAACGACGTGAAAGGGACGCCTTTAACCAGGACCGAAGTCAGCACACAGTTGGCCAAAGAGCACGGTACTAGCCGCGAGAACACCGAGAAAGCGCTGGACGCTTTGATTCAAATGCACAAGATCGTCGAGGTGGCGACTGAGAGTGGCAGTACACCGGTTTTTCATGATCTTTTGAGGTTCAAGTAAGCGAGTTTAGTTTGGTTGTTAGACTTTTAGGCAGGGCTTGTAAATGATTCCTTAGACTAGTCCTGGGCCGGATTTTTAAGGCTATTCCCGAATCGAATTTTTAAGGCTAGTTCCGAATCGAATTTTTGAAGCTAGTCCCGATTCGGCTTTTAAGGCTAGTCACGGCAAACGCAAATTTTCGGTCCGGACCAGGAGTTGGGCGTTGGTTTGCTTGGGCTTACTTGGGCTGGCTCGGCCCGACTTTCTTCTCGTGGCTTTAGCCGGGCCGGATAGTCTCTTTCTAAGCTTTTTGGCATACATGGGTCTACCGAGACCGGCCTCTTTTAAACTGTTTTTGGCTAGGCTAAGCTGGGCCTTGTTAGCCTCTTTTTTAAGTCTAGTTTTGGAACCTGAGGTGAGACTCTGGTACCTTCATTTAGGTGCCCCCCCCCCCTTTTTTTTATTGATTTGGCCCGGCTTTTTAGATTTACCTGGACCGGGCACGATCCGGATCTAGTGAGCCCTCTTTCAGACCTAGTTGTAGAATCTAAGTTGGGCTTCTAGGGCCTTTATTTAGGCCCTTAGGTCCTCTTGATCCTGAATAGCTAGGCCCTTTTCAAATTTAATTTAGACTGGTATGGTCCGGCCCGAGTTCCGGCCTTTGGGCCCACGTGTGTCGGCCTGGTCTTGTTTAAATTTGCTTTGGCCGGGTTGGGCTAGACTTAGGAGGTCCCTTTTCATATCTTCTATGCCTTCAAGCCCACAGGCGCCAGTCCTGCCTAGTCCCTTTCAAAATTGTTTTGGCCCATTCCTCTTTTAGGTGTAGCTTCGCCTTAGGTCAACCTGAGGCTAAACTTAATTACCTCAACAATACTCTCTCTCCCCCCCCTTCCACTTCCCCCCCTTCTCCCACTACCCCCCCCTCTCCCACTACCCCCCCCTCTCTTAATGCTAGTTTTTAAAACCATACTCAATATTTTCAGAATGTCCCGCGAACGTCGGCTTCGAATCGGCCCCAACACTGATCTATTCTCCGTGGTTCGCAAGAGTTTGATCGAGAAGTCTGCACGCTCGTCCCAGTACGCAATGTCAGTTTCCGAAATCCACGACTACGTGCAATTGACGTATCAGCTGGAGGGGAATTCAGACGAGCATCTGTTTGCTGGAATCATGAAGACCGTGAAAGCAATGTTGAAGCGAGATTTGGTGGAGGAGAAGGTGCCGTTGCATAACAATGATTCGAAGTACTTTGCCACCAGCTCGCTTATGCTTAATGTAAGTTTTTTGTTATAGGGGAGGTCGTTATTGAAGAGTTATAGAAAAGTCCCACCGTATATTACATGGTGCGCCAAAAGTCCCCGGACTAACTTTACTGGTTGATTCCTTTATGTTGTACGCGATTTACAAAAATTCCGTTAATATCCTGCCTTTCCAGACCTCCCTCCCAGCCCTCGACCCAAAACCCTCCACCTCAGCACATGCCCCACTGGAGGTATCGCTGGACAACAACGCCTCCTCATGCTCTCCCTCGCCAAACTCGAGTAGTTCCTTCAAACGTCGAGAAAAGCGCCTGTCAGAAGCGTCCCAACAAAACAGTGATGCCAGTAAAACGGAGCTCAAAAGTCTACAAGATAGCCTATCTTCCTACTTTACTCCGTCGAACTCAAGACGGTCACGAGTGGCACAGTCATCGTTCTCGTTGGAGCATTTTCAGTCAATGGACGAGGATAAACTGGGGCCATTGGAGATTGATGTGAACAGGAGCTTGGATTTGAAGAGTGAGGATGATGGTAAGTGGTTTTTTGAAAAAAAATATTCAAATTCAAAATTTTAAAAATTTAAAAAATTAAAAAATTTTTTTTTGAAAAAATTTTAATTTTTTTATATCACAAGGTAACAATCACAATTCTTACTTAAAAATGTCGCTTCAGGTTCAGTAACTTCACCTACACGACATCATGCAGACCGACTGCTAGACTCGTTATCACCTTATTTTAGTGCCAATACAGAAAGACGAAGGAAACATGAAAAAGGGGAATATAAACAGCTTTGTAATGGCATTCCGCTGAAAAAGAAAGGTAAAACTTGTTGATTAATACTTATCTTTAGTTTTTTGTCACAGATTTACTATAGTAACAAGGGAATTCCGAATCTGGCTCGATCTGATTGACTTCAAACTTTTTATAAAGAAAGATCATGTAAATATAAGATCTTCAGCAAAGTACTAAATCGCGCTTTCCAGGAAATCACGAGAAAATCGAGATTAAAAAATGACATTTTGAATTTCCCGCCAACTTGGCATTGTGTTTCAAGCTTGTAACTTTGTCATTTTTTGACTTTTAATTATTTTTCTTTGATATACTAGTAGAATACCTTTAAATGAACCTACATTTTTAAATTTGTAAGCGTATCTTGTCTGGAAAGTCAAAAAAAGTGCTTGAAACACAATGCCAAATTTGCCAAATTGGCGGGAAACCCAAATAATTCAAATTTATAACTCAAGAGCGCCAGCTAAAATTTTTTATGGGTACTATTGGTGGTACAAAGAATTCATATAAAAATTTTGAGCTGATTCTGAGCGGGACAAGTTGGGTACTTTCCTTGTGAATGTATTATAAACCCTCCAAAACCCTTTTTCTAAACTTAAAAATCATCATTTTAGGCCGTTCAAGTGACAACGGTGTGAAAGACGTTTTACATGATGTTAAAAACGATGAAGAGGTATGTTTCAACCTATATTTCACCCTATATTAACCAATATTACGCCCTATATTATACGAATCCTCGAAACTTGAAAGTACAACCCAAACAAAACCTTCCGCCTACCTATCTGTTCCATTAAAAATTATTATTTTTTTATGATCGGATCATAAAAAACAATTCCGACAGCTATCAGTCCAATTTGTTTTTGTTGTAATTTAAGGTTTGTCTTAATGTTTTCAAAAAGTAAAACAAAAATTTTGTCACTTTAAAACTGATTATCTTATCTGTTCGTTGAAGGTTTCCGAATTTTCAACGAACAGCTATCTTTTTTAATATTGTGGTATTTATATTGTAGTTAGGAGTTTTGGAGTTTAACTTTTGATGTTTTGTCAACAGTTTCTTTCTTTGAGAGCAATACCAGGTGTTAGGTACACCGGTAAAGGGGCCGGGCCCGGTTGTAGTCCTTGGTTCGGGCTTCTACTAGAACTGGCTTCCAAGGCGGGCCGAATTCTTAGTCCTACCCTTTTTTATAAGGGTCCCTTTCAAGTTTTATAGGTCCGTCTTTCAATTTAACATGGAATATTTAGATGGATCACGTGCATCGCCACACCCCGAGCGTATCCTCAATGTGTGGCGAGAACGCGGACGTCAGTCGAGTGTCACCAGCTTTAAAACGGAAGCATTCCAGCTTCGACAGCGAAGACCTGTCCATACCTTCACATTCCGTCACACCAAGCGATTGTGCTAGCCCATCGAAACGTCGACCTCGAAAGTTGGCCAACCGTACCAGTGCCAACTTACTCAAACGAGCTCGACAACATCAAGGTGAGATAACAAACCCGCTTTTAAGCGATTATATTGAAATTAACATAACACACGAATACTTGGCAATAATTTACGACATTTGTTAGTAGAAAAGGTTGCAGATTTCAGATATTTGTCTCGAAAACCTAAAAAATGTTTTAAAATATCAAATATAGTTGATCCCTACCTTATTTTTGGTCAAAAACAATAGAATACAGCTTGGCCTTTACATTGAAGAGGTTTCAGATTCCAGATATTTGTCTTTTAAACCTGAAACATGTTTTTAAAAAGTTTTCTCAAAGATAACGTTGACATCTTACCTTATTGTTGATCAAAAACAAAAGAATACAGAACAGTTTGACCTTTACAAAATACTGGTTGACCTTTTAAACTTTTATAACCACTATAAAAGTACACAGAACCTTTAACCCAGCTTGAGCGCCACTTTTGACCAACTTTTATTGGTAAAAGGCGCGAAACAAAAGAGCGCGACCTGCGTCCCTGCCCAGATTTTATTTTTTCGGAAATTAATTCCGCTTGTTTTCGGAAAAACTTGAAGAATATTCGAATATCTACCTGGAAATTTATCGTTTTGCTATAATTTTGAAAATTAACATTGTTTAAGCATCATATTATTGTAGGCTTGGATATTGATCTAAAATTAACGTTTTGTTAAAGTTTTTAAAGTTATATTGTTTTAGCCCGCCTCGCTCATTCCTTGAAGTTGAATGGAACGTCGAGGAAAGAACGCAGCACGTCAAATGTAAATAACAGTTCCAGAAAGAGTCGTCTAACTGCTGAACCTGTTCATTCAACGGTTATTAGCAATTCGGCTGTCAAAATGTAAGTTTTGAGATCAATCGATTAGTAAATTCGTATTTTAACTTGTCTTTTACCTTTTTAATTTGTTATTATTACTCGCCTTGCTTTAAACTTGATGTTTTTCTTAATTTTTTTCTGTGATATCAGGACTCAAGGATAATATCGCATTAAAACTAATATAACTTTAGTTTTCGTGAGCCAAATCCTTTGTTTTAAAATATGTTTGACAGCCTTATACATGATTATAATCAAAATTCCTTTTATAAAAAATTGTTTCAGAACCTCACCATTACGAAAATCAGGGTCGTTCTCTCCGGTCAAATTCCTAATGGAGCCTTCTACTTCAAAAGAGAATGCATCGCCGGTGAAGATTCGAAAAGAAGATGAAGAGATGTTTAATAAGGCCCATAAGATTGTGCAGGATGTAAGTAGTATAATTTCATTGTTTTTTGAAGTTTAGGTACAACAACAGCAACTGAAAGGTTTGATATCCTTAAAAATGCGAAAATCTTATCGGTTTTGGCCGCAACTATTTTTTAGTGCTAGCTACAAGCATGAAAATTGCAGAAATTGCAGTTTATTCATTTTTCTATATTTCTCAAAAAAGCAACTTATGAAATTCTCAAAGATTCAGAAGTTACAGTAATTTTACCGTACCCCACTTTTGGAATTTCGACCGAATTTCTAGCAAAACCTCTTGTATCTCATTCAGAACACGTTTTAATGCCCAATCTAATGCATATTACTCTAGCGGATGGATCGAAACACAAAAGCCATGGCCGAAAAGGGTGAAAATGCAATAACAATACCTAAAATACGAATTGGTCGTTACGAAATCGAAAGCCTGTATTCTTCGCCGTATCCTGCCGAATATGCTGGAGTGCCTTTGTTGTACATATGCGAGCATTGTTTGATGTATATGGCTAGCGATGATCGGCATAAAGTAAGGTTTTTGAGTTTTTGTTGGTTTTTAGGTAACAATTTTTGGAATTGGAGGGGAAGAGAGGTGTTTGCTGAGTTTTTGGGTAACATTGCTTTAAAAAGTGGACTTTATTGATTTTTAGGTAACATTCCTTTAAAATTAGAGTGGAAACCATTTTTCATGGGGTTTTAGTTTATGTTGAAGTAAAAATCGGCCAAAACTTTAAAAAACTAAAATTTTCAGAAAAAATGCCGTTCAGTGTTCCCCCCAGGCAACGAAATCTACCGCAAAGACAATATTTCGGTCTTCGAAGTCGATGGAAACACGGCCCGAGTCTATTGTCGCAATCTTTGCCTCCTGGCCAAGTTGTTCATGGACCACAAGACGTTGTATTTTGATGTGGAGCCCTTTTTGTTTTATGTTTGTGTTATTCGTGACAAATTTGGGTTGCATTTTGCTGGTTATTTCTCGAAGGAAAAGTACAGTCATCAGAAGTTCAACTTGGCATGCATTGTCACATTGCCGGCGTATCAGAACAATGGAATTGGACGGTTTTTGATCGATTTCAGTGAGTTTTTAAAGTTTTTGTTATGATTTTAGGCTTTTTGTTTGGTTCTTATGGTTTTAGGCTTGTTTGATCATTGATTTGGAATTTATTTTTGAAAATTTTGTGAAAAGGTCCGAAAAATCGATTTTAAAAAATTTTGTAAAAAATTCCGGAAAAATCGATTTTTCAAAGCGAATTATCGCTGTTAGAGGCACAGAATTATTTGAACAACTTAATATAACACCATTTCAGGTTACTTGATATCCCGCCAAGAAAGCATGTTAGGCACCCCAGAACGACCCCTCTCCGACCTCGGCCGAATCGCCTACGAAAGCTACTGGCGCACCGCGATCTTCGAATTTCTATACCGAAAACGACAGAAAGGACCGACCGAAACCCTGTCCCTAAACGACATTTCCCGCGGCACAGGTATCGCCTTCTACGACGCGGTGGAAGTGCTGGTTAGCGAAGGGTTTTTGAACGAAAAAGACGGCCAATTGGAGTGGTTTTTCGACTGGCCTAGAATCGAAAAACATTGGGAAACGGCCAAGGCCAATCCGAAGCGGATATGGATCGATGAGACCAAGTTAAGATGGACGCCCAGAGTATACACGCCTACGATTGACATGATCGGCCGAAGTCCCATCATGTCGCCGGTAAGGTTGGGATTGTCAAGGGAGAACGACGTAAGTTGGGGGTTTTTTGAGGATTTCCAACCTTTTGTTATCTAAACGGCTAGAAATTTCAATTTTTTAACATTTTGTTACTTAAATGTTAATTTTTCAATATTTTGTTACCTAAAAAGCTGAAAATTGCAATTTTCCAACATTTCTTTACCTAACCTGCCCTACTTTTCTTATATTTTCATTTTCAGCCCAACACCCAACAAGTTCTGGCATCGGCGGCGTGCCGGCGCCTCTTCAGCCCGGACAAGAACCGCCGACGCTCCGAACCCGAGGACCAGAATCAGCAGAGCGCCAAAGACTCGGCGGCCTCACGCAAACGCCAGAACCGAAAAAACTCGAAGGCGGCGGTGCTCGCGCCCAAGAACCAATTGCAGCTCCTCACCGACGACGAGCTCGACACCAACCCGCCCAACAAGAACTCGTCATCTTTCGTCGGCCCAAAACACCGACAAAACGCAAAAGGTAGGGGTTGGTGTGGTGGAAAGAAAGTTTTTGCCATTTTTTGTGGAAAGAAAGTTTTTGCCGTGCTTTGTTTTGGAAAGAAAGTTATTGTTACTTTTTGTTTTGTAAAGAAAGTTTTTTCCGTGCCTTGTTTTGTAAAGAAAGTTTTTTCCATTTTTTGGTTTGTAAAGAAAGTTTTTGTCATTTTTGTCTTGGAAAGTAAGTAAACGAAAGCCTATAGTCTTAAATGTTCCCGTCTAATCATCTTTCAGAGTCTCAGTCGTTCGAGTCTTACTTTGTCAGAAGTACCACTCCCGTCACTCCCAAAGCCTCGCCGGTGTCTCTAGATCAAGAATAATTAATTATATTTCAAGCTTAAATAAAGTGTATTTTTACATTTTTTCTTATTTTTAAGTATTTATGGAAAACACGGTTTTTCTGCCGCTATTTTGCACTGTGGACCTGGATAGCCAAAATTTGGCCGTCGTTCTGCACTGACTTAGGTCTATGGCGTTTTTTGTTTTGTAAAGAAAATTCTTGCCATTTTTTGCCTTGGAAAGAAAATTTTTGCCATTTTTTGTTTTGTAAATAAAGTTCTTGCTATTTTTTCTTTGTAAAGAAAGTTCCTGCTATTTTTTAAACCTGACCTGTAAACCTATAGCCTTATCCCTCTTCAGACAGTCGCCGCGCAATCCCCTCCTCCAGCTCGGACGACACCGACGATGACGACTTCAAATTGGTTGGGTCGGCCGAACGCCGCCGCTCCAGGCCTGGTCGTCGACCGAGCGCCGCCGCTAAAAACGACAAAAAGAGACAACAGCGAGAAACCGCGAAGGCGTCGGACGAAGCTGACTCCAGCAACTCGGAATGGTCCCGGCCCGCATCGCCAGCGGCCGATAAGAAGAGGAAGGCCAAAGAGATCGTGGAAATGATGGAGGTTTCTAGTGAAGGTGAGAGCTTTTTTATTTGGAATGGATAATACTGGTTGATATCAGATGTAAAATGGGAAATAATAGTCGATATCAGGTATAAAATGGCCACTAATAGCCAAAACCAGCCATAAAAAGACCAAAGATACGCTACATCAAATAGCCAACAGCCTATAACAATATCATTTTCAGAGGAACTACCCACCCCAAAACCTCGCCAACCCGCTGCCACAGGCAAAAAAGGTAAACCAAGCGCGGCCAAAAAGACTGGCAAAGGCAAGAAGTCGCGAAAAGCCGGCTCCGACTCAGACAATGATCAAACCTACACTGTCGGTAGACCACCCGGTAAAAAAGGCACTGGAAAACGACCAGGCCGACCACCCTTGGGCGACAAAGGTCGAAAAGGTGTTGGTAAGAAGATTGAGAACATTACTGACAGTAAAACTTCGAAAACAGACGGTAAAGCCAACGGTAAACCGGCCGAAACTGAAGACAAGAGCTCTGCGAAAGGCCTGACCTTACAGGTTGAAAAATCCGCCTTGGCAGTTACCGCCCCGACTTCAGAAGCATCGTCAAGAACTACGTCGCCACGACCTTCCACCTCGACCAATCTTCATCTGACTTTGAATGAAAGCGACGATGATGACGAAGCCAATAGATCTGACTTATCACCTTCTCCTGGCCCATTATCAGGCCGAGGGAATCGCATTTCATTGGTCGCTGAAACCATGAACATGGGTGGCGAGCCAGACACAGTGAATATGGGCGGAGAACCGGACGACGAGGACGAAAGTCATCAACAATTCGCGGCCACACCGAAAGCTCCCAAACCTCATATGATTGAAGATGAGTATTCAAATCATGTGGGTGAAGGTGAAGATGGATTAGGTCAGAATTTGCCGGAGTTGCCATTGGCAGAGCTACCTCGAAGTCTAGGGCATCAAAACTTGTCGGAGATTCCCTTGTCAGAGTTGCCTCAGAATTTGTCGGATTTGCCTCAAAGCTTGTCGCACAACTCTTCGCTCCAATCAAATATCGATTTACATTCACAAGAACCAGCCTTAACAGCGGCGAGCTACACAAATGCTACTGAGTTAGCGTATCAACAGCCGTGGCAAATTCAGAGCAAAGCTGATTATCAACATGGGAACAAAGCTGATTACCAACATTCAAACAATTCCGAGTACCAACACAAAGCCAGTATGCAAGAGTACGACCATCACAAAAACACCTACAACCCACACAAGGCCAGCCTCGACTACCAACACAAAAACATGTTCAATCACAAGTCCTCAGTACCTGACTTTCGCCAGAATCCCGAGTTTTCCCAACAGAAATCACTCGACTACGCACAAATCCCCTACAATGGTCAATATCAACATCAAGAAGGCAACAACCAATACTCGCGAGAACGAAACGGCCAATATCAAAGTGTACCACAGCCCGAACTGTACCAAGAACCGCGAATGGTTAACAACTCGAAAGCCTTGGAATGTGCGGCCCCGATTTTATCCAATTTACCGCTAAATCAACCGGTTTTGGAGCAGACGGATGAGAATGTACCAATGCCAATTTTAGAGAAAGAAATTGAAACACGTGTACAGGATGATAATACGCCTGTACAGGATGAGGAAGGACTTGATGCGCCGCCTCCTCTTTCTCCCGAAATGGTATGTTTTTTTTTGATAAGCGGTAACCAAATTTTCCAAAGTTGGGCGCTTTGAATGGCTCATCCATATTCTGACAAGCTGGTATATGATATTAGGTTGTTCAAATAATTCTGTGCCTCTGTCAAAACAAATCTCCGGGGTTAGTTGGCATAGAATTATTTGAACAACCTAGTACTATTAACCTAAGAATTAAAAAATTTTTAAAACAGCCTTAGCCTTTGGCCTGAGACCTTACAAATCCCATTTAAAGACTTTCCTGGACCTAAAATTTCAAAAATCTCAACCTTTTCCCCACACCACCATGGGAGGGGAAAAGGTTGAGAATTTTGAAGGTTCTTGACCTCCTCAAGGTTTAATCTACCTCCTCAAGACCAACATTATTTTAGGCCAAAGCCAACGAAGCCACCGACAACGGCCCACCAGTACTAGACAGCAATCCAGGGCCGTCCCGCAAACGTTCCTCCAATCCCGCTCAAATCTCAGAGCCACAAATCCAAGTCAACGATCGGATGGACAACTTGGCCATCGACTGTGAACAAGCCAAAAGTCAAGCTGATGTTCACTTCAATAGCAACGACTTTTCGAAAATACAACGCAAAAACGTGCATCAAAGCCCGATTTTGCAGCCGAATTCGAATTCTCCAGCCAATTATAAGTAGGTTTTAAAGGGTGTACCGAATTTTAAGAGAGCCGGGCCGGAAAATGTAAGCTTCAAGACCCAAACCAATGCCCCCAGGATCCCAACTTAGGTCCCGCAACGAAAGATTTGATTTACGAAAAGTGTAAAACGAATCTTTTAAAACTGTTTACTTAAGAATACTTTATTTTCAGACCAAGCTCCCTCCCCCAACAGCCACAAATCTTCTCGCCATCAGCCCAAATCCACACTCCCAACTCCCATCAACCCCTCTCCCAAAACTCGACCAGCACGGCATCAGAAACCATGCCAAACACATGCGAAATGCTCTCACCTCCAAACCTGTCCAAGCCCGAAGTCGCCAACTACAATATTCCACCACAACCGACCACACAATCCTTCTCTCCACCCAAAATGAAGGAGAAGAAGACCTCCATCGCGGCCACAACAACATCACACCAGTCCAGTCAGGCCCGACGACGAAACACCACGGATGGCTCCACTCAGAAACCCATTCATCGTACGGATTCTGGACAAATGAACGCGAATCTACCAGGTTTTCCGTTCATGCCTCCATACGTGCCGAACGGCCTTGGTAACATGCCCAATTCTTTCCCTATCAACTATACGAATCAGATGCCGAATCAGTACGACTACATGCAGAACAACGCGAACTATTTGTGGAACAACTATCAGTTCAATGCGGCCCTACCACAAAATGTTGCTAAGCCCGCCGGTTTTCCGAATCCGGCTATGGCTAACCAGATGGATGTGACGGCTATGCCATATTACAATCCACTGCAGCCCAATGCCGCGACACCACAAATGCCTCCGGCCAATGGGGCTGTCGCTTCGAATTTTGTCAACTTTGCCAATGCTTTGGCTAATCCATCGGCTAGCAGCTCGTATTATTATGGTTGAGGATATTGATGTAAGCATAGCTTCTACGGTCAATATTGACCTTCTTCTCCTACGGAATATTGCTCTTGTTCTGATTGATATTGTGGTAGTCATAGCTCTTGCGGCCAATATTGAGTTAGATTAACTTGATATTGTGGTAGCCATAGCTTCTACGGCTGATATTGATTATGTTTTGCTTGATATTGTTGTAGACAAACCTCTGCGGTCAATATTAAGTTAAGTCTGTTTGATATTGCCACCATCAGACACTATTTCTGACAATATTAACATGGCTATACCTACTACAAGATAGTCTACCAACAGCAGGGCTATACCCAAGTACAATCTGGCCTATCAAGAGCATGGCTATACTTACTACAAGCTATTCTACCAAAAACATGGCTATACCTACTAAAACGGCTATACCTACTACAAGAAAAAACTTCAACATGTACCTATTCAAACCCATCAACGCAATGTAAAAAGCCTTCGAAATCAATAACAATATTTTTAACATAATATTATCAAGATTACAGTTAATGTTAAAGTATCTTTACTTTATGCCTAAACTTAATTTCCTCTTTCTTATCTAATTTTATTCTTTCTCATCTAACTTTATTCTTCATCATCTAATGTTATTCTTTCTAATCTAATGTTATTCGTCACAGAACCTTTAAATCTATCTATTTCAGATCTAAACTATTGTTATCACAAGCTGTTTACACATTTCTCAACATCTCTTACATCTAATTTATACACTTTTAAAATGATTTTTAAATAATTTTAATGTGCCTTCGACATTCACATACCTAATCGGGAACGCTTAATCTGTTATAAACGCTTTTAACCTTGTTTTGTCTAAAATTTTGTTGTTTTGAGCACTTGAATCTTGTTTTATTAGCTGGATCCATTAATTCTTTCGTAGATTCATTACTTTTCACTAAAAATGTGGAAAGTGATGAAAATACGAAAGAATTAATGGATCAAGCTAATAAGAACAATATAGTCTTACTTCAGATTGTTTTATTTGGCTGGATCCATTAATTCTTTCGCATTTTCATAACCTTTACATGTAAAATGTAAAACCTATGAAAATGCGAAATAATTAATGGATCCAGCCAAAAAAAACAATCTATCATATTGTAATGAATATCTTCTTCATCTTCTCTTCGTTGGCCCAGACATGAATATCACTTTCCAACATCAAAACCCATGTTAACCAGCGACATTCATTCGTGCCTAACATAATATTATATTGTTCATCCTCTCTCTCACTTAACACCAAAACTTGGCTGTAGCTCGGTCTGTAGATTACCTCTACCGTTCACCATAGATATCTAGAAATTGATGTACGTACTCCTGTGTGTTTTACCAAAATGTTTCTCATTGATCTTGTTAATAAAACTTTAATACTTGAGTCGTTCGGCTGGATTGATGTTGTACTGAAAGGAAAGTTGGGGAATAGCTTACAGAGTGGTATAAATTGAAGGAAAATGCATGAAGGATTGTGAGTTACGAAGAGTTGGGACATAAGAGGATCTGAAAATACATAAAATACGACTAAAAAAAGGGAAAAAACAACGAAAAACTTCACCAAACAGCAAAAAATATCAGAAAAATATTTTAAATTAAAATACAAACTAAATCTGGCCAAAATAATCCGATTTATGGCCTATACATTAATTATTACCTATGGCTAGTTCGACTTTTATTTATTTTTCCCGACAAAAACCGAAAAGAAGCGCGAAACATAATTCATGGTATAAAAAGTCTTCAACCTTCACCTGCGCCCATATTATAATTTTGTTTCGAAAATTTGGGTGTTTCTTCGGATTTTTTGTTGGAAAGAGCTATAGCTAGTTAGTATTAGTGAATTAAAAGCTTGATATTTTACTTTTTATTCAAGCCAACATATTTTTACATTGTCCTAAACATGGCTGCTGGAGATTCACACAATTACAAGTTTGTGACCGTTCAATCCAGGTAAAACAATAATTTTTTAGGCGTTTATTTTGAATTCGAACAGGACTATTAAGCTTTAAAGAAGCATTAGAATTTATTTTAGCTATTATTATTATTTTTTTAGTTTTTAATTTGTTTATCTTGAAAAAACATTAACTGACCTATGTTATTTTAGTATGGGAACGTTTGTGATTGAATTATATTGGGAACACGCGCCTAAAACCTGCCAAAACTTTGCTGAGTTAGCCAGAAGAGGTTATTACAATAACACAATTTTTCATCGCATCATCAGCGAGTTTATGATTCAAGGAGGAGATCCAACTGGAACAGGTAATGATTTCTTATATTGTTTTTGTTTTAGGTGAAGCTTCTAGAAAGATAATTGGTTTCTAGACTTGAAATATTGAAGATGAAGGTATTTTTAACCTGTTAGGAAATATTGGGCTGAATTACGCAGTTAATAACATAGTTACGGCTTATAATGTTGTAGTATGGGGGCGAAGAGTGTTGTGGTTGATATTAGCTGTAACTTTTTTTAAGAAATAGCTGTTGCCTTTGAATTTTTAGGGAATGTGGCTTGGCTTTCGGTTTAGCTACTGCAAAAGGAAGCCTTTAAAAGTTTGCAATTTGCACAATATTACAGTAATTTCACTGTATCTATATTGTTAGGAAGGTTTATATGGTTTTTTAATGAAAAGTAATATTTTGAGTATGTTTTGAAGCTAAATTTGAATTTATTTAAACATTTTTGATTGTAACAGTTACTTTTATTAATGTCTTAAGGGAATTTCAATACAAATTGCTTTAGGCAGAGGAGGAACATCAATTTACGGAGCCAGATTCGAAGATGAATTGGATGCAAGGCTGAAGCACACTGGAGCCGGTATTGTATCTATGGCAAATTCCGGCCCAAACACGAATGGATCACAGTTCTTCATAACGTTAGCACCAACACAACATTTGGATGGGAAACATACGATCTTTGGCAGGATAAACTCTGGCATGAAGGTGATTCAGAAGATGGGTAATGTGGAAACTGACGCGAATGATAAGCCGATTCAAGAAATCAGGATTATCAAGGCTTCTCCTTCTGATGATGGCTTTGCTTAAGATGATATGGAAATGATGTTGGTGTAGGTATTGTGATTGATGATATGTGTTGATGGTTTATATCAATGTTATGATGCCTATATCAATTTTTTAAGTTAAAAAACTGAAAATCTCACAAAATTTGTTGATTTTTTTAATGAAAAAGACAATAAATAGTAATTTATTATATTACAATCGAGCTTTTTAGACCTAGCGGGTCATTTCGTTTTTTGGAAAGGGTAGGGGGGGGAGGGGGGGTGATTTTTTGGGGGCGGGGAGGGGGAAGTAACATTTTTTTTCTTGTTTTTATTGGTTTTTTCTTTCTACTTTGTTATTTTGAAAAAAAAATTGGGCGGGGCAAAACCACCCCCTATTACCCCGCCCAATTTTTTTTCATTTTTTATTCCTACTTTAATTTCCATTACCCCTGCCTCTTCCTTTTTGGAGAGACTCCCTTTATAATGTTTTCCTCATGAGTATTTAAATATGTTCAGGTGTGACTAGAGCAATGTAAGGTAGTGTAGGTATGGGTAAAATGGTTCAATAATGTACATATTTGACTTTCACCTGTTGGGACACGATTTCAAATACTATTACAATGTCAATAACTAGTCTATATTGCTCTGTAAACCTACGAGAAAAATATTGCTTCCTAAAGACGGTACTATAAGCTACAGTACCAATGTCATCAATAGATACGGTAGTATATACCTCGTCATCATATGACCAACTTGATGACATTGTCTACAGCATAGATGAGTATTATCTGTTTTATAGTCTACCTTTGTTTTTACTGTACATAAGGGTAGTTTACAGTATTTTTCAACATTGTATGCATCATAACCTTCATTTCCCTATGTTCACGGCTTTTAATGGCATTATGGTGGGTTACTGTAACTTTTTTTTGGAAATGCTTTTATAATATTATTATTCTTGGTCCATAAGTTTGTAGAATTCATTTTTTGAAATTTTAAATAAAAATTTTTTTGCGAAAAAATTAATGGATCCGACCAAAAAATTTTAAATTTTCGAAAAACCGCCAAAATATTCCATTTCAGGACATAACCCTATGGATCCTTGGTAATTTTTTCCATCGTTGGCCACACGAGCTTCGAAAACCTCAGTTTATTTATGCCCATTTTACTTTGAACAGTCACATCATTGGCATTTTGGACTTTTTCAAAAAAGCTTTCTCTTATTCCTTGTTTATCTCAACATTATTCATGGCATTTTATGTGTTTAGTACCGTTGTGTTTGAAAAGAAGCATTATAAGGTAATAAGCATTCTATGCCTACGACTGCTATGCCTAAGCCTACTAAACTTAAGCCTACTAAGCCTAAGCCTACTAAGCCTAAGCCTACTAAGCCTAAGCCTACAAAGCCTAAACCTACTAAGCCTAAGCCTACTAAGCCTAAGCCTACTAAGCCTAAGCTTACTAAGCCCAAGCCTACTAATCCTAAGCCTACTAAGCCTAAGCCTACTAAGCCTAAGCCTACCAAGCCTAAGCCTACTAAGCCCAAGCCTACTCATCCTAAGCCTAGCCTACTAACCTAAGATTATTAAGATTAAGTCTACTAAACCTAAGCCTACTAAGACTACAAAGTCTATGCCTAGCAAGAAGAAGCCTGCTAAACATAAGCCTAAGCCTCTTGGCATATTTTAAATAGTTTTTTAGTGGTGGCACGACCTTCTGCATGTCTATATGGCCAAAGTGTTCCTAATCCCAGCCATTTTATTCTACGATCTGATCTTTTCATCAGCATTCTTCTCTTACGACCCAGTCGAACGGGAGTACAACCTATACTCATCATCACCCTTTCCCCCACTGATAACTCGCGAAACTGGAGTGAAATTCATGTGGATTACCCTGATAGCTACGTTGACATTCATGTCGATTACTGTCAGTATTATCATTGTAAAGTTGTGTATGAAGAAACGGTTTGAACACCATGAGTTGAGCAACTTTGGGGTTACTGTAGTTTTCGCTTGTTGTCGATTCGTTTTTTTGTATTATCAGGTAAGTTACAATATTCTAGGAGTATCCTATTCTACTTTACCGTATTATTCTGAGACCTATCCTTCCATGCCCTACACTACCCTACCATACCCTACGGTATCCTACCTTACCCTACCCTAAGCTACCCTACTTTACCCGCAAAACACAACTATATTTTCAGATATTAACCCTAAACCTAACGTCCTTAAACCAACGTTCCGACCTATACGTTTTGGGCAGAAGCTTTCCTGTTTGGAACGACGTGATTTGCTTATCGCCAGCGTTCTTCAACGTGATTATCAGCAAACCAATCCGAAGGCTGGCTTTGCCATTTTTATATTGGAGACGACACAAGGTTCATGATGAAAATGAAGTTGGAAGAGCGAAGGAAGACCTTGAAAAAGGTGAACAAGGTCATGAAGAAGAGGGGGTCATGAAGAATGAAGAAGATGAACATGACGAAGATAAAGGTAATTCTGGTCAAAATGAAGACCAAGATTATAAGAACAATCAAAATTTTGATAGAAGAAACAGTAAAAATCAAGATTTAAACCAAAATTATCAAGAAAGCGAAGAAGATAAAAAAGAAAAACAAGAACAAGATGATCAAAATGGACAAAAACAAGAAGAAAAAGAACAAGATGAAGAAGAAAATAAAAAAGAAACTTCAGAAATATCTGACAGTACTGAAGACACCAAGATTTACCGCACATATAACCACAGAAACTCAGTACAGATCAATTTCGACCATAAACTTGATCAACATCATGGTGAAGATGCGGAAACTCAAAATACAGGCGGAAATAAGGAAGTAAACCTAAATTCTCATGATGTGGATATTAAGATAGATCGTATAGATGAAACTGGTGAACATACGATTAGAAATCAAGCTTCTAATAATGAGATAATTGAGGAAGAACATCTTGAAACTTCGAGAACCCGAAATTTAGAAGAACATGTCGAAGTAAATAACGAAAATCAAGGAAATCATGAGGGTATTGACCAGGATAATGGTGGAAATAGAAAGAATAGTTCTTTAAGCAATCATGAAGAAGATAACGAGCAAAGAACAAGTCGGTCAAGCACACGAAATGTCCATTTTACTGCGTAATCTCTGAGTAAACAATGTTCTTCATAAATTGTTCGAAATAATTTTAAATCTATTGAAAAAATATTAAAAATATATATTGGTTGATAAAATTTAATGTGTACTATATATTTTTTATTTTTATTAATTTGCCTGAAGCGAAAATGCATTTTTTATCGTATAAAATGTCGCTTTTGGCAAAAGTCGGCCAGGGCGCAGCTGTTCGTGGTTACATTCCGTTTTGATATCTTTTTCTGGACGCATTTTGAAACAGCCAAAGAAAGCGTGTCAATTCTCTGGCTAATTTACTGTTTTAGGAACTTTTTTTGTGTACTTTTGTCTTCTATTTTCAGCCAGTTCAGCTTTAACTAATAATTATATTATTTTAGAGAAGTCTTGGCAAAATGTCGGAAGAACATCTTATTACCGTGTCGGAGAATATTCAATTGGCTCCTTTGCGAAACCTGGATGAATTCATCCTGGACAGAAGCCGTTTCCAGGTATGTTTTTGATCTATTTATTTGTTTTTTAGGAGTTACAGTTTAGATTTGGTCAATAAAGGCTAAAAAATATTATTCATAAGCAAAGGCTGATATGATGTTATTCTTTTGGCCATAACTTTTTTGAAGGAGGTTAAAAACCTGAAATTTGATGTTATGTTAGATTTTCTTTTTCTACAGCTGTTGAAACAAGAATCATCTTCTAATTTATTTGATTTTGATATTATTTTAGGCGCCAACCTTCAACAACTTTAAAAAATGGAACAATCGGATTGTGACCAACTTTTTGTATTATCAAACCAACTATTTTGTGTTCTTGTTGGCTACGATAGCTTTGGGATCGTTTGTTCATGCTGGCGACGTTTTGCAAGCTTTGATTGGACTTGGTTTGGGCATGTTTTGCGCATTCTTTGCTGCCTCTAGGGCTCCCAACGCTCTTAATGTAAGTTTTTTGCTTTGTTTTTGGTTTTTAGATAACAATTGCTTTCTGAATTCTTCTGAAATTTGGAAATAATCTTATTCATGGCATTTAAACCTAGTTTCCATGAGGAATCTTTTAGTTCCGTCAAGAACATCCTTATATTACACTTGGCGCCATTCTTGTTGTTGGATTCTACAATATCTACGTACTCTCAGCGATTGTTGTTCTTCTGTTCATCATTTTGATCCCATTGTTGTTTGTATTCATCCATGCTTCATTCAGACTCAGGAACTTTGGCTCGAAATGGAACTACGCCGTGGAGAAGATGCATTTCCGTCGCACTTTGATGTCGTACATCTTGGACACGCTTCATTTGGACATTAAGGCGGAATGATGTCTTAAAATTGTTAAAATTAGAATGAGGTTTTTAAAATGGTGCAATTAAGGCTAGGCCAGATTAGTTCACGGACATTGAGCTTTTGCATTGGTTATGTTGTTGTAGCTTTATCCTTTTATATCGAAGTTATTAGACATATGCCAATGTTTTATATCGTCGCTTAACTTGTTGTCTCACTTAGCTGGTACTTTTATTAAATGAAAACACTGCTGTTTATCTTTGTTTTTTAATAAATAAATTGTTTTTGATAAAGGTCAATGTTATTATAGTGAATGTTTGGTTTTTTCCATCTTTTTTGAAAAGATAGAAGGTTGAAATTATATATCAGTGTGTTAAGCATACGAAGTTACCTAGATTATGAAATTTTGATAAATTTACCTTGAATTTTGACAGAGTTAAAATCATTTGAAACGTCGAAAATCAAAAAAAGTTCGAATCCCTCTGGGAACCGATGCTCTTTTTCTTGTTTTTATGCCATTTTAGACCTGTTACCATTCGAAAAGTATCATTATGTTATTAACAATTTATTTTTACATTATTATATTACACACGCATACTATGTTTTTAGGTTATTAAGCTAAAAACAGCTAATAACAATGACAATATAGCCCTTATCGACTCGTAAACGTTTTGCTCTGCCAATTCGAGCTCATATAATGAAGATGGCTAACATGTGTCATTGATACACATAACGTCTTCTGTCTCCACATAGCCATCAACCGTCTTCGATACGGTTTGATTATAATGATAGTGGCTGCGGAGTTAAATAATGGCAACCAAGATATACAGCCAAATATTAACATATCTATCGTGGCTTCAGTGTTGGTTAGGATACAAACGCAGATTAGGGTGACTGGACCTACTGAGGCGGCTAGTTGGACTAGGCTCTGAAAAGGGGTGGTTTTGATAGCGGAGTAATTATTTTAGAGTAAGGTATTGTTGGGTAAGGTAGAGTATGCTGGAGTAGATCACGGTAAGCTTATATAAGATAACATAGGGCAGGCAGGGTACTTACCTGTACAATAATGACCTTTGATAGTTGACTCTGCATGCTTAATGTCCTTTCATTTTGGAATCGAAGGTTATTTTTGAGTAAATTTAAAGTTTTTCGATTGAAAACACTAGATCCAACGTAAGCAAGGATGAAAGCGGCCAGAATGGCTGTGAAAAGAACTTTGTTGTACAGGTTCTTCTAAAAAATGTATATCAAATTTAAAAAAACCTTTTTAGTCTAAAATAGATAATTAAAAAATTTGTGGAAAGGTCCGTTTTTCAAGCATTCAGTAGGGTAGTAAAGTAGGGCAGAGCAGTGTATGATAGGGTAGGACAATGTAAGGTACGATAAAGTAGGGTAGGGCAGAGTAATGTAAAACAGAGAGGATAAGATAAGGACGTTTTAACCAAAGTTTGTTACCTAAAACTTACATTTTCTGTGTATAAAAAGTTGTTGAAGCTTTTTGGGAAGCAAATCCCTTCAATTTCGTCTGCTTGTATGCTTTTGCCATTATTAAACGCTAAGGCACACCCGATGGCTATAGTGATGACTATGAGGTTAATTAACGTGTAGGACCATATCCAGTGAAATGACTTTGAGTTCAAGCGGCTGAAAAGAAAAATTTTATTTTTTTAACTGATTTATAAGGTTTGATAGGGGTACGGTAACATTTTATACTGTAGTGTAGAGTAGGTGAATGTAGGGCGGGGTGCAACTAGGGTAAGGGGTAGAGATAGGGCTATTACCTCTTAACAGTTGTGTATCTGTAATGACAGTTTATGAATACCATGCCGACGTTCATTGTCATTGAATAGGCATAAAGTATAATGGTCAACAGTTTGAGGCTAGTGTTTTGAATCATTGGGTTCATGCCTAGTACCATTTTTCCATCGATGAGGTTACTACTCTGTAAAAAATGATATTGAGGGCATTGCAAAAGATTACGGTAGGGTAGGGTTTGGTAGAGCTAGAGTAGGGTACAATAGAGCTACGGTAGGGTGGGGTAGGCTAGCACAGGGAAGGATAGGGTAGGGTAGGGTAGGGTAGTGTAGGGTAGGGCAGGGTAGGGTAGTGTAGGGTAGGGTAGGGTAGAGTACGGAAAATTAGGGTCAACTTACCAATCTTGAAAAAGCAAACACAATAGCCACCAACAAGTCATGTCCGCTATATAATAGTAACATAGCTCTATAATTCTTCAATACTTTTTGATTTGTCATCAAAACCAAAACTATGAGTAGTATATTCGTCGGTATTCCAAATACAGTTGAAAGATTGAATGAAATTTCGTTGAAATTGATAAAGTACGTGCACAATGACATTGATGCACGATTTGTAGGGCTTTCAAGGAGACTATTAGTACCAGTGTGAATGTCGCTTTTGATTATATTGGTACTAGCTGTAGCCTCCATTACAATATCAGTAGGCTAGGCTATGAAAAGATAGGACAGAGGCTAGAAGAAGGCTAGAGTAGGGCTGACACCAGGTTGAGGCTAGTGCTGAGGCTAGGCCAGAACTGACGCTAAGCTTGAGCTGAAGCTAGGCCAGGGCTGAAGCTAGAATAAAGCTAGCCGAGAGGTTGGGCCAGGTTGAGGTTTGGGCTGAATCTAGAACTGATGCTAGACTAGGCTTGAAGCTAGGACTCTGGTTAGAGCTGAAGCAAAGGCTTATCTATGGCTGAGGCTAGGAATGAAGCTTGGGCTGAGGCTAGAATTCAGATTAGGGATGAGGCTAGGCTAGGACACACGCCAAGATAAGGCTTGTCTATGGCCAAGGCTAAGAATGAAGCTAGGCCAAGTCGGAAGCCAAGATAAGGCTAACCTGAAGCGGCTAGGCTAAGGTCAAGGTTAGAATTGAGGTTTGGCTAGGGCTGAGGCTAGAACTCAGTCTGGCGCTAAAAATTAGCCTAAGACTAGAGCTAAGCCTTTGAAATAAAAAAGCCTAAGTTGTAGGTTGATAAGAGGTCCAAAAGTCCGTAGAACACGTTTTACCACTAGCTATTGGACAATAAGTTTGCAGAATGAGCTGGTACACAAGTAATTGGGCAAAACCTCAGTACAAAAGGGTTTTTAAGAACAATACAGCACCAGTTTTGTCATGAACAATATACCGCAACCTTTTCTACGAATTTCTTGGCCAAAGCAGGATGTAGAATATAGTATTAGCACAATATGTAATGCCAACTTAAGCGAAAGTAAAACAATAAACAATGCTTTTTCGTATTTACAAGAATTCAGAATAATTGTACTCACACTAATAAATGGTGTACGTAGTAATATTGGTTATTGTCCCTTACATCAGAATAAAACCAAAAATCACTGTAAAGAGAAGATATTACACTGCAGTACAATATAGCGTAATGTAAAGTAGTAGGCCTTAAATTAAGTGTAAATTTAGACCTATGCTTTAACAATGAAAATGGCTGAGATAATGTAGGTATACCCAACCAATACCCTATGTGTAGTATGTGACGCTGTCTGAAAAGTTGAGAAAAGTACTATACAGGATTTGTAGGTCTATGCTTAATATAACCGGTACTGTTTCACACAATGTTTATATAGCTTTAACTAATATTGTAGTTATAGTTAAATGAACTTTGTGCCTATTGTCAAGCAAGACAAGTACACATTGCCTAGCTATAAGTTGGCAAGGGTTATATGTAAGTCACAAGAGCAGGTATACAGTGAAAGTACGTATTCATCTTAGTAAAAATCAAATTTAAAAAACTTAAGTTTTATCTCAGTTCCAAGCCTAAGCTTGTGTTTATTACTAAGCCTTAACCTAAGCTTCAGTCTAAGCCCGAGAATGAGCATGACCTTAGTCTTAGCATGACATTCAGCCTTAGTTTGAGCCTAAATTTGAGTTTTTGCTTAAGCCTAATTTCGAGCTTAATCCTGAAACTGAGCCTAAGAGTGAGTCTTATCTGTAGCATCAGACTCAGCTTGAGTCTGAGACTTTGGTTGGGCATGGACGTATGCCTAAGCCTAAACCTAAACTTGCACCAACCAGTAGACATGAGAAACGGGCCGGGCCTAGTTGGGTCGGTCCCATTGGCCCGTTTCTCATGTCTACCAACCAGGGCCGGGTGCTGGGGGGGAGGAAAGGGGGTGGACGGGGGGGGACTCCTCCCAAAAAAAATTTTTTGAAAAAAAAGTTGAACGTGGTCCCCCCTGTGGATTTTCCGAAAAAATTTTTTGCAAAAAATCGGCACAGGTAGCTGCTACCCGTGCCGATTTTTTTGACCCCCGCCCCCAAACCAAAACTCCCCGCCCGGCACCGAACCAACTTCTAAGCTTAAGCTTGTGTCTAACCCAGTCTTTCTAGGACTTAACCTTAATTTTAACACAGTTGTAAATTTAGGTCTATGTCAACGTCTCAGCTCAGAACTAAGGCTACGATATGTAAAAATTGAACCAAAGCATGAGGCTATGGTTAAACTAAATCTTAAGCGTAAGCTTCAGGTTAAACGAAATCCTAAGCCTAAGCTTCATCCCTATTCGTACCCCTGCCCTTACTTCTTGCTTTATCCTCTATTTCTTCAGCTACCTAAAGCTACAATTTTCATTAAGAAATAGCTATTAACGTATTATATATTACGCAAGACGAGTACAATTCTGAAGAGATGGCGTGTATCTTTTTATAGCTAACACATTACAATGCTTAAGATTCTACAATTCTACCAACGATTTATTAAAGAAATACTCGTGCACAAAGCACATTAGCACGTACTCCACTCTACCTTTCTTGTGCTAAAGTACATTTTTGTCTTACTTTGCTCAAGTATTATACAGTACAAAGTCATGTATTATACAGTCGAAGTCAAAGAAACACCAATTTGGCAATATTGTTTCTCTAAAGCGCTGTTACGGTAAAAAATTGTTCTCTTGCGACTTTATTAAAATTTCGTTATTAAGGAAGTGACAGCCCGGTATTTTCGTTTATATTGCAAGAACAATGGTTGTCTTCTGTGTAATAATCAAAAAACAATGACACATCAAAGCCCAGAGACCTAGCCCAGAGACCTAGCCCAGAGCCCTAGCACAGAGCCCTATCCCAGAGCCCTATCCCAGAGCCCTAGCCCAGAGCCCTAGCCCAGAGCCTTAGCCCAGGGCCCTAACCTAGAGCCCTTGCCCAGAACTTTAGTCTAAACCCCTAGCCCAGAGCTTTAGTCCAAATCTTTAGTCTTAAGCCTAGCTTACTCCTAGTTTTAGCCTTAATCCTATTCTAAGTTATAGCCTAAGCCCTAGCGATAGGTTTATTCCTAAGTTAAGCCCTAGTCTCAGCTTCTGTTTAGTTTTAGCCTTAGCTCTAAGCTTATCTCTATTCCTTAGCCTCTGTTTAAGCTTTAGCCATGGCTTACGTCTTGGCACCAGTCCTGGCTTAGAATCCAGCCTTAGCCTAACTAAATCGTAACTATTTATAAACTCCCCACCCCCTTTCCCTCAACGTGGTCCCCTACTGTGATTTTATAAAAAAAACTTCGCAAAAAATCGGCACAGGCACCTGAGCCCGGCTAGTAGTTTGCAAGTGATAAAGCAGTTGTAAGATAATATCTATCAGCCTAGTCTATTTTGCTCCTTATACCACACCGACTATTTATAATACAATTTATCGAAAATACAATAATTAAATAAGGCCTAAATAAAGAAAAACAAAAACAAATTATGTCCATTGTCAACAGTCAATGTACTGTAATTGACAAGCTTACACATACTACAACTTGTCTCTTAAAGACATACGTAGTAAATGGGCATAACATGTAATTTTACCTTCATAGCTATTTGTAACTAGGCATTGTCATTTGTATTTAGCTAGTTATTGTTACTTGTATTTAACTTGTCATAGCCATTAGTAATGTGTAATATAAATAATATTTATTTACATTTGACAGTAAAAACAAATATATACGTTCATCGCTTCTCACTAACAAACTGATTATAACTTCGTATCAACTTCCGAGTAAAGTAGGTTAATATACAGAAGACGAGCACTGTCCCCAAACATACAAACACGGCCATTTGGGGCTCCAAACATTCTCTTTGCTCATTCATTTCCATTGCTTGGGCTAAAACAAGTTCTAAGCTAATAAATGATGTTAATGTTAAACATGTGATAAACGAAGTCCTGGACTAGAATTAACGTAAAGCTATTTTAGGTGGACTTAACTTAGTGCTACGGTAGGGCTGTAGTTTGAGCCGGCATATAAAAAAGCGGTGAGGAGGTGGTAGAGGTGAGGATTAGAGAGGCATGAGGCAAGGCTGCGGTAGCGATAGGCTGCCTTACCAATTTGTGAAGCTAGGACTGCAGTTAAGGCTAAACCTATTGCTAGGGCTTCGACTAGAACCAAAAATAGGGTTTAGGCTAAAACTAAAGCTAAAGCTAAGGCTAGGACGGAAGCTAGGATAGAGACTAGGGCTAAACCTATCGCTAAGACTTGGGCTAGAACCGAAAATAAGGTTAGCGTTAAGCCTAAACCAGAAGCTATAACTAATATTAGGCCTAAAATAAGGCTAAAATGCAGGCTAGAATTAATGCCACGGCTAAACGGCTAGAACTATAGATGAGCTGAGGCCAAGTCTGAGGCTATGGCTATGAATAAGGTTACTGCCAAAGCTAGAGCTAAAGACATGGCTAAACTGAGGACTAAGGCTAAGACAAGGACTGGAGCTCTGGGCTAGGGCTCTGGGCTAGGGCTCTGGGCTAGGGCTCTGGGCTAGGGCTTGGTACTTACATTGAGGATGAGAAGATGGTGCAACGATGACTAAAGCTGTTTTTATCACAAAAGTCTTGAGTTTTTCTCCAGCCGATGTTACAGTAGATAGGCCTTCATCAGGGCATTGCTAAAGTCAAAAATTTTTTTAAAAAATGCTAATTTTTTGGAATAAATGGTCAAAAAGTCTATAGAAAGTCAATATAAAACCTACTTTCATAGGACATTCATTCAAACACGTAGTAACTTTACATTCAAAATGTACTGTACTAGCACTAGTAAATTGGAACCCATACAGATGAATATACACATGTTTAGCCATATTCTTCATGGGGGAGGATGAAAACACGGGCGGATCAATAGCTCGAAGTAATTTCACAGCACATCCATTACTATCGATTATAGGTACAGAGGCATCTGGATGGTTGGTACCATCGTGGGCTACACAGTCGTGCACGAACATGTCAAAGACGGCTGGAAATAGTATATTATAGTATAGGCGGTCAAAAAGTTTGTAGAAATAAATTTTGATATTAAGGTCAAAAAGTTTATAGAAGTTTTTTTAATCCTCGGTCCAAAAGTTCATAGAACTCACAAGACTCCTCCAACCTAGCGTCCAATGTTATCCTCTGACCAACAGAACCTTCAGTTATGACATTCCCTTTATAACCGTGGTCACCCAGTACTCTCAATGATAAGGATGGCACTTTTTCAGCGTTTCCGGTTACTGTCATTGATTCACTTCGTCTGGAAATTAAAAAACTATGATATTATAGTAGGTAGGCGTATGCAAGAGCTGGTTAAAATAAAGTATAAAAAAGTAAGGTATAGCAGAATACGGTAAGATACGGTAAGGTATTTACAATTGGGTCCGATAGGACAAGGTATGGCAAAATACGAACTCGTAATGTAAGCTATGTTAGAATAGTGCAAAGTATGATAGAAATGTTAAGGTAATATAGGTAAAATACTGTATCATACTGTAAGTTGCATTAAAGTACAGTGGATACGGTGACGTACGGTAAAATAAAATGGAGTAGGTTAGAGTAGGGTAGGGTAGGGTGGGGTAGGGTAAGGTAGGGTAGGGTAAGGTGGGGTAGGGTAGGGTAGGGTAGGGTAGGGTAGGGTAGGGTAGGGTAGAATAAGGTAGGGTAGGGTAGGGTAGGGTACGATCGGGTAAAGTAGGATATGATAAAGTAAAGTAACTTACGACACTTTGAAAGCTCCATCGTTCTTTGGAGGCTCGAGTGTAATAACAAAGTCCTCTATCGTCTGTACACAATGTGTTTGTAGTGCTATACTTTCATCTGTCAGTATCACTGGGTCTGGGCTGATTATTAATGTCACTGAATGTTCACCCGTTTTCTGAAAATAAAAACTTTAATACCGTACTATACCATACCATACCATACCCTACTCTACCCTAATATGAATCTTTTAATTTTTTCTACGAACTTTTTGACCGCAAAATAAAAAAGCTTACAGAATCAAACCTGATGCCACAGAACCCCTCTCCAAGCACTGTAGAGTTTTTGTAGCTCAAGGGGACAGCTACCAGTAGGTAATGACCACCATTACCTAACCATCGACATTCCTTATCCAAATATCTGTCTTTGGCAAAAACCACGCCTCGGAATGGTCGAGCGAAGCTGAGATTTACTACGATCTTGTCTGATGAACATATCACTTCTCTGTCTGAAAATAGGTTTAAAATGACAAGAACTTTCTTTACAAAACAAAAAATGGCAAGAACTTTCTTTACAAAACCAAATATGGCAAGAACTTTCTTTACAAAATAAAAAAATAGAAGAAACTTTCTTTACAAAGAAAAAATAGCAAGAACTTTCTTTACAAAACAAAAAATGGCAAGAACTTTCTTTACAAAACAAAAAATGGCAAAGACTTTCTTTACAAAATAAAAAATGGAAGAAACTTTCTTTACAAAACAAGAACTTTTTTTAAAAAGCTTAAAAAGTCAAAATTACCTTCAAGAATACCCGCAAGCCCAAGACCAATCAACCATGCATAGATCAACCTTCTGAACATGAGCCTTCACATATGTTACTCTTAGCCTAGCCAAATCTATGCCAAGTATGTCTAGTCCAATGATACTTAAATTTTAAAAAAATCCAGCCAAATCTGATGAGACTTGTCACTCCGAATATAGGTCATGCAATTCCCTACCACAACATCAGGTAACCTTTGCTCGTACGAAAATTGAAGAGCGGCGACCCTTTCGAGAGTCAATTCACAAGGACATTGGGTAAGCAGAGGCAAAAAAAACCGAATCTACCCCTCTGTTTTACCGCGCCAATTATCTCGAGAACCCGCCCGATAATTGGGCGTGTTGCAACAGTAATCGTGTTGATGAACAACATCAGCGCGGTAATAACTGTTCGATGCACTCGACCGCGAATTGTGTAATCTTGGCGGAACAATCAAGAATCCTCTTCATGTAAGGGAAATAGCTGTGTTTTCGTAAGGGTAGGGATGTGGTGAAAGAAAGAGTGAAATAAAAAGGTAGAAGTAAGGGTAGGGTAAAATATAAAAAGGAACAATTATAAAGAGGGTAGGATAGGGTAAGCAGATTAAGACAAGTAAGGAAAAGGTAAGACCAGGCAAGATAAGGCAGAAGAAAGTAAAGTAATGTAAGGCAATTTAAGGCAAGGTACAACAATAAAAAGCAGGGAACTGTAAGACAGAAGAAGGCAAGGCAAGATAAGGCAAAGTAAGACACGACAATGTGAAGTAAGGTAAGACAAAGCAATTTAAGACAGGACAATGTAAGACACAATAATGTGAAGTAAAGTAAGGCAAGACAATGTAAAACAGGAAAATGTAAGCAAGGGCAAGGCAAGAAAGAGCAAGAGTAGTGATAGGGATAGAAGTAAGATTAGTTGTAAGGGTAGGGGCAGAGTTAAAGGTAAGGTAGAGAGAAAGATACGATTAAAAACAAAAGTAAAATTTAAAAAATTAACAAAAAAAAACACTAAAATTTTTTTTTCATTTTAAAGCCCCCTCCCTCCGTCCTTAAAACGCTTTTTAAAAACCGCGAAAAATTTCAAACAAATATTTTTTACCAAAATGAATGCCCTTAAAAACATAAAATCACCTAAAAATCAAGGTCTTAACACCTTTATTACATCCAAAATACAATTTTTACATTACTCCAACAAAAAGCATGAATTAACTTTTATTCCGTCGCAAAATGTCTCCAGGCGATGGATACGGCCTGGATTGAAACAATGGTCCACTAGCACTTGTGTCCACACCCGTATTGGCTTCCTCGACCAACCCTGCTCCCCAATTGCCTTCGGGCACATCTGAATAGGCACTGGGGTCCATTGGGTCAATACCTTTTCGTTTGGCTCGCTTTAATCTATCTCTATCTGACATCTCTTCCACTGATTCTGGTTCTGGCTCGTCTGATGGGGGCTGAAATGGTTTTTATGTAACAAATATTGTTATCTGTCATTATAAGATCAGCTAACAGAAGATAAGTCTTTTTCCGAGAAGATGAAACCATTTCTAAGTCGATAGCACTACTCTCAATCTCTGGGCACAAACACTAACATAATATCTTACCATAGACCTCTTCAGCTCCTCCCGCCTCCTATCCCATCTTCCTTTGCTCTTCTGTTTCCTCTGTTCCTTCTGTTCTTCCTCAATTTCCAATGCTTTTTGTTTCGCCTCAAAATATTCGGCCGCCATTTGTGGTGCAGGCTTTGTTACATTAGCACAAGGATGATTTGGCGATAACCAACAAACTTCATCAGTTACATGATTCCAATAATAATGTCGAGCAACTCCTGGATCGTAGACTTCTTTCCAGTTGTCTGGCAATGGGTATTTGTTCAACATACGCTCTTTGGCCGATAAATAGTCTTCTGAGAGTCTGGAATGCAATGGAGTAAGGGTTAAGCCACAAAACAATCTTTTAAAACAAGTAAAACGTTCATTTATCATGTATAACATCAAAAAAACTCTTCCTTTTAATGAAAAACAGTATAGAAGCTCTATACTCGACCAAAAAGTCTACTTTTTCATCAAAAATTAACCGTTTCCCATCAATATCAACCTAAAACAAGACAAACCAAAAAGTAACATACCTAGATTCAGGAGTCCCTTCATGCCAATGATCAAAGCAATATTCTGAGCAAAGATGATACTGATTCCATTTGTTAGGACATCCAGGTGCTCCACCACGGCTTTGGTCCACTTCTTCCTCTTCATCTTCTACACTATCTTCTGAATCGTAATTCTCCGCGAAAACTTCTTCTTCATCGTCTTTCTCTAAATGAAAATTTATATTTTAAGAATTTAAATCCATTGACAAAGTTTCCGAAGCTTATACTGAATCCATTTTTATAAACATTATATGTCTTCTAGCCCAAACAACTTTGAAAGGTAGCAAACTATATTCTCCATCACATTTCGATGCCTAAACCAAAAAAACCAAGAAAAATAACGTACCTTGTGCTTTTACAATTCCTCTTTTTTGTAAACGTGCCAGTAAAGCTGGTGGCAACGGCATCTTTCGATAAATACGAGTTATTTTACCGAAAAATATTGTTTTATTTATTTATACGACTCGTCTCAAAGAAAAATAAGACAAGTCTTGCTCGAATATTATTTTCATTTTTTTGATCTCGAATTTTACAAAATTTCGTAAATGCAGCATCATCATGAGCATTAAAACAGTTACTACAGCCTTAAAATCATTTGGGTAAGTTTAACATTCATTATTTGTTTTGGTTTTAGATATGAACATGGATAGCCCTTAAAAACATATTTTTATATTTTCAAGCTGTAGAAGATAACTTTTAATATTTTACAAGTTATAAAACGTTAAAATTCACAATGTTTTAGGTATAAAGACGAGTTGAACGAGAATATAGTCGAAAAATCAGTCAAATCAGATATTGTCTTATTCTCACGAGTTGTTGGATGGCTTGCTGGCGAACTTCATGTCCTATTACAGCTAGAAAACACAGTTGAAGAAATTGAGAATGTTAATCAGGAGCAAAAATTCGTTTCTGAGTTATCGGCGTTTTTGAGCGAGTATGGTGAGTAATATCTGATTTTTTATGTTTTTTAATGTTTAGGTAATTTATTCTTTTTGGTAAATTAAACAAAAATGTTTTAGAAGGCGAAACAGTGGATATTCAAGCTTCAAAACATGGAGATTTGTCTACTGATGAGGGTAGATTGAAGCTACTACAATATTTGTTATCGCAAGTGAAGCCAGCTCGACTTATTGCATTAAAACGATTACAGAAGCAAAGAATTGATGAGTTATCAAAGCCTAGCGTACGTTTAAGTTATTTTTTGTATGTTCTTGGTTTTTAGGATCCATTGAAGGAATTGGCACGAATTTTGGTGTTGTTGAACATCCGACCTGATCAAGTGCAAGATCAACATGTTTTGATGGACAAATTTAAATCAGAGGTGAGTTAATATCCAAGAATTATGATAGAGGAGATCTTTTAAGTCATTAAAAGCTTGATATGGAACCAAGAACTATGTTTTATATAATTTTAGGTCCAAAAAACCTTCAACGGCTTGGTGAGAAGACCTAAACCAATCTTCAATGGCAAGTTTAATGACAAACAATGGTCCCAATTGAACACATTTGCTCAGAATTTCACGAAAGATTACAAAGTAAGGACGGAGATGTTGTTGAAAAGATTGGATATTACAATTGAATCGTTTTTATGGTCAGATAAGGTTCATCAGCTGGAAAAGAGTGTTATGAAGGCATACCTGCCCGAGAGGAATACCTTGGGTTACTGGAAGCCTATTGGAGTTGAGGGGCTTCTTGGTGCTACTGAGGGTGGGTTTTTGCATTTTTATGATATTGTTTATAAGAAGGGAGGTTTTATGAAATTTTTCATTGGAAATGAGGATTTTATGACATTTTTTGTTAAACTTTAAGATAATATGACATTTTAAACTATTTTGCCATTTCAGACTTACTAATCATCGAGAAAGCCTCCTCAAGTCGCCAACGTACTGGTACTCGTTCCAAAATCTCCGACTTTATGCTGAACCAAGTACCGGCCGACAGAGGCGGCCGAACTGATAATACCGTATCACCGCCCAAAGAGACCTTCAAGAATCAGTACAAGCCTCAACAACGTCGTGGACCAACTCACTCACCTAAAAAAAGCGGAAAGTATCATGAACAAGCTCAGCATGGCCTTGAAGGTCAGGTGAAACGAGAATATTGGTCTAGCAAACGAGGAAAGTTTCATTGAAAACGGTTGATTTTGGTTCGGTAGAGGTTGAAGATGGTATTGTTGAGGACTGTAAAAGGTTGTGTAATGTATATTATGGATGATATTTACTTAAAATGGGTTTTTTTTGCCCAGTATAAGCGAAAAATCGACGTTTTGATAGTAATATATGGTTGTTCAAAAAATTCTGAGCTACTCTCAAAGCAAATTTTTGCGGCGAAGTGGTGCAGGATTTTTTGAACAACTTATATATTGGGTTTTAAAAAATTTTTGTTGTTATCCATCATTAAAATTAATGTAAATTGACGACAAGACTTTTATACAGTATAATTTTATTGTATACTGTCATTTTGTTTGGGTATTACTGTAATATAAAACTGGGTGTTGCCTAAAATCATATATTCGTTGCTAAATGTGAATAGTAGGTTGTTCAAATAATTCTGTGCTTTTTCTCTATTTTTTTCTTAATTTTTTGATGTAAGGGAGCATGGGATTATTTGAAGAACTTAATATTACCTAAAATGATATTTTCTTTGCTAAATGTGAATATGATTTATATTGTTATTGTTGATGATTTTCTTGTGCCTTATGTATAATAAATGCTATATATTGATGGAAATTGAAATTTTGTATTGAAATGGTTCTTAACGGCCGAAAAAGTATTTGAAATTGCCAATTTTTTAAAATGTTTGAAATGGAAGATCGCGAATGTTGAAGTTTGTGATGTTATAATTGATGTAATTTAGTAGCTGGGATGACAAACCGCTACTTCTCGACGTATGTGGAGGATTTGGAACAGGTGGGTCATGTTTTTTTATCTACCACTACCCCACGTCTACTCCAACCCCACCCCTACCTCACTTCACCCCTACCCCACTCCTACTCCTCCACCCCTATTCTTATCCCATCCCTTCCTCTTCTCGTACCCCTACCATACTCATATTTATACCTCACCCCTAACTCACTTCACCCCTACCCCATTCCTACTCCATCCTACCGCATTTCAGCCCTACCCACTCCTACCCTACCCATATCCCATTCATGCCTCTTCCTGTATCTCTACCATACCCATCTTCGTAACTCTACCTGCAGTACCCTTATAAATTTTTTACCACACCCAAATATATTTTTTTCATTTTTACTCATTTTCTTATCACTCATCTCATTTCAGGACCCCTTCGACGCCACAGACTTTGTCGAACGTCTAGCCTGGCGCATCACCGAAGGCAAGGAAGATGTTGATGTAGAGTATTTGAAGCGAAAGTTCGAAGAAGAGATTGGCTCTCTACAAGCATCAAGTGAAAACTTTCAAGCCAAAATCCAACGACTCGAGGATCAACGAAATGTGGCCAAAATGAAGTACTTGGACTCGCTACAACAACTTCACGAAAAGAATGCAGACGCCTTGGAGAAGGTGAAGGTAGGGTAATATCATTGATTTTTTTGGGGTTGGGGATGTTTTTACTGGGTTTAGGGGTGTTATTGTGATTTTAGGGGTACATTAGGGCTTTATAATGCATGAGGAGATGTTTTTTTGAGCAATTTTGAAATTTCAAAAAAATTTTAAAATTTCAAAATATTTTTAAAAATTTAATTTTTGCTATGCTAAATGCATTTTGAAGTCTAGCTTTATCAGTATTTTCATTACCAAGCTTTAAAAAGCCTTTAAAGTTGCTTAAAATACGATATAAACATAATGCCAAACTTGGCGGGAAATTAAAAATTTAAATTTTAAAAGTGCTCATAAATATCCGAAATTTGGTACCCTGGTTGTATATGGTACTAGTAAGCTATAAATAAAATTTTATGCTAATCTGAGTTCAACTTGCAACGTTATGCCAATTGGCGGGAACTAAAAAATTCGAATTTTAAAGTTGATAATATTGTTATTAAATACATTTAAATGAAAGGCTAAGTAAACCCTGATGTGTGACAAAGTTGATAAAACGCTGAAAATCTAGTTATTGAAGTTTGACATGCCCGGGCGCAGGCTGCCGGCCTTTAAAAGTGTCCATTTCCCTATTGACGCCACAAAAGTCGGCGATGGCTTCGCTGGCTTCGGTTGGGAGGATTCTGGAAATGAATTTTAAAATGTGTTTTGGTGGTAAAAGTTGAGGCTATGAACTTTTTGAGTGTTTTGTGAATCAGTCTCTCCCTACCATTATGTGAATCCTCCCCCCCCTCCTTGTCAATACATCAAAACTTACTCCTTAAGCAGCGTGCTGACATAGCAAAACCGTGGCATTTGAAGTACGACCTGGTTGGTCAAAATCGCATTCACAATCTTATCAGCAGCATATTCAGTCTCTAAGAATGGCAGTAGTAAAGGCGATGATGTCTTAACACCATCAAACATGCCCGTATTAATATAGTACGGACATACCAAAGTAACATTCAAGTTTTCGGATTTTGTACGCAATTCTGCCCTCAGGGCTTCGGCGAAGCCCACAGCTCCGAATTTGCTCGCACAATAATCTACCATGCCCGCCACACCGACTTTACCAGCCATAGAAGCAACTACTGCAACATGACCACGGTTCCTGGCGATCATCCCAGGGACGAAGGCTTTGGCGGTCTGAAGGTTTGTAGCTAGGGTCAGAAAATGCATTTTAAAAAACGTTTTATACCCCTACCCTTAATTCTACCTCTTCTAAATAAACTTACAATACCCTATCTCAAACTGTAGTACTACGGACGAGCCTATAATGCCCTTCCTCGACCTACTGTACTTTATCCAAGCCTACAATGGACTATCCGAACTTACAGTACACTACCTAAGCCTACATTGCTTTACCAAAGACCTACTATACCTAAACTAGCCCTACAGTACTCAACCCAAACCAACAGTACTCTACTTAAGCTTACATTGTTTTTCTTTGGCTTACAGTACGTTACCTAGCATTTAAGCCTGCAGTACCTATACTAATCCTACAGTACCCATCTCAAGCCTACCATATCTTACGGTACTTCACCCGAACCTATTGTAACTGAATGTACCCAACCCAAACCTACAGTACCCAATCCAAATCTACAGTACCCAACCCGAACCTACATGAAACAATGCATGAGTATTAACAGCCATTGTTTTATCGACCAGCTCATCAGGGCATTCCAAAAATTTTCGACCAGTCACAATTCCAGCATTATTAATGAGTATATCCACGCCTTCAAAGTCCTCTTTAACCTTATCAGCAACTGTATATACAAGCTGTCGATCAGCAAGATTCACCGTATAACATGTCGCCTCATGAATACCGACCAAATCGACCAGTCGTTTGGTTTCGTTATTCAGAGTTTCGTTGAGATCCCACAAAATTAGTTTGGCACCCCTTTGGGCGAACTAAAATGACGTTTTTATGTTTATTAGGCTTAAAATGGCAGTGGCAGAAGTTTTGGCGTTTTTGGCCTTTAAAGGTAATGCAACTTGGCGACAAGACTTTTTCAAGACCTTAATATAGAAAACATGGGACAAAGACTTACTTTTATAGCCATTTCACGGCCAAGACCCGACCCAGAGCCGGTTATTAGTACAACTTGGTCCTTTACATCCTTCTTTGGCATCCATTCGTATGGAGCGACGGCTTTGTACATACCGTATATCGTGCGCCATATCACTTTTACTGCTAGAGTTAGTAGCTGGACGAATACTGAAAAATAAAGTTTTAGTAGGTATGGGTACAGTAGGAATATTGTCATAGGGTAAGGTGGGTAGGATAGGGTATGATGGAACAAGGTGTGGCTACGATTAAATGTAATGAAAGGGTAGGCTAGGGTAAGGTAGAGGTGTAGGGCGGATAGGGAAATTTTTAGTGAGTTGAGGCTATGTTTAATTTTTTTGGCTAAGCCTAAAAACGCAAAAATTTCTAGAAATAGGTTTTAAACGCTGTTAATCCATTATACGTTGTTATTTTCTTGATAACTATTACAGTTTTCAAGATATGAGTTTGGCGGGAAAACGAAATTCAAAAAAATGCCCTGTTGAAATGCCCTGCCCTGCGCTGTTGCCAACCCTGTAAGGTAGGGTAAGCCATGGTAGGGTAGGGTAATAAACATAGGCAATCAAATAACTTACATTCTGAAGCTTCTGACATCTTCCTACGCTAACAATTCTAAAGTTTTAACCCAGCAGCGAGCCTGAAAATGAAGTTTCAAAAACTTTATGTAAACTAAAACACAAATGGTTTTTTAATGATTTTCGGAAACGTAGCAATTGACCGCAGTAAACGTCTTTAAACTTAATTATGTTAAAAGAAACAAATGACACGTTTTGAGTAATGATATAGGTGCCTAAAGGATGTGAATCTGAACTTGAGAACATAAAACAAAACTTTGTTTTAGAACATGGTAATTTAAGCCAAGTAATGTCATTCTAAGCTATTATTGAGCAGAAACTGCCATGCAAAAATAGAAAAATAAAATGTGCCCCTACTCCTACCACTGTAATTCAAAACTTGAAATTTCAACGGAAATCGAATCAACTTTGAAATTCCTCGCCACAACGTGAAATGATACATGAAAACAAGCGCGCTGTTATTGACCCGAAATAGACTGTTAACTAGGTTATAACAGTGAAAAAAACGACATGAAAAAAGGGAGTTTCGTCAGGTTTTTTTAAACGCTAAATTCTTTGAAATTAGGCTTGTAAAGGGGGGTGGGCCTAGACTTGAAAGGGTCCACTAGACCCGGCCTCGGCCCAGCTAGCACAGGTGGACATGAAGACCGTGGGCACGGAAGCAGTACCGACCCGTCATCTTTCAAGCAATTTTGAAGCGAGACGTGCCGGACCTGCACATGTAAGTCAGAGGGTCGGACTGAAACCAAGGGCCGATTCGACTCTTCTCAACTTTGTCCCCCCCCTTCAAGTCTATTAAAAAAAATTTTTTTTTGAAAATTTTAAATTTTTCGCTGGAAACGACATTAAAAAATAACTGCACATACCATCCCGTAGGCTAATCCACGAAAATATACGAATTTGCATGACAATAAAAGTCTCAGAAGTCGCGGATGTGAGAAGGGTTAAGGTTACGAAAAGCGCTTTGAAAGAACGGCGCAACCGGTTGTCGATACACCTTTGACTTAAATCACTTTCAAAGTCACATATACATATTGTGGCTTATAAAAGGTAATGGAAATTGTCTATGTTCTGTTTTTTGTGTGGAAAAGACATAAAATAACATATAAAGGAAAAAATTAAAAATAGAAAAAAGAAGCCATGGCTAGAGCTTTACTTTTGCTAGGCCTGACACCGGGCTTGGCTAATGCATCTTCGAAAGGGGTCAGGTTGAAATAAACTGAAAAGTGGTTGAGTTGAAAAAAACTTTAAGAAGGCCGGACCAGATTTGCATTTGCGGGCCCTAGGATCGATGCTTAAACAAAGCCCAAGAAAATTGCGCTTAGACCGATTATGGCTAGACTTTACTGGTCTATCTGCATCAGAGTTCTCCCCGCACCGGACCCAATGCGGGAGTCCAGAATTTTAATTATTTTTCCCGCGTTTTTTTTTCTACCGGTCGGATCGGTTTGAAACTTTTTTTTATCTCTTCCCCCCCCTATTTGGAATGATGCTGACCCTTCTAAATGCTATTAGTTTTTTGATATCTATAATAGTTTTCGAGATATGAGTTTGGCGGGAAAAATAAATTCAAAAATCCGGACTGTGCGGACCGGACCCAAAAGGCAAAACTCTAATCTGCACAGTTCTAGTACTGACTAAAAAGTGTGGAAGTCAAACTAATAAACTTTGTGGGCTTTCTCCTCACTTTTTTTTATTTTGAATCACTCGAATCATATCGGCCGTATAAAACAATAATAGACCATATAATTTTGGTCTGTAAAACAAATATTCCAAGGTGTTTTCTTAAGAACTGTTGGTTTACCAAACAAATCAAAAATATATCGTCCTATACGATGCGATAGACCAAAATTATATGGTCTACCCTCATGAACAAATTTATTTTTTTGAAGCAAGTAAAATATAATAAATACGAAAATAGTGTATCCATTTTTTTAAAAGGCGGGTTTTTCATGAAAATACGCCAGAAGCTTCTAGAAAACACAAAACACACTTTGAAAACGATTCACATTTGCGTGAAGGTTAAGTTACACGACAGTGATTTATGATCATTCAAACCACAATACACTCAAAATTTAAATACTTTTAGAAAATAAAAAAGATTTAAAAACAAAATTGAGGTTGATAGTACTAATACAAGTACTTGTAATGTGAAACAACCTATAAATTAAAGGGTGGCGTACCGGGAGTAGTTTAACAAAGGCAACGGTAGGGTGGGCCAGGGCATTTTAGGGAAGCGTAGAGTAGGGTAGAAGGCAGTAGGCTTAGGTGTTTCACTACGCCAGATTAGAGAAGTGCTGGGTACTGTAGGTAGAGTAGTAAGATAGGATTTGGCACTGAAGATAACAGAACGGCCGGGTAAGGTATAATAGAATGGAGTAGGGTAGGGTAGGGTAGGGTAGGGTGGGGTAGGGTAGGGTAGGGTAGGGTAGGGTAGGGTAGGGTAGGGTAGGGTAGGGTAGGGTAGGGTAGGGTAGGGTAGGGTAGGGTAAGGTACGGTAGGGTATGGTAGGGTAGGGTATGGTAGGGTAGGGTAAAGTAAGGTACCGTAGGTTAGTACAATTTAGATACGTAAAAATATTAAAATTGAATATTTTTAGCAACTAGACAGTACGATGCAGACAATCTCAGCCAAAGTTGTGCACTTGGGAGATCAGTTAGAGAGTGTGCATTCTCCACGAGCTCGAGCCTTCGAAGCCTTACAGTTGATGAAACACTTTGATGAATTCATGGCTGATCAACCTTTAAGCTCACCAATCTTCACTGATCCGGATAGGGTGGGTTTTTTATTTTTTTTTCAATTTGAAAATTAAAAAAAATTTTTTTTAAGTTAAAAAAAAGTTTCTAAAATTGCCCGTTTTCAGCTCCTAGAATCCGCCGAAATGATCCACAAGCTCTCATCAGTATCTCAAGAGCTAGTTCGAGACCGTTTCCAACAAGTTCAACAACGAATTGCTCGAAAGTACGTCGAAATCGAAGAACTATTGTACCGTGAATTCGAAAGAACGTTGGACAAGAAACGTCTCCGTGAAATCGCCAGTGTTTTGTCCGAATTTAGGTGCTTCTCACGGTGTGTAGATGCGTTTGTTGAGCGTGCACAACAAGGCGCCTTTCATTCGGACAATGTTTTCGATGACATTCAACATGTTTGTGAGAAAACCAAGCCACTGATCGATGAGATATTCCCGGACCCGAATTTGGTCATGAACAAGTTGATTCTGAATCTGTTTCATGGTAGGTTTGGGGATTTTTCGGGCTCTTTTTTTGGAATTGCTTTACCCTACCCTAATAGTTAAGTTGGGTAAGGTAAGGCAGGGTAGTTTGAATACAGTGGATAAGATGGTGCATGTAGTGTAGGGCAAACTATGATAAGGTGCGGTGGTGTAGGGTAGGGTTTCATCGATGACTATTACCGGTCTCAACGTGCTCCTACTCACGCTTTTGCTACCCTACTTTACTCTGCTCTACCTTACCTACCGCTATCTTATCCTACCCTACCCGGCCTTATCCTGCCCTACCTTACTTTACTTGTGATACCCGTCTGCCTTGTCCTGATCTATACTTCCCTTTACTTCTATCCGCAGTCCCCCTTGTCTTGCACGTGCCATGAATTCCCATGCCCTGCTTTGCTCTTGCCCTGTTTTTCCACGCCTTGTCCATCATGTCAAGCCTTGTGTTACCTATTGCAAACCCAGCCGATAAACGCATTTTTAGCGACATTACCTAATATTGTTAACTATAATAGATAGCCTTAGAGAAATTGCAAGAAATGGTATTACGCAACTTTTTCTTGTGTAATATTATAGTTTTATATCATATTTGCCTCGGTGTAATACGACCCAACAAATGACTGCGAGTGCTGGGATTTTAGTCCATTTTTCTTTGAGCTATTATTAACTAACGACCGGTCGGCAAAAACACAATAAGCCTAAGCCTAATAAGTCTGGGCTTGCTGAGCCTGATGATGCTAATCCTGCATATGAAACCTGAGCATACTTAGTCTTAGATTTCTAAGCCTACGTATTCACACTTAAGCCTACTTAGCCTAAGCCTAAAAGTTTAATACTCAGATTAAGCCTACTAAACCTAAGCCCACGTCCAGTAAGCATAAGCCTACTAAGCCTATTCCTACTAAACCTTATACTGCTAAGCATAAGCATAATAAGCCTAAGCCTACTAAGTCTAAGTTCACAAAACATGAGTCTAAGCCGGCTAACCCTAAGCCTATTAAACGAAAACTGACTCATACTAATTCTAGGCCAACTATGTCTAATCTTACTAAACCTAAGCTAATATATTTTCTTTATTGTTTTATTCTACCATAATGTTTCTAACATGAAGCTACCGTAGTAAAATCGATATTTTCAGGTAAACTTCAAGAGACCTTATCCATGAAGTTGGACGATTCCAGAAACGAATCCGAGCAATATTTGCGAAACCTAAAGGACTTCTATTTGAATACCGAACGATTAGGCGCAGCACTTAAGGTGTACCAATCCGAATCCGACCAACAGTTCATAACAACACTCATCCAATCCCTTTTCAACCCATACCTAAAAGAGTATCCGGAAATCGAGGAGAGATTCATCAACGAACAGTGCCAATCTATTTTGAACAGTTACTACGAGAACAAAGGACATCAGAAGCGGAACCTGTCGGCTGGAGGGCTGGGCGAGTTCAAACGAGACCTTCAGGCTAGGCTACTGACTGTCGAGAACTTTGGCGGTGAAACGTTTCTGTCAGAAGAAGTGGCAATCAACATACTTCAGGAGCTGAAAAATGCTTTCACGAGATGCAATTTGGTGCGTTTTTTTTTGGTTTAGAAGAGTTAAAATACATATTGTACTTGATCGTGATGCAATTTGGTGATGTTTTTGGTTTATAGGGTTAAAAGTTATTTATAAGGAGTGAAGCATATATATTGTACTTGATAGTAGGGTCAGGAAGGGGAGCTTTAAAATTAGAAAGGGGCGGGTAATTTAAAAAAAATTTCTGAAGCTTTTAGGCACTTTGGAATAGGTACCAGAGACGTCGTTTGGGGGGGGTAGTTCGGGGTGACTCCCCCCCCAGAGCCGATCCGAAAAAAATCCACAGGTAGGTACGAGACCTGTACGCGGAAAAACGAAAAAAAAATTTTTTTTGAAAAATCGGTCCACAGGTAGCAGAAAGGACCTGTGGACCAAAAAAATTTTTTTCGACCTACCTCCCCCCCCCAGAGAAAAACCGTAGCGACGTCCCTGATAGGTACGTTAATGTAAAGCAAGGTAAAAGTAGGGTAGGGTAAGTTAAGGTAAAGATACAATATTATAAGAACGAAAAGGGTGGTAGGATAAAGTATAGTATGGTAGGCGTGGATAAAGTTGGCATTTTGTGGCTTTCAGGGACAGGACGGTAGGATAAAGGTTGGCTATGGGCCGGACTTCAAAGTCAGTTAGGGAAACGTAAAATAAGGTAGGGAGTAAAGCAAAGGCAAGCTAAGGGTCGAGTAAAGCAGATGAGGGTAAGAAATGGTTGGGTAAAGGAAGGAATGATTAAGGGTGGGTTAATGTAGGGTATACTTTAGGGTATGGTACCGTAAAATAAGGATAATGTGTGTATCGGGTAGGGTAAGATAGGAACAGGGTAGTAGGATATGAAAAAAGTACGGGAGGGTAAGGTAAGGGGGTCCGGTAAGTTATAATAGATTAGAGAAAGATAAAGTAGAGTAAGGTAGGGTAGGGTAGGGTAAAGTAGGGTAGGGTAGGGTAAAGTAGGGTAGTGTAAGGTTGAGTACGTTAATTTAGGTCAGAACAGGATAGGGTATGGTAGGGTAGGGTAAAGTACAGTAATGTAAACAACTCTTATACCAGCCTTTTTCAGATGTGCAAAAAAGCCGCTTCAATCCCGATGGTTCAATCCCTATTCGACCTTCTTCTAAAATATCTCTATAATGAACACGTTGACTACGCTATCGAACTGGCATTGGCCGGGATTTCATTGGCTGGCCCGAGGACTGAACCCCCAACCAACTTCTTCGCCGTAGTACAACAAACGGCAGCTGTTACACATTTATTCATCAAACAGTTTGAGGATTTGATCGCTCCGTTGGTTAAGTAAGTAATTAGTAGGTATGGGTAGGGTAGGGTAGATATATTAATATACTTTGTTATAATAGGATAGAGTATGGTATTTTAGGGGTAATGCATCCATTTTATGATGTTATTATGAGGTATGGTATGATTAGGTACTGTAGGTAGGACATGGCTATAATGTTGGATAGGGTACTGGGTACGGTAAGATTTTGTACTGTAGTAAGGTACTGTAAGCTGGAGAGGACACCGATGGTTTGGTTGGGTACGGTAGGCTGACGCTTGTGTGGGTACTGTATCGTGAGTAGGAGTAGGGATAGGAGTAGGGGTAGGGGTAAGAGTAGGGTATATTATAACAGTGCTGTCACAAACAATATCGTTCCAAAAGTTCATAGAATCTACTTTTTAAATAAGGTCAAAAAGTTCATGGAACCATATTTTAAGTTCCGGTCCAAAAGTTTGTAGAATCAATTTCATATTTTAGGTCAGATAGTTCGTAAAATCAATTTCTTTCGGTCAAAAAGTTCATAGAAAAATGTTTTTACAATGTATAATTCACTGCCATTTCCAGAGACACCTCAGTTCAAGAACGCATCAACTCGGAACGTGACCGTACCCTCCTCAACGTCGAAACCCGAATCAACCTCGGTCTGGAGCGCCAAATCAACGCCCTGGTCGGCTATGTCAAGTTCATCCTGAGTACGGAGCAAAAGCGGTCGGACTTCAAGCCGGAGGACGAGAATCGACCAATCTCATCCATGTCCAAAGCCTGTGCTCTGGTAGTACGGTACGTTCAAACAATGTACGATCGGATTACCGAGTCGGTGGATGGAAAGAATCTGGCCGCGGTGTTGACGGAATTCGGCCATGGCTTCTATTTGGCCGTCTTCAATCACGTCAAAGCTTTCAATTATAATCCAACTGGAGCGTTACTACTTGTTTGTGACATCAATGAGTATATGTAAGTTGGTTTTTGTTATCTTTATTGGGAGGGGGGGGCTTGAGGACCTTGCTATGGCATTTTTCTACTAAGGGAGGGGGAGGGGGAAGTTGATTTTTAGGAACAGGGACGTGAATAGGGAGATTGGCGGGGTTAAATAGGGGGTGGATCAAATGAAAAGTTTTTTGGCTTTGATTTTAGGTTGGCGAAGCTGGTTTTCTGGTCAAAAAGTTTATAGAAAAAAGTATTTTTACTACAATTTTTCATATACTCTGCTTATTTGTTGACCGATTTGCAATTTTCGCGGTCAAAAACTTTGTAGAACCTTTTTTCCCGCTCAGCCGAAAAGCTTTGTAGAATCATGGTTTCCACCTACTTTTTGACCGATTTAAAACTTCTTTTTGGTCAATAAGTCCGTAGCATTTGAATCTCTATGAAATTCCGGAAAAAGTTCGTAGAAAATTTTTTTAAACTCGGAAAAAAGCTTGTAGAATAGGTTTTTCTACGTACTTTTTGACCGATTTAAAACTTCTTTTTGGTCAGTAAGTTTGAAGAATTAGAATATCTAATGTCCAAGAATTTTCCAACCAACTCGATTTTTTCGTGGTCAATAATTGCGTAGAATCAGGGTCTCACTTTACTTGTCATTCTCAGGAAGTGCGTGACAGAATGGCGGATCCCAGAAGTCCGACGTCAATTCGAAAGTCTTCATGCCCTATCAAACTTGATGGTAGTTCGACCAGACAACCTGGTCGAAGCCGTAGCCGCGGCTTCGTTAAGCGAAATGGACCGAAATGTGGTACAGTCATTCTTGAGACTGCGCGAAGATGCCAGGGAATGCCAATTGTTCTTAAGCACAATGTGATAAGGATTCGATCAGTATTGTCATTAGATGATTTATATGATAATTATTGTCATTAGGTGATTAATTTGGTAAGTATTGTCATCAATTGATTAATATTTTGTCGTATTTTTAAGTATTTTTTAAAATTTTTAATGAATTTCTGCTTCTTGAGGCTTAAAAAAGTCTTGTCGTCAATTTACATGTACTTGCATGCTAAAAAACGACAAGACTTTTTTAAAGCCATATTATTTGAAGCTTTCGATAGCTTGTGTCATAATATCTTGTATTATTGTATACTTTTTCTTTTTTTACTATTTTAGCCAAGATTCTACTACAATATGTTAGCTTATTTATTATTCAATATGTTTACGGATTTACAGAGTAAAAGTTATTAAATTATTATAAAAAATGACTTGTAGTTATATCAATATACAAAATGATTGTTATATATAAGTAGAAACAATATAAAAAAGGTAATATAATACTTTAGAGAGCATGTATCAGAATGTCGAAAAAGTTTTGTCGTCAATTTCCATTGATTTGCAGGTTAAAAAAGCGACAAAACTTTTTTGACACTCTGATACATATTGGACTAGTTGTCTGTTGGGTTGAGAATCATTTATAAAATGTGGCGATACGCTATTATAATTGTATTATGACATACCATGGTAAAACATTACATTTTAAACTGAACTTTTTTAATTTAAATATTATTTGTTTAGGTTTACCTATAGGTACTGCTATACCTATAAAATTGGTATACCTATGATTTATAAGTACTACTATACACAACAAGCTTAACTAGACATTACTATACTTATACACTTCAACTTACAGTATATATTATATTAAAGCCTTAAAAAAGTCTTGTCGCTTTTTTCAGTGCAGAACAGTGCTGAAAAACGACAAAACTTTAAAAAAGCTTTAATACATGCCATTTGTCATAGAATGGGTAAGTATGATGCCATATTGTAATACCTTTGATACTATAAGATAGTATTTTTCATACTGTAACATAGTATATCATTATGAGGTAGTACTTATCATATTGTACCACCTGTACTATCAAGTACCATCCAAAACTCATCAAGTACTACCCACATATAGTCCAATTAAGCCTAGTCCTCATCCGAATGGTCTGATTCGATATGAACATCTTTGACCAGTTCGTTGACATGAGAAACAGCCTGTGGCCTTCCATCTGGCCCGATTCGTCCTGGCATGAAAACTCCCGAATCCAATAACTTATCCATAGTATTGGCCAGCTTAACTGCTTCGTATTCCTTTTGTTCTTCTGTCATGTAATCGAATGGGTTTCGACGATCACCTTGCACATAGCCAGTTACTGGGTTCACGCTGAAAAAGTATGAGATTTAACACTTTTTGTGAACCATAAATGTATTTTTACCCTGCCTAAAAAAATGAAAAAAAATTTCCCCCCCCCCAAAAAAATTTTTACCCCGCCCGAAAAAAATGTTTTCCCGCTCGAAAATTGCTTCTTGGCCTACTTAAAATTTTTCTCGCTCAATTATTTTTTTTCAATTTTCTATCCCGCCCAAAAAAAATTTTTTTTTCAAACTTACCCCGCCCTGGAAAATCCACAAAATCTCTTTTTTGCCCTGCCCTTTATTTTTACAACATTTATTTTCCCACCCCACCCTAATTTTTTAAGAAACTATTTTTTACCAAGTTCTTTGTGTTTTATGATCAAACACAAAAATCCCCAGTCTTTTTTTTGCCACGCCAAGATTTTATTTCACCCCGAACCTCCTCACCTCGGTTCCACCTGTTTATAATCTTCAGTTTCCGAGTCTTCTGAATCCGACGCCCTTCTCACTTCACCAATCTTGCTCAGGAACCCATAATCGGCCAAGAGACCGGCCGAATGGCCAAAGCCGCAATACTTGATCATTCGACTGACACTCCTCTTGCACAAGACAAATAAAAACTCGGCCACGATGCGCTTCAGGGTACCGACGCTTTTCGTCATGATTCTGATGATTTTGTTTCTGAAGGCCATGCCCTCTTCGGGCGGGTGTTCCACGTCGTTTGCTCTGAGGGGTGGTAGAATGCGTTGGCGGCAGTATCTTCGGGCTGCTTTGTTTTCTTTGCACAGTACGGTTAGGATGCCAAAGTAGGTTATGAGAAGGTCCATTTCGGGGGCGGATAGCTGAAATTTTTCATTTTTTTTACTTTTTATTACCTAAAAATCGGATTTTGAAAGATTTGTTAACTAAATTTTTAAAAAATTTAACTTTTGTTACCTAAAACGCAAGAAATTCGTTTTTTGTTACCTGAATTTCAGAAAATTTCAGTTTTGTTACCTAAAATTCAAAAAAATTTCATTTTTGTTACCTAAAATTTAAAAAAAAAATTGATTTTTGTTACCTAAAATTCAAAAAATTTCATTTTTGTTGCCTAAAAATTAAAAAAATTGATTTTTGTTACCTAAAATTTAAAAGATTTCAGTTTTGTTACCTAAAAACTAAAAAAAATTGATTTTTGTTACCTAAATTTTTCATAATTTCATTTTTGTTACCTAAAAACTAAAAAAGCTCAAATTTTGTTACCTTAACCTAAAAAATGATCATAAATCTAAACCCCCACCTCATCCAGTCTGAGCTCCAACAAGTCCAGTAAACACTTCAAAAAAGTCACATCCATGCCTTCGTACACAATCATATCATCCGTCACACTTTCCTCGGTAACTTGTGGGCACAGTGAAGTAAACTGTGACGATATATGTGCTAGTACGTTCACTGCATCGTACTTGATACTGTTTGGTAGGTAGTTAGATTTGATGAGTTGTGAACATTCTTGGGCGCATAGCTTTTCTACCGACTGGTCGACTTGGACATGGCCTATGAATACGTTAAAGAGGACCTTGAGGAGTTCGGTTATGCACTCTTGTTTCATGGAATTGTGTGGGGAGGGGGTGGTGAGCTGGAGAGCGAACTTGTGAATGACACCGATGAAGAAGGTGATCTGGGGGCTGACTTTGGTCTGAAAAAAAAGGTAACATTTGGAATGAAAAGCTGAGAAAGTATATTTTAAACTACCCTTTCTTACGTTATCATACTCTACCCTACCTTACAGTCCTCTACCTTCCCCTACCCTCCCCTAATTTCCAAAAAACCTACCCTAGCCTCAGTGCTCAGCGCAGTAATAGCAAAAATGACTCTCAAATCCAAGTACAGTAACTCAATGATCGTGCCAACATCATGATGAACAAAGATTGGTTGTTCGACGGTTGGATTGAAGATTTGAAGGCATGAAGTGATTATTCTCTCCGCCAGATTACCAACATAAGCACAGTCTTCGGAGATCATGGCACGACGTAGCTCTTCCGATTGCCTTGTGCCATTTACCATGCACTTGCAGCCCTCCATTACTACTGTAATTTTGAAAATATATTAAAAAACATAAAAAATAAGGTCTTACCACAAAAAACCAAAATTTTGTGAAAAAGTCCGCAAAAAAATTTTAAAATTCCGGTCAAAAAGTTCGTAGAATCAGGTTTAGAAACAAAAATAAAACATAAAATAAATAAAAATCCCATATAACCAACATACCATCAAAATTATCGACCGCTTTTCCTTCTTCATTCAAACCAGCGGCCGAAATGATAAAATACGGAATATTTGTTGTCATTAGGTAACCAATATTGTCCGTGTCGCGCAGTAAAACTCTATATGCTCTTAGAATCATAAGCTTAAGTTCGTTACTTCCTCTTTGATATCTTTCTGGCATTACCTCGGAAAATACCTAAAATATGTGGCTTAAAAAACATATGGTTGATTTTTAGGTAACAAACGGATAAAAAAAGTGCCCATATTAGTATTAAGAACACTGGCATAGCTTCTAGATTTACTGTAAAGCATTGTAAGATGTTTTCATCTATTATTTCATACCTAAAACTCAAAAAAATATAAAAAACAAAAAAACTTACGGTTTTAGCTTGTGGATCCATGTGTGGTACAGCTGGACTAGTTAAATAAGTCCCAAATTCAGATAGCAACAACTGTGAAAGCTGCGCATCACCAATGGCATCTGACTTTAAATGGCTTAACACGTTTGCATCCAAGACCATTTTGTTACCTAAAATAATATAAATTTTGAAATTCTGTTACCTAACCATAACAATTCCAAAAAACTCGCAAAAATGTAAAAATACACAATAAAAACAACGTAAATACTAATTTACAGCAATATATATTCACAATTACTACTTTGGGCATGAATATTGTAGTAGACGTACGTTATATATGAATATTGAAATACCCATCCTTACTGATGCTTTAGAAACAGCCAAAAGAGCATTTACGATGTGCTTTCCAAAGCCCACCCTAATATCATAACACTGTCCCCCACTATTAAAGTGTAATCCCACTAATTGAAATGTTACACATAGATAGCAGACAATATATCCCCGCACAATAATTTACCATGGTAACCAAAAACCTGTTGAAAATTTAATATCGTATTTACTTAAAGACCAATTAAAAATATATATTTTGGCTTTAGAAACCAATTATAAGCAAAAACTGCCAAAATGAGGAGAAAATCGTTTATTTACGGTAACCTATCATAGTAAACAAGATAATTACACATCTCTAGGCACGAACTTTGGGCTCCAAATCGGGCTTCTTGTTACTTGGCTGGGGAACACGATGAGGATTGATATTGTTCTAAAAATGGCATAATATAAAGGATTTTGTTATCAGTTTTTCATTAAAATTCGATAACAATTATGAAGGTATAGATGTTCAGTAAAAACACAATAACTTCCACAATTTTGTAAATTTTGAAAATCCTTTTTCAAATTAGCCAGCCAAGAAGATAATCCACCTCAACGCCAAATTTCATGCATCTATCAACCAATTCAAAAAAGTTATAACCAAAACCAGTTAACCACTATTTTTAATACCTATAGCAACTTAATCGTTAAATATACCAAAATCTTTTAAAGATTACGCCCAAAAACAGCTAAAACCATACTTAAAAGACTCCAAAACTCAATTCAAGAGTAATGCCCAGCACTTCAAAGCCATTTCCATACCTAAAAATCAAAAAACCAATCAAAAACCACATACCTCGCTGTCATAGAACGAGTATTTGTTGAAGTTCAAGTATTCGTCGCATTTGTAAAGTTTTGGGTCCTGTTTATGGCTCTGACCAAGTTGTTTAAACTTCAACGCATGCTCAATACCAGTAGTTCCACTCGGTTGATTGGTACCGTGTTGAAACCTTTTGATAATCAACTGAACAGGCAATTTTCTGTTCATCGCCTAAATTGGTGTCATTATTAGTAATAGAAATGTGTGTAAAATACGTGTACTGATCGCCATCACATAATAGTTTTAACACAACATTAATCGATCCAAATTAGCTACAATTCCCCACTTTTCCCACAGATATAAACATGTTATCCATGTCCTACACCAAAAAAAATGCATAAAATTAAGAAACCAAAAAACCACGTGCTTTTGGTGTAAATCCAAGTAAAAAGAGTTAATTTCGGCACGGTATTAGCCAAAGGCCGTTGAAATGGAAAAGGAAATTTTAATATCCGTGAGATAGGGCGCGCGTTAAAACAAACAAAGAAAAGCTTACCGCAAACTGCGGGTATGTTTTATACGCTGAAACATTAAAATAATATTGTTTGAAAGAATTTTGGAAGAGAATCCCTTATCGTGTTTGATATTATCTGATTTGTTGTTTTTGTCAATTTCTTGTAAGTTTATTGTTTTTTGAACGATTTCCTAATATTTTTTGGTTTAAGAAATGTTGTTTTAGGCTTTTTATCTTGTTTTAAGGTCATTTTTCAAGAAATAAAGCTGATTTTTGCCAAAATAAAGTACATAACAACATAAACCTATATAATATAAACTTGTTTTTTGACCCAGATTGTTTGTTTTGTAAATAACAACCTGATTAACAGTTTTTCAATGAATAATGCATTAATTTGTGAGTATAATATAAATATTTTCAGTGTTTGATAGATTTTTTGTTACAATGACGCCATTAGAGCTGTGTGGGGTATTATTCCTTATTATTACGGCTGTGATAAGTTTATTAGTTGCTGTAGTGATATACTCGTTGCCAAAGAAGATCTACACCAATATCAAGAGGAGTCATGTTTTGATCACTGGTAGGTATCATAATATCATTTTTTCTTGAACTCTAGGTAGTCAAATACAGTATGGGTTCTTTGAGGTACTGAGTATGATTTTACAAGCTTTTAAACTTTAAAAAGCGGTTTTATAATGGATTTTTATCTAAAACATACTGTTCAGCATAATATAACTACCTCAACTACAGGCGGCTCAAAAGGCATTGGAAAAGCAGTAGCCATCGAATGTCTTAAACAACAAGCCACATTTGTCACAATTTGTGCCAGAAACCGTAAAGATTTGGAGAAAGCCCAATATGATCTTCAAAGGTATTGTAGAGATGGTCAGTCGGTTAAAATATACGAAATGGATATCACTGCTGGCTTTGATAAGGTAAAGGAAGTTGTAAATCAAATAGAATCAGAAGTAGCACCAGTTGATATTTTGGTGAACAATGCTGGGTTTGTTATTCAAGGAGAATTTGATGTTTTGGCTTCGGAAAGTGTATTGAAACAGATGGAAATCAATTATATTGGAGCGGTAAGGGTGTTTTTTTGTTATTGTTTTTTGGTTTTTAGGTACAAACAGGATTGTTTAATCTGCTAGAAGTGACATTTTTGTAATGTATTGCTTTAAAAGGGCAAAAAACGGTGTTTTTTTATGTTGTAGTAGATGGAAAGCTTTCTGATATGAAATTAATCATAACTTTTTAAAAAAACTAGTTGGAAACCTAAAATTTGCAGTGATTTTAGATCATTAGGTTTTTCAACTCAAAGCGATGTTTCGAATTCAGTTTACTTTAAAAGTTACAGTGCTTTTACCGTACCCTACTTTTCTATCTATAAACTAGCATTTTGAGCCCATAAAACTTTATTTAAAAGCCAAAAAAAAATAAAACTAACGCCATTTTCTATATTTTCAGACCCACTTAGTACGAGCTGTGTTACCATCGATGAAAGAGCGAGGTCATGGTCATATTAACTTTGTCTCATCGGCTGCAGGACAATGTGCAATTTGGGGCTATGGAGCATATTCACCATCAAAGTTTGCTGTTCGAGCTTTTGCTGATGTTATGGCCGCGGAGTGTCGGCCTTATAATGTTAGTTTTTTAATGAATTTTGAGATTTAAACAAAATTTTAAAAAAAATTTTGAAAAAAAAATTTATATTGTTGTAGATCGGAGTATCAGTGTTGTACCCGCCAAATACTGAAACAGAAGGTTTCCAAGTTGAGAAGCAAGAGATGCCAGAACAAATTAGACAAATCTCAGGATCGGCCGGTCTATTTTCATCGGAAGAAGTTGGCCGAGCTTGTGTTAATGCCATTTCTAATGGTGATTTCAATGCTTCTGTTGGTAAGTGATAAAAAAGATTATATTAGGTTGTTTAAATAATTCTGTGCCCCTCTCAAAGAAAAATTATGGGGTAGCGGCACAGAATTATTAGATCAGGGGGCACAAGATTATTTGAACAATCATAGGGCACAGGTTTATTTGAACAGTCAAGGGGCTCCGAATTATTTGAACAATCAAGGGGCACATGATTATTTGAACAACCTAATACAAGCGTTTCAGGCTTTGAAGGCTGGCTACTGTGCACTCTAGCAGCTGGAGCCTCTCCAGAATCTTCCCCATTACAAGCCATCGCTCAAACTTTGTTTGCTGGCATTTTCAGAGGAATTATGCTGGTTTATCAAGGATCTTTCACCGATATTATTCAGAAACTTCACAAAAAAGCTGCCTAAAATGAAATTTTAAAATTTTAATTTTCGAATTTGAAAAATTTAATATTTTTTAATTTTTTAAAATTTTTGATGACAAAAGATATTGATATAGCTGTATTCTAACAATATTTTTATACGAGGTATACCTAATTAATAAAATTTTTTGAATTAAAAATTGTGGAATTTTTAAATATTTCTTACTCTTACCACCCTACCCCTACCTTTATACCTACCCCTACCCTCACCTTTACCGCTACCCCTACCCCTCCTACCCCTACTTCTACCCCTACCCATACTTCTACCCCTACCCCTACTCCTACTCTTACCTCTACCCCTATCCTTATCTCTACCCCTACCCCTATTTCTCTTGTACCTCTACTTCGTCATGCCTTTACACTTATTTTGTACCCCCATCACTACCTTTACCCTTCCCTACCCTTGTTTCTACCTCTGTCCTAACCTCTACTCTTACCTTTAACTATACTCCTACTTCGATTCTTTGTTCTAATCTAGAGTACTTTTTCTAAGATTACAGTATCTTTTACAAAAACTACAGTATCTTTCCTCTGTTTACGGCGTACTCTAACCTAGAACACCCTTTAGTACCGTATCGTACCCACTCTAATCTATAGTACTCTACAGTTACCTATAGCACGTAAGCTCTTTTGTTCGTATACTTTACTTAGTATCATCGTGCACTTTTATCAATAGTTTTTGAAATGTTAAAATAGTCACATTTTAAAAAGGCCAAACTTAAAAAATGTCCAAAGTCATGTAGACCATAAACCACTCGACAAAAGCCGTTACAGAGAACGCATGGTCAAGTATACTTGAAAGATTTGTTAAAAATACAATATGACATGACATATTGTAGGTTCATTTACTGAATACGTCTTACTGAGTAACTACGCAATACGTCTTATTAAGAAAATTCTATGTCCTAGCACTTTCACCTTAGACTTTACTGTTTTGTAGATTGGTATATTAGCATGGGGTAGTGCAAGCTTGTTGTATCCTTATTTAGAAGGAGGTGAGGAAATGGTTCGAGTTTTTTTTGTGTAATATAATAACATGCATATAGTCGTCATAGTTTGGTAAGGTATATTATAGTAAAGAAGGTTTAATCATTGTTGAGTTGGAGTTGGATCGAGGTAAGGCTAATCGAGGGTGGGTTGAAAAAGCGCTACTATAATTAGGGCAACATTTGGGTAGGGTCAGACTAGCGTAGGTGTATTGTGAAGGGAAAAATATGGTAGGGAAGGGTGGGGTAAAGCTAGACATGAGAAACGGGCCGGCCCGGGCCTGCCATCGGGCCGGGCCGGCTTTGAGCAAAATTCCGATCGGGCCGGGCCCGAAAAATTGGGCCCGGCCCGTTTCTCATGTCTAGGTAAAGCAGACTGGAAAACGATGGGATAGGGCAAGGCAAGGTGAAGCAGGGTAGAGTATCATAGGGTAAGATATGCTAGGGCAGGGTACGGCAAAGTAGGGTAGAACGGATTTTGTAAATTAGTGTAAACAAGACAGATTTGGCTAGAGTTGTGTTAGGGTAGGACGAAGTAGGGTAGGGTAAAATAGTATAGAGTAAGGTACGGTAGGGTAAGGTAGGACAGGGTACGGTACAGTAGGGTAAAGTAGTATAGAGCAAGGTACGGAACGGTAGGATCAGGAAGTATATTAGGCATTAATGTTCAAACCGCTTTAAACTGTCTGGTAAAACGTTTAACAAGAAGTGTTTTGGATTGTTTCTAAACCTTGTCTCGGTAAATTTGTAGTGCCACATTGTACAATCTGTTTAAATATAGTGTTCGTGCTACTTAAAATAACAAGAATTATGTTGTGTAGTACGTTCTTACAAGGAAGGTTTTTTATAAATCCAAAAGCTTTTTAGGTAAGGTAGCTTGAGGCAAGGTACGGTTGGCTAGGCGGGGAATGGATCAGGTATGGCCTGGGTAAGGTAAGGCAGGATAAGAGTATGGCAAATAACAGTGCTATTAGGGCAGGGCGAGAGTAGGGAAGCGTTGCCGATTTTAAAAAAATATTTATACATTTTTTTAAAACTTTTCGCAATTTATAACAGTGTAATCTTTTAGATTTATATGGAATATAATACTCCAAAATCTTCGTTTTTACTTCGTATATGTTTAGAAAGTGTGTTTGGTATTATCGGTGTTACTGCTTCAATAGCATTAATTACAGTAAGTTTAACTTTTAGCATAAAACTGTGCTTTTAGTAATAAATAGACTAGAGTCATGGGCTAGGACTCTAGGCTAGGGCTCTGATCTAGAGCTCTGGGCTAGGGCTCTGGGTTAAGGCTAGTGTTAAAGCTAAATATAACACTAATGCAGTGCTACTTCTATAGTAAAAAGTTCATCCACGTTTTAGGTCCTACTCACAGTAAAAAAGTTTCGAAAACGAAACGTGCTAAGAACGATAACATCAACGACGTTCGCTGAAGGGTTGTACTGTATAAGTTATGGTACTCCGATATGGTCATGGTTATTATTTGGAAAAACCTTCGATCCAGACACTACAAAGGTAAGTTTCTTCTTCTTCTATGTTATTTTATATGGCAGGTTGTGTTTGTATTGTGTATATTGTTGTAGTTTGGCTGGGCTTTAGCTTTTCTTAGTACTGTTCGTGCTTACTAGTGTTTTGCCAGTATGTGGTATAAGTCGTATTAGGTTATTCAACTAATTCTGAGTCCCCTCACAAAGCAAATTTTTTTGTTTCAGGGGCACATAATTATTTGAACAACCTGCTAAATACTATAAATGAGTAGTAATATGACATTTCAGGCCATAGCATTCATAAACGAAGTCTCATACAAAGCCCAAATATATCAACATTCATTGCTAGAAATAACAAGACTATACTATACGGTAACACAACGAATAAAAACGGTGGAAAAGAATGGTCTTAATGATGTAAGTTAATTATTCCAATTATTTTTACACTAAGATGAGAGACGGTATTACCAAAGTATAAGGGTGTCATAGAGTACAAAATGCAAAAATTCAAATCTTACGATAAGTATAAATTGTATGACACATACTCTAAACATATCTTGCACGTACATTCTATTACCAGGGTAAAGTAAGAGAGATAGAGTAGGGAAAAGCAGGGTAGTATAGGGTATGATGGAACAGAATATAGTAATATGTAGTAAGAAAAAGTAAGTTAGACTAGATTAAATTGCAGAAGAGTAAGGTACGGTAGGGATGAGTACGGTAACAAACACTAGGGAACGATAGGGCACGGTAAAGTAGAAAAGTGGAGTGGGATATTATGGGGTAGGGTAGAGCAGAATAGAGAAGAGTAAGATATGAAACGGTACGGTATAGAGTAAGGTAAGGCAAAATACGGTAAGGTTCGGTACGGTGGTGCAATGTTCGGTAGGGTAAGGTAAGGTATGGTGGGTTAGAGTAAGGTAAAATACAATACAGTAAGGTAGGGTAGGGTAGGGTGATGTAAGGCAAAGTATACCAGGCTACGACGCGGTACGGTACTGTATAGGGTAGAGCAGGTTACGGTAGGGTAGGGTAGGGTAGGGTAAGGTAGGGTAGGGTGGGGTAGGGTAGGGTAGGGTAGGGTAGGGTAGGGTAGGGTAGGGTAGGGTAGGGTATACTGTAAAACCACTAATTATAATTTTTTTTTTCAGTTTTTCCTACTAATATGTTGGTGTATAGCAACAACGACAGTAATATTATACTTCAATGCGGGTAGAATTTTAAGTTTCAATTACAATAATATGCAATGGCACGGTCCAAGTGTATGGACAGTACTTCTTAAAGTTCTCTATACTTGCCAGTGTTGTGCCATCTGGTTTGGACTGTGTGCTGCTGGTGGGGTTATGTTCGCTTTTTATGTTAAGGTAGGTGAAAGATGTCAGATTGGACTTGAATATATAATCGCCTGGTCAAAAAGTTTGTAGAATTTGATTTTTAAACTAAAATATGATGTATAGATACCAAATGCCAAAAATATGAGGAAGACGATAGAAGGAAAGATGTTTTTACAAACCATTTTACTCAGTATGTTCGATGGATTCCAATTAATATTGGCAGTAACTTTAACAACCAATAATCTGAGAGCACCGCTTGGAAGCACGTTAGCCTTAGCACGTTGTTCTTTCAGTTCTGTTTTGTACATTATTTTGAATAGGTAAGTAGATATAGTAGAGCCCAGAGCCCTAGCTTAGAGACCTAGCCCAGAGCCCTAGCCCTAGCCCTAGCCCTAGCCCTAGCCCTAGCCCTAGCCCTAGCCCTAGCCCTAGCCCTAGCCCTAGCCCTAGCCCTAGCCCTAGCCCTAGCCCTAGCCCTAGCCTTAGCCCTAGCCCTAGCCCTAGCCCTAGCCCTAGCCCAGAGCCCTAGCCCTAGCCCTAGCCCTAGCCCTAGCCCTAGCCCTAGCCCTAGCCCTAGCCCTAGCCCTAGCCCTAGCCCTAGCCCAGAGCCTTAGCCTAGAGCCCTAGCCCAGAGCCCTAGCTTAGAGACCTAGCCCAGAGCCCTAGCCCAGAGCCCTAGGCCAGAGTCCTAGCCCAGAGCCTTAGCCCGGAGCGCAAGCTAGGAGTTCTAGACCAGAACCCTTGTTTAAGCCCAAGCCTTTGATCTAGCCCTACCCCTACTACTACCCACACCTCAATTCCTAGCTCCGAAAAAATCGACCCTGCCCGGCCCGGTCGGCGTGTCTAAATATTTTACCCTGGTTCTTATCCAAAGTCCAATAAACCTACAAATCGTAACCTTCCTTATGTAAAACTCAAGATAACAATCAATGTTTCAGAGAAATACGAAGAGTGTTGAGACATGTTTCCTTCTACATGAGTGGAACACATGTCTCTAGCAGTGTGATAGCCATTTCTGGAAACAAAGTTGGCTACAGAAGAAAAATATAATCTACAGAAGTTGACTATTTACTAGAACAATGTACAATAAATAAACTCAAACCACGAGAATGATAACTCTACCATAATATATACGACGAGCATGATAATTATACTATAATATACATATATAGACTGAGTTGGGATACGGTAAAGCTGTAGGAGTAAGTGACGGAAAAGAGAAGACGCGATAGGTGTAGGAGGTAAGAGGTAGAATAGAGTAGAGAAGGGTTAGGTAAGAGAAGGTAAGGTTTGGCGGCGTAAGGTAAGTTAAGTGGTTTGAGGAGGACGGGGTAGAGGGAGAATGGTGAGAGAGGCAAGGGGTAGAAGTGACGGAAGGAGTAGGGAGGAGGGGATTTACAATTTTTTTTTATTTTGATAACTTATCAGATATTTTTTTTAATGTTTTTACACCCCATCTCCTAAATGATCATTTCCCCTCCTTTCCCCCCCCCCCCTCACTCTAATATATAGACAAACAAAGAAATGAAACACTAATAATACAATTAAAACTTGTATATCCTTTTTTATTACTGTAATTTACAAAGATAGTGCAAAAAGTAGTAGTAAATTAGTTGCTCTTTCTTTGTCTACTCCCCCCCCCCTTTAAGCAGACTTCCAGTTTTTCTTAAGCGCGCTCGATTTAAGATGACTCAATTACTGTGGTAATTTGTTTATGCCGCAATAAACAGGCGGGATGTACCTGCAAATCCAGATTATACACAAATTATACGTCGCCAACATGGTAATTGGCTGGGGCAGGGTAAACATTTGATGAGTATAAAAAGTCGACCGTTACTTACAGTTTTTTACGTCAACATAATTTTTTTACTTTAATGCAGGTTTTATATAATACTACAGTGTTCAGGAAAAAATTTTTTTAAAGGAGTTACATTTTTCAAAAAAAAATTGGGCGTGGTAAAATTTTTGAAAAAATATTTTGGGGGTGGATAATTTACTTTTTTAATTTTAATGCCAAAAAATCATTTTTATGCCTCAAAATGCTCAAAAACTACAGTAACCATTCATAACGCGTCCAACTTTATCTTACAGTACCCAACCTCAACCTAACTTAATATTACAGTAACCAACCAGAATGACCTCAACAACCTCAATCCTCTACTTCATTGTACTAGCCGTGCCAACAACCGCCTTCCTCTTCCCACCAGCTCCAGCACCACCACCAATGCCATGTTGTGCTCCACCACCACCACCCCCATGTCCACCACCCTGCCCACCACCCTGCCCACCGCCATGTCCTCCACCACCACCGCCATGCCCTTGTGGCGGCCGTAAGAAGAGAGAGGTAGGCTTAGTTTTAGCAGGTGGAGAGGGTATAATAATGTTAATGCTGGGCGAGGTAAATGATTTAGGAGGAAAAAAAGGGTAGATTTTTAAGATTAGAGGGGTAGGGAGGAAAGGGGGGGGGGGAGAATGAAAGAGGTAAAATAGTATTTTTGAGTAATCAGAAAAGTTAAAACGTCGATTTTAACCAAAATTTCAAAAAATAAATTTGGGCGTGGTAAAAATTTTTTGGGGGGTAGGGAGGAGTAAAAAAAGTAGATAAAAGTTTTAAAAGTTATTTTTAGTCAAAATTGTAAGCAATCGCACTAATTACAAAAAAAAGTTGGGCGTGGTAAAAAATTATTTAGGGGGTGCTAAAAAGTTTTTTCTCTGAAAAAATGCATCTACCTATTTAAATGAACTTTACAGTATTTAAAACCCCAAAAAAATTTTTTTTAATTTTTTTGGGGTTTTTTTAAAAATTTTGATTTTTAAGGCCATTATCCCTGTTGTAAAAACCCATGATGATATGCCATGCCCACAAGAACACTGGTTGCCAATCATTGATAAGGTAAGGCTTGATACGATATTGCTCTATGTTAACATAAAAAATAAGTTTTTTTAAATTTAAAATTTTTAGAAATTTTTTGAAAATATGAAATTCAATTTTGGCGCCAAATATTAAGTTTTAAGTGTTAAGTCTAAGCAGCAGCCTAACCCATTACCATTTCAGTACATAACCTCCGACTCAAAGACCTCGGCCAAAGCAATTCAGACCGAAATGTTTGAAGAGTTTGGCCACAAATTCTTCGTCAGTTGTGACAAACGCCACTCGAAAGAACTACCATTCCTGGCCAATGGCGACGGTTACTGTATGCGAGAGCAGAAGGAGGTCAGGTGTATAGTCGTGGCTTTGAACAACTAAACCTATCTCTATCTCAATTATTATGTCGAGGGTATGCCTTCAAGATTCAAAATCATGTCGTACTGTAACATGGAAACTAAAAATATAAACATTTGTCTTTCAAATCTTATACGTGCAATAAAGTTTTATATACTAACATAAAGTATTCGATTACTATGTAAAACAATATAAAACCTAAATCTCTTACAAGGGAATGTTACAAACTGCCCATTCGATTTTTAAATGCGAATAGTACCACGTGAAAGAGCGTAAAAAGTTGATTAGAAATCTGCTTTCAAAAACTGCTAATTTTGCCTTACAAGCTCGCTAGCGAGATTTTAAAATCATTAGTGAAAGGGCCTTATAAGTTGTTATTCTTTCTTTTGGGTTATTGTATTTTTAAAAACCTTAGTTTTTACTTTTTTTTATGTTTTATTAGATGCAAGAAGCAATTACCAACAAAAAAATTTTTGTTTTGTATATTCAAATTCATAAACGTTTAAATAAAAAAGGATCAATTACCCCAAAATGAGAATCGAACCTGATCCGCACGATTGCGCAATCACGGCGCCTTTGACCACTCGGCCATTCGAACACATTATCTTACCCTCTTTGAAAGAAGTCAAAAGAAAGAGGACTTAAAAAAGCCATTTTAATAGTAAAAATTTTAAAAGCTCGCTAGCGGGCTTGTAAAGCAAAATTAGCAGTTTTTGAAAATAGATTTCTAGTCAACTTTTTACGCTCTTTCACATGGTGCTGTTCATTTTTAAAAAGCGAATGGGAATTTTGTAACATTCCCTTGTTAGCCTTAGCCTTAGTCTTAGCTTTAGCCTTAGCTTTAGCCTTAGCCTTAGCCTTAGCCTTAGCCTTAGCCTTAGCCTTAGCCTTAGCCTTAGCCTTAGCCTTAGCCTTAGCTTTAGCCTTAGCTTTAGCCTTAGCGTTAGCCTTAGCCTTAGCCTTAGCCTTAGTCTTAGCTTTAGCCTTAGCTTTAGCCTTAGCCTTAGCCTTAGCCTTAGCCTTAGCCTTAGCTTTAGCCTTAGCCTTAGCCTTAGCCTTAGCCTTAGTCTTAGCTTTAGCCTTAGCCTTAGCCTTAGCCTTAGCCTTAATTTTAGCCTTAGCCTTAGCCGTCCAAGCCCCTCAGTTTTTCTCTTCTTAGCCTTTCATTTTTGACCCCTTAGCTTCAGCCTTAATTCTGCCTTTGATCTAACCTTGCCATGCCCTATACCCTACGAATGCTTTACTTTGGTCTTGCTTTGTCATTGATGTGCTTTTTCGTAATTTAACTACAGCGTTATTCTAGCACTATTCAAACCCTACACTCCTTTTACTTCTCTTTTACGTGACCTACGCTTTGACTTACTTTTGCTCTGCACACATCTTACCGTTTTCTGACCAGCCCTTTTTACAACCAAAAGCTACAAAAATATTTAGTTGTCTCAGGACAAACATCAACCTTTATATTATAAAATCAAGTAGTTAGTGTTCAAATTTTCAGAAACATAAATATATCATTTCAATCCAAGACGCACACTGACAGCAAAAGCTCAAAAATAAATAATAGTATAAATTAGCTGGAGTAAGAAAGCGAAAAAACGCTACTCAATCAGGCGATTTCTCAAATTAAGCATTTACTGCTCGCTTTTTGTAAAAAATTGTAGCAAAAAGTTGAAGTAACTGGATTTAATTGCGACAGATTTGTAGCAGATACGTAGATGGTTGCAGATTGACTCACGCAACGCCAATTACTGTGGTATCGGTCTTGTTGGTGAATGAGTATATAAGGATGAGGCTTGGGATGGTAAAAGTCATCAATCTTTTGTAAGGCTTTTTTGGGCATACAGTATCTTGTGGGTACTGTAAGAGTTACTTTTAGACTTGCAGTACATAACGAGTACTGTAAGGTCTTGTATAAGCTCTAGTACTCAATTAGTACTATAAAGCGAGTTTAGGCTTACAGTATCTACTCATTACTGTAAAAACCTCTATAGGATTACAGTACATATTGAGTAATGTAAAACCTTATCTAGGCTTACAGTATCTACTAAGTACTATAAAAACTGGTATAACCTTACTATACCAAAACTTGGAAGTTGAGCTTCTATAAGCTTACAGTACCTACAACTTACTGTAAAATTTTCTACCAACTACAAGGCCTCAAATTTATACTGTATGTTTTCAGGTTACTGTACTAAACTTATCCAACTATGAAGTTCGTCTCCCTGATTGTAGTAGCTAGCGTAATCGTCGGTCTAGACGCATGTCCGGGACTTTTCGGAGCCCCACCACCACCAGCACCATGCTGTTGTGGTGCTGCACCTCCACCACCTCCACCATGCCCACCACCCCCACCCTGCCCATGTGGTGGACGTAAGAAGAGAGAGGTAAGAGTGACGTGCTTTTTAAAAATTTTATTTTTTTAAGCATATTTAAGAAGTTAGTAACATTAAAAATGGCAATTTAGTTACAATGTTACAGTAAAACTATCGTAACCCAAAATATTCAAAAAAAAATTTTTTTGTTTAATATTGAAAAAATAGGATATTAGGGTATGAATGTAATGTAGTTTGCCAAAGAAATATATTGTTTTAGGCTGTGATGCCACATTTGAAAACCGAAGACATGGCTTGTCCTCAACACCCTTGGCTCGACTCTATTAAAGCTGTAAGTTTTATGACAAAACTAATTCAAAAATGACATTTTGAAAAACTTTTTTTTATTTATATGACTCTAAACAGCGTCAACTAACGTATTACATAGTATTAGTAATATGAAATCCACGTACTATGTAGTGTTTGTCCTACGTACTACATAGTACTAGTGCTAAATAGTACGGGCAATATAAAAAAATAAGAATTGCATAGTTATAGCATTCTAAAGGGCAACTATATAAAAGTAATACTCCAGAGTACACGTACTATATAGTACTAGTGTTAAATAATATGTGCACTAAAGAAAACTAAATTTGTATGATGCTAACGTTCTAAAACGTATTTATGATTTTGTATTGGTTCTCCAAAGGGCACGTACTATACAGCACCAGTACTAATTAGTATTAGTAGCCTCAAGAACAAATACTGTAAATCATTATTACTATACTTGTGTTACAAAGTAATATTTTAATATTCAACTAAACAATCTTAAACCAATTGCTATATAGTACTGAACCAAAAAAAGCTAAATAAATTTAAAAAATTTCAGAACATGAATGATGACGCTGTAAGCTCAGCCTATGCCATTCAATCAGTCATGTACCGAAAATACGAAACTCAATTCTTCGTATCGTGTTCGCCAAAGACCGAAGAAAAAGTGTCTCGACTCGTCGTTCACGGCGATGGATACTGCATCACATCAAACGAAAAGCTCACTTGTCAAGTTGTGTCTTTGAGCGCTTAAACTATGAGATTTTAGCCTTAAGGCTGGCCTTAATTTTTACGCCTTAACACAATGATATCATGGTTTATATCATTACCTTCCTTTACAAACACAACATCATCATACTCGTTTTAACCATACAACAACGTGCAGTACTGTATATTATTTTGCAATAGTATTAATTTGTTTTCAATTTTTCTCCGAAATTTTATAAAATTAAGCTCAATTACTACGTATTATATTATTTACTATGATTTTATTTTATCCAACGGTTACCGGGAATAAAGTTACAATATAAAAATGTGAATAACAACTTGCAAAAAGTTACCAACGTTATTAAAAAAATTATTGTTATAACAGCCGAACAACCAGACGTATAATACAAGTCCTGGATTTACACTTGCTCCGAATAAAAGATTTCTCGAAAAAAACCTGCGCTGTTACTCAATACTAACGTTATAACTAGATAGCCTCAGAGAAATTGAAAGAAATCGTATTACGCAACTTTTTCTTATGTAATATTATGATTTTATATAATACTCGTCTCGGTGTAAAACGACCCAACAAATTACTGCGAGTGCAGGGATATGGCTCCATTTTTCCGCGAGCGATCATTATGTAAAGCTGTAAAAATTTTTGTAAACTTATCCAGGAGGTACATATTCAACGTTTAGTGCGTTGGTCACAGTGGCTGTGGCGCCGCTCGCTATTCGGAAGGACCTTGATTCGAACCCGCGTACCGCCCAACCTAGACGTCTTGAAGAATGGGTAGTGCTGAGTGCACGGGGACTAGGCACATCTATACTTCACCTACAAGAGTATATGATTGAACGCTAGAAATCTTATAGTGCACTTCACCCACGACTCAGTGACGCAAGGAACAGTGAAGTACCTGGGGGAGAGGCCCAATTATGGGAAACCTCAGATTCAAGGATAGCTCCGTTGGTCTTCACCTGAACCTTGAACGTCTTTGCACATCAACACAGTACGTTACAATCTGCGGCAACAAACTACTTATTTAATCTATAATATATCTCCCGAGTTGTAACTGTAGACGTTTGAGTATGTAAAGTAAAGTAAAGCCTACGAAGCCAATGTCAAATATGTTCAAGCTTTCCAGCTACTGCTGCCTAAGCCAACCCTAACCTTATAACCATTGAAAACGACGAGCTAAACCTCAATGTAATAAATACCAGAGACAATTTAAAAAAACATGAAAAATATATAGTGTTTCTAAATCTGTCTAATTGTAAAAAACCCATAAATAATTCAATAAAATATTAAATGTGAAGTGTCAAACAGACGTGTTTTTAGAAGTTCTATCGAGCTCAGTAGCCGTACTTTCTAATAAGTTCCAATATATTTCTTCAACAATACTATACATGTTTCTTTGACGATATACTTTCTTTAAACCTATGATTTTTAAACCATCGTTGTCATTTTCAAAAAACTTACGATTTAAATTAAGGGTAATCGAAAGATAATTTAATTTTTGAAGAATTAGTTGCGCTAGACTATGTAATAAACAATATTTATTATACTTCCTACTTTATAAGAAACGCTTGTTGTACGTAAAGCATTAACGATTGGGATTTACATGTTATATTTGATCGTATAACGGTTTTCGGTAACTATGTTTTTTTCCTGTTAATACTGTAACACACATAAAACACGGACTCTTTTAACGTGAGAAGTTGTAGGTAGTATAGTAATAAACAAAAGCGGTAAACAAGTATTGTTGGCATTAGTTTCGTATAAGGTTTTGTTATCAGGAAGCGGTTAGCAGTTTACTGCGTGATTATTGATATAATATATTAACTTGTTTTTATTGTACTCATTCCTTATAGAGGATTTGTTTTTTCATTGTAATTTGGTTATGGCATTTTGGGTTCTGAAAAAGAAAGATGGTTGAACAGGTTCTGTTTAAAAGTTGGGCCTTGGCATTGGTGAGAACTAGTTTAATCGCAATAGCTTGCACTGGGAAATAATTGTATTGAAAAGTCATTAGTTACATTTTAACCAGGTCATTTGTATCCCAGCAAACAAATACTTTTTATCAATGATCCTGCTACCAAAAGAAATCAAAAAATATCTTTTAGACAAACAATTTAAAAAAGAAAATCCGTGGACTTCAATTTCTAAATCTTATTTGGCTTCTAGTTCGTAGCCAAATACGCTTTTGAAACTATAAAACTAATAACAACGTATCTTCTTCCATCCCATGTTAGTTTTATAGATTAAACATTTACGTTTCTATGAAAAAGTATTGTGATATATTACTAGTAACTTCAACTGTTCTTCCCAATAACACATATGTTAATTGAACAGATATAAATCTATTCTAAATATACAGGATAATTACTGTTTTACCTTTTAATTGTTTCTACTAAGTTTGTTTTATTGCTTCCACTTAATGCTCATCTGTAGTATTTTGACATCAGTAATGATTACTAAAAACTGCGTTAGCTTGTTTTTGACACAACTTAATTGAGGTTAATGTATAATAGTTTTGAAGGAATTCAGTGCTATCGCCGACGAATTAAAAAGAATTTTATTAGGGTGCTATGTCGTTTAAAGTTCTCCGTATACGAGTACGACGACTAGTGTTAATGAGTTAATAATAACTTAGTCTGTTATTACGTCGAAGTTGACTTATGTAGTTGTATTTAAATACGGTGTTTTTTGAGGGCTACATAGATAGTATGGAAAGTACAATACGACGTTTTGTATTTAAACTAGGGCTAGGACTAAAGCTAGGGCTCGGGTTTGTATATGCTTAGAGGTTTAGATACTGAGCTTACCTGCGATGCTTGTAGTTTAGGTACCGGCTCGTACTTGAATTCTAGATCTTTGGCTGCTAGTTTGTTAACTTTTTGTCTAACCATTAATAAGTTTTCTTACATATTGTATTTGCACTTGACCAAAAATGTGTAGCACATCAATAATAACCGGTTGTACAACATTAAGTGCAACCACAGTATTTTTTAAATACTTACGCTTTCAAAACAAAGGTTTTGGTTTGTGATTTATAAAATGGCTTACCACATATGATTAGCTGCATGTTTTAAAATAGAGTTAATCCTTAAGTTGTTCTGTCTGGTATATCTTCAATTGTTCATACTCTTTTAATTTTACTGGTAGGAGTTGTCAAGGCTAAACTTCTGGTGCTAAAGCTAAGGCTAGAGTTATAAATATGATTAGGGATAAAGCTAGAGCTAGGAATATGGTTAAGCGTAGGACTACGGTTACTTTAACAGGTTTGTTTTGTTTAACGTAGTGTTAAAATCATCTTTTTAAGAAAGTTAAAAGAATATTTCTATAAAAATGTTCACCTGCACGTACTTTTGCTAACATAATATGTAATTTAAAATTATTTTAAAGCAATGGAGGTGCAGGTGAGCAACATTAGTGATGCGTAGCTTCATTAATTATTGGTTTATCGGTTTTTAAACTCAAACTATTGCTTTTTATAGTTAATTAAGAAACATTTTATGATCATAATTGATGCTTCTCATGATCATTAAATTTATTCTTATCATAAACTATAGATACAAGTTTAACTGGCTAGATCTAGGTATACTGTTTCATCATGAAAACTGGGCTAGCACACAGCTACATATCTTTGAAATTTGTTCTTCTTTTTTCACTAGACCTATTATTATGTTAAAAATTGCTTGAATACATTACGATAATTAATAGTCTATACCATCTGCTAGCAACGTTACTATTGCCTTTTTTTCATAATACAGACTTGACACATTTTCTTAGAATGTGTGCTTTGCCTATGAGCATAGTATTGTCTCTACAATGAATTTATTTACTATTTGAACATTTAAAAGTGTTTGTAATATTTGATTGTAAACTTCACGTCAACCAAAAATTATATATTGTATAGTCTGTTTTACTGTAGGTGAAGCTTATTTACTTTACATTCTTCAAGCGTCTACAATTTTAGTTCGGGAGATGTAGATCAGATTAGTAGGTTGATGCCGTAGATTCTAACGTACTGCGCTGATGTGCAAGGATGTTCAAAATTCAGATGAAGACCAACGGAGCTATCCTTGAGTTTGACATTTCCCATAATTGGGCCTCTCCCCAGGTATCTCACTGTTCCTCGCGTCACTGAGTCGTGGGTGAGGTGCACCATAAGATTTCTGGCGTTCAATCATATATTCTTGTAGATAGGGTAGGGTAGGGTAGGGTAGGGTAGGGTAGGGTAGGGTAGGGTAGGGTAGGGTAGGATAGGATAGGTTAGGGTAGGGTAGGGTAGGGTAGGGTAGAATCGGACCGCACGCACCAATCTCTCTCACCACGAACAGCCTGATCCTTGGCATTCCGCCGCATCCCGCTCTCTCAGTCGATGATTGCCCCTTTATCGTTTCGATTGTAGGGTAGGGTAGAGAAAATCTAATCCAGGGCTAGGGCACGTAGTTTTGCTTGTTATCTACAGTAATTGTACACGTTTTGGGCTTAAACTACACAGTAAACGTCCCTGTTATGTGGCTACAAACTAGACAATTCAATTTACTTTGTAATTTTGCATTTTATTTACCATTTCAAAGTCAAAGATCTTTTTTATTGTCTCAGTTCATATTAATCCTATGATATAATTACATATATTGAGTTATTATGACTATGTTGCTTCCAAGTGTCTAGAATTTAATTTCTTTGTTTTCTACTACTGATGGTAGTGTAGTAGAGTAGTTCTATAATAATTGACATATTGCAAGGCATTTTTCAAAAATTGGGTTGTACTTACTATCTTCTCCCTCTTAGCCTTGCCCTTTTATAAGTTTAAAACAATGTGTTAATGACATCTTAACGTACTTTACGCCTATTATACTTTTTTCAAATGAAATTGAAAACGAACGTACGATATCTATTTACGATTGTTTTTATAAACATTAGGTATTCGTTTTGTATTTGTTATTGTGATTACATTTAAATATGAAATTGTAGTTGTAGCGTATACATCTATATTACATATGGGTTCGCGTAACCATGTTTTCTAATTTTAGGTAAAGATTGTGTAGTGTAGCGTGGGGTAGGATAACCTCTATAACTTTCCAAACAGCCCTCAGATACTATATAATAGATTTACCTCCACTATACATTCAACAATATATAATATAAACCGATAACGATAAGATCCAGGTATAAAGTATGTGACGTCCTTCGGACGTCCCAACTGTCTCGAGCCTGCTGACCAACTACTGACTGTTCTCTTGATTGATCGTCCTCTCCTTTTATCGTGCTGGCGATCGTACGCGGTGCGGAATGCCAAGACCATCATTGTCGTGGCGGGACCTGAATGGTGCGCTCGTGCGGGGTCCAACTCTGACTAGAACTTGGGTTACGGCTCTGGGCTAGGGCTAGGGTTCTGGGTTAGGGCTCTGGGCTAGGGCTCTGGGCTAGGGCTCTGGGCTAGGGTTCTGGGTTAGGGCTCTGGGCTAGGGCTCTGGGCTAGGGCTCTGGGCTAGGGCTCTGGGCTAGGGCTCTGGGTTAGGGCTCTGGGTTAGGGCTACTTTAATATTGCCATATTATATTTTATTGTATGTTCATTAGTAAACACAATATTAATTTTTAAAACTTTTCAGGTATAAAATGACTTTACTATACCAAAACATAACCGAAAAGTACGATTTCGACCCAAACACAACCTTATGGTATGTATCCATCCTTAAAATAACACCCTTCCTCAACATACCAGCTCATCTCTTTCTACAATACCTCGCCCTCTTTCACACCCCTAAGGGTATGGCAAACTACAAATGTACAGTATCTAACACTACCATTTGGTCTACTTTTGTTATCGTTTGGTACTGTGTTATACTAAAACCGGTACCATTGTTTCCCTACTGTGTTGGTATATCACTTGGGCCATCATGGTTAATATACGACTACTCATCAGCGATGGTACACTTTCAAATCCTAGTGGTACTGGCGACTAACTGTGTTACTGCTATGATAATATGCTTTTTTGTACTGATAACGTTTATCTTACAAGTGAGAGTAATGAGTGATATAACCAAGAAAGCCGTGGTTATCTTCGCCATCTGTTATCATATCACTATGACAGTTGGTACTCTAGTGGTACTTAACTATGTGTATGTACCAGACAAAACACTGGTCGATAAGTTGGTCGATACTTCTTTGTACAACGTGGTAGATACTGTTGATGGAGTCTTCTTTGGCTACGTACCTACAGTAACATGGCCATTATATTCGTTTGTCATCTTTACAGTATTCCTACCGTCTACTTTCCTCTTCATTGGCCTTACCGTATACACACTATACTCACTTCATCGTGTACTAGTCACAACACACAGTAGCAAGTCCAGATTCAGATGGAACACAGCACTAATGCTAGCGTCACGTACTATGAATCCCGTTATGTTACTCATCATACCATTAGTCGTATGTACTTATATGATTTTCATGGATCATCGTATGTTTAATGCTGGATTAGTGTGTGCTGCTTTGTGGGCCGTGCATGGATTGGTCAATGCTATAGCTACCATCTCGGTGTTTCAACCATATCGACATGTTGTTAAGAGAACATTCTGCAAAGCGTTGTACAAGGAGAACTATGTGTCGAGCAGGTAAGAGGTTTACATAATAATAAAGTCAGCACGTGGGCTAGCAGCAGTAGTTTAAGTATAAAATACAATAACGTTTAAGGTAAGGGTCTTACTGTAATCTCTAGTTAAATACTTGAGTAGAAGTTAGAGTAGGAGCTCAGAAATAGTTCACAGAAAGGACACGGTAAGATAGGGTTCAGAAGCGTTATTAAGGCTTTAAGTAGTGATTACAGTATAAACTGAAGTAAAATTTAATAAAAAGCTTACTGTAGGAGATCCAGCAAGACTCGGCTTACAATTAGGGTTACGGTAAAGCTAGGGGCTGTCATAGGAATTAAATTAGGCGTGAGATAGAGTCAGAAATATAGTTTACAACAGGGGCTAGGATAAGACCTCAGGTTGATAACGGTACGGCAGGTAGCGTAGGATATGTTAGGGTAGTGTAGGGTAGGGTAGGGTTGGGTAGAGTAGAGTAGGGTAGAGTAGGGTAGGGTAGGGTAGGGTAGGGTAGGGTAGGGTAGGGTAAGGTAGGGTAAGGTAGGGTAGGGTAGGGTAGGGTAGGGTAGGGTAGGGTAGGATAGGGTAGGGTAGGGTAGGGCAGGATAGGGTAGGATAGGGTAGGGTAGGGTAGGGTAGGGTAGGGTAGGGTAGGGTAGGGTAAGGTAGGGTAAGGTAGGGTAGGGTAGGGTAGGGTAGGGTAGGGTAGGGTAGGATAGGGTAGGGTAGGGTAGGGTAGGGCAGGATAGGGTAGGATAGGGTAGGGTAGGGTAGGGTAGGGTAGGGTAGGGTAGGGTAGGGTAGGGTAAGGTAGGGTAAGGTAGGGTAGGGTAGGGTAGGGTAGGGTAGGGTAGGGTAAGGTAGGGTAAGGTAGGGTAGGGTAGGGTAGGGTAGGGGTAGGGTAGGATAGGGTAGGGTAGGGTAGGGTAGGGTAGGGTAGGGTAGGGTAGGGTAGGGGTAGGGTAGGATAGGGTAGGATAGGGTAGGGGTAGGGTAGGGTAGGGTAGGATAGGGTAGGATAGGGTAGGGTAGGGTAGGGTAGGGTAGGGTAGGGTAGGGTAGGATAGGGTAGGATAGGGTAGGGTAGGGTAGGGTAGGGTAGGGTAGGGTAGGGTAGGGTAGGGTAGGGTAGGGTAGGGTAGGGTAGGGTAGGGTAGGGTAGGGTAGGGTAGGGTAGGGTAGGGTAGGGTAGGGTAGGGTAGGGTAGGGTAGGGTATGGTAGTATACTAAAAACTCATATTAAAATTTTAGTGCCTACCGATCAACAACCAAAGCTGCTCGAATAACCAACCGCGTTGACATATCAAAGTATTAAACTGTCACAACACACATCATTACTACGCCAACACAAATCATAAGATGGATGATGTATTTTTTTTGTTAAATACATATAGTATTACACACTTGATAATGTATTATTTTGTTATTGTTATTTTTTACTATGAAAAGTTACGTGCTAATAAAAAATAAAAAACTGATATTAGACTATTAGTACCACAAGATACCTTAAAGTAATAAAAATTGCTCGAATTAGGAAAACTAGTACCAGTAGCACTAATAAGTTACAAAATTGAGTATTCACTTTAAGTATTTATTCTCTAAAAGGTAAATTGTGTTTTACAATGTTATACTAGACTAGTAGTAAGACCAGGTATTTTGTAGTACCAAAAAAGTCGTTGAATCAAAGAAAGGAGTACCATTATTATCAAAATCTTTATTAATACTTATTAGTGTCATCTACATACAATATTTGATATGTTTAAAAATTTTCTTTTACAAAAACTAATTATTTTTCATCAAAAACCAACATTAAACTGATTATAACTTGGATTTGGGCATATCTCGTAAATGTTTCCGTAGGATCTTGCCTGACGGACTTCGTGGAATTTCATCAATGAACTCAACACCCCCTTTCAAATGCTTGTAGTGGGCCGTTTTGTCTGAAAATGGCGTTTATACTTGAGTTTAAATCTCAAGTTTAACACCCCACCCTACTTTAAAAAATATCTTTTTTTACCATACCCTTTCCTAAAAACCTTTTTTTCAACTCACCCTACCCTAAAAAATATTTTTTTACCCTGCCCTAACCTAAAACCTCTATTTTACCCTACCCTAAAAAAATCTCTTTTTTATACCCTACCCTACTCTAAAAAAAATATTTTTTACCTTACCCTACACAAAAAAATATTTTTTTCCTTACCCTACCCAAAAAAAATATTTTTTTTACTTTACCCTTCCCAAAAAAGATTTTTTTACTCTACCCTACCCTAAAAAATCTTTTTTTTATACCCTACCCTACCCAAAAAAAAATTTTTTACTCAACCCTACCCTAAAAAATATTTTTTTGCCTTGCCCTACCCCAAAAATACCTTTTTTATACTCTACCCCACCTTACCTTATTTAACCAGGTAAAGTAAAAAAATTTAAAAAGTCATGTCGTTTTTCAACCATAAAGTCAATGTAAATTAGCGACAAGACTTCTTCAAATTACAAAAAATCTTACCAGCCACAAATTTTTGAACTTCAGAAGCAGTTAGCGTCTTATTTCTTCTGACAATGAAGGCTTTTGGAAGTTCACCAGACTTTTGATTTCTCACTCCAATCACAGCAGCATCGGCAATCAAAGGATGAGATAGGAGAAGGTCCTCCAACTCGGCTGGTGGGACCTGGAATTGCATTTTCATAAAACTTTTAAGTAAGGAGGATATTATGGTAGAGTAGGAGTACGACTTGAATCGGGTAAGACAGGGTAGGATATAATAAGGTATAGTAAGAGTAAGGTAGAGCAAAGGTAAAACAAGGATAAGACCAAAGTAAGGCTATAGTAGGTTTTGAGTAGAGTAGAGTAAAGTTAGGATATCTCTACAGTAAAGCAAGAATAAGACTTAGGTAGACCTAGTAGGGCGGGGCTAGCGAAAGGCTACGTTGGGGTTAAGGAAGGGTACGGCTAGACTAGAACTAGATTAAGGTTAGGGTTGGGATATAGTAGGACTTGGGTTGGACTAGGCTAGATTAGGGCGAAGCTAAAGTAGGGCTAACGTAATGCTACGCTAAGGCAAGGGCTCTGGGTTAGGGCTCTGAGCTAGGGCTCTGGGCTAGGGCTCTGGGGCTCGGGCTCTGGGCTAGGGCTCTGGGCTAGGGCCCTGGGCTAGGGCTCTAGGCTAGGTCTTACCTGAAATCCCTTAACCTTGATCAATTCCTTCAATCTATCAACAACAAAGAAATGGCCATCTTCATCAGCATAGCCAATGTCTCCAGTATGCAGCCAGCCTTCCTGGTCTATCGTCGCTGTTGTCGCATGCATTTTATGCAAATATCCTAACATTATAGTAGGGGATTTGACACAAATTTCACCTTGTTGATTTGGACCTAGCTTCTTGTTGGTTTTTGGATCAACAACGATGGCTTCATTGTTGGAGATCAAGGCTCCGATTGAGGTCATTTTCTGGCCTTTGGCTAGAAGTGGGTCCATAAGATGGGACGCCATGGTGATTTCGGTCATTCCGTAGCCTGGAAAAGGAAAATTTAATGTTGATATTGCTTTAGGTAAGAAAGATTATATCAAAAATACTGTTTTAGGCTTAAAATCGGTTGTGAAAAACATTTTTATAGACAATTTGAAACCAAAACAAAGCATTCTTGTCCGTTTTTAAGCCTTTTCACTGCCATTTTTACCTTCTCACGCCCTGTTAAACTTTCACAATATAATATGACATACCTTGATATACCCCCCTGATATTAGGCAATCTCTTCATCAGCTCATCGCTCAAATCTTGACCCAACGGAGCGGCTCCTGAGCCCACCCACTTCACCGAACTGAGATCATATCTGTCCACAACCGGACTTTTGGCCATGAACACGACCATAGGTGGCACCACATGTACCAGTTGGATGCGGTACTTTTGAATTTGAGCGCAAAATACTTCTGGTTCGAATGAGCCCATTACTAGATAGGTACCGCCCGTGAAGATACAATCGAGCATTAGGAGACATCCGTAGGCATGGTAGAATGGTAGGACTAGTAAGAGGGCTTCGTTCTTCGGGTCGTAGTCTGGAGAGATGGATCGGTAGACGCAGGTTTCTACGAAGCTGAAAGGGAGAGGTATGAAAGTGCATGTATATTGTAGTACTTTATAGAAATGTAAGTCGTACTATATTATAGTACACAAATAGTACTATGAAGCAATATATTCCAATACTCAAATAGTACTACAAAGTATTTTACTATAGTACTCAAATAGTACCAAAATGTACTATATTATAGTACTCAAATAGTACCAAAACGTACTATATTATAATACTCAAATAGTACCAAAACGTACTATATTATAGTACTCAAATAGTACCAAACTATGTCATAGTACTCAAAAGTACTAAAAAAACCCTATATTATAGTACTCAACTAGTACTACATAGTACCATACTAAACTTACGTATGAAAGATATTCCTCATAGCAGACAAATTGTAATGCGAAATCATCACGCCCTTAGGAGCACCAGTAGTACCACTAGAATAAGGAATCAATGCCAGATCTTTTTTGACTCTCCAGTTAACTTTGGGTAACCTCTGAGAAGGCTCTTGCTTGATAACATCAACCAAATTGTATACCCGAACATCGCCAACTTTGCCAGGAGCAGTTTTACCTCCAAGTACAACTACTTTTTTGACTTTTGGAGCCTTTTTCACAGCGATTAAGACCTTGCTTAGAATGTCATGTTCACACACTACTAGGCTGGCTCCACAGTCCACGAATTGGCGGGTTAGTTCCCCTGCAAGAAGCGTCGTTATTAAATTTTTAATGTGAAATATAATATTTCAAGGCATTTGAAAAGTACTGTAGTTTCGTAAAGGTAATATAGGGTAAGATAGAGTAAGGTAAAATCAGGCACAGCAACGTAGGCTTCAGTAAACTACTGTAATATAATAGTCAGACCAAAAAGATAAGGCTAGAGTACGATTTTGTTTGGGTAAATTAAATTAGCATAGGGCAGTACAGGGTAATATAGAACAGAATAAGACGCGATAGAGTAGAGTAAGGCAAGTTAGGGTAACGCAAGGTGAAATAGGGTATGGTAGAGTAGAATATTGTAAGACAAGGCATGGTAAGGTAGGATTAGGTGGAACAGGGTATGGTAAGGCAAGGTACAGTAGGGTACGGCACAGTACGGTAGATGAAAAATATCAAACAATTAAAAAATTCACAATCAGTAAAAGCATAGCTCCCAGCACTAACAACTCCTCCAACCATAAGTGTACCAGTAAGAACCACTGGGTACTCCCAGCGGTTCTTAGTGACTAAGCACGTCACATCATCATGACCAAAGCCAATTTGATTCAAAAAAGCAGCGTAAGACTGGATGTGAAGATACATTTGACGGTATGTTACATAGTCACTTTCGTCTTTGGCATTTATCTGGAATGACATTTTAAGAAAAGTTTAAACTTCAAAAAAATTTTTTTTAAATTAAAATTTTTTGAAATTTTGTGTAAATCAGACCCACCATAGCTTTTTTGGACGGGTTTTCGATAGAATGCTTCCAAATGGCATCCAAGATCTGGGCTCCGACCGGTCGTTCGTCGATGGTGACTGTAGGCAGTTTCGATTTGAAAATTGTCATTTTTATAAACCTGAAATTTCAAAATTTTTAAAAATATTAAAATTTTTAAAAACATTGATAATTTTGTAAAATACGACTTCTTCAAAAACTTTCTCAAAATGATACCTAAAGATAGAAAAAATTAAGCAAAAACATTGAAGATAACGTCATTTCTATATACTTTTTGACCAAAAAATTAAAAAATATAAAGCAAAGTAAAATACGACATCATTACCTCGATTAGTGTGATATTCTCATTATAATTTACAGAGAAAGCACAATAATGATATGTACGTGTGACCATAGTGAAAAATAAAGTAACTATGTCGTATCTTGACCCGTATATAACTTTAACTTAGCCTTAACTTTATGCAGGACCAAGCGGGAACTTTTGTTCTGAAAGCGGGGTCCAAAAAATCGGCACGGGTACTTGAGCCGTTTTTTTGTAAAAAATTTTTGCCAAAAATCCACAGGGGTGACCAAGTTCAACTTAATTGGGGGTCCCCTTCCCCGTCCACCCCCCCTTCCCCAACGCCCGGCCCTGCCTTTAGCCTTACCATAACTTTATTTTTGCCTTACTTTTAGCTCTACTCTTGTTCTACTTATAAGCAAAACTTTACTTTATCTTAGCCCTACAATCGCCTTGGGTTAGTTATATTTTAGCCTCTTTAGCTTTTCATTAACCATAAATTAGCTTTAGTTTTATTTCACCCTAGCCTATCTTACCTCTAGCTTTGCCTTCAAGCCTTTACTCGTCCTATTTTTTCTTACTCTAATTTTAATCAAACCGTATTCTAAATTTTATTTTTTTTATCTTAACTTAGACTTACACTATCAGTACTATATTCTTTACCTATTCTTAGACATGCAGTACCCAAGTCCTGTATTGTCCTATCATTTTTTACATAGATTTTGTTTTCCGACTTCTCAGGCCAAAGGTAAAAATCTAAAAATAAAAATTTTGTCTTAAACCTACAACCCGAACACCACAAATTACAGTTTCACCTAACTATTACTTCGCGCTCCTTTTATTTAGCAGTCAAAAAAAATTAAAACGGCTTTCAAAGAACATTGATTCGAATTGATATTACACTACCGGGAACACTTTAACACCCCAACCACCCGGCTGACTCGATTCCGGTTATCAAAAACAGTTGTAAATAAATCCGCCGGGTTCGAGGCGGGTCAATAACAAGATTCGCCACAGACTTTGTAGCCGGCGACGCCAATCAATCCAAGATATTGGCGAAAAAATTTGCTTATTACATCGGCGAGATTTATTGCTTTGTAAAGCGTGTAGGCAAAGAATTCTTACCACGGCGATGTGTGTGGTTTATGAGAGGTGCAAAACGCCTAAAGTAACATACATTTTAAAAGTTTTAAAAAGTCTAAAGTCTATGCTAAGGCACAAGTTTAGGCTTAAGCTTAAACACCGGATCAGGATGAAGATCAGGATCAGGCTCAGTATCAGGCTCAGGCTCAGACTCAGGCTCAAGCTTAGGCTCAGGTCAGGCTCAGACTCGGGCTCAGGCTCTGGATCAGGCTCAAGCTTAGGCTTAGGCTCAGACTCAAGTTCATTCGCAGGCACAACCACAGGCTCAAAATCAAGCCTAAATTCAAGCTCAGGCTATGCCTCATGCTCAAGTTCAAACTCATATTAAGACTGAGGTACAGATAAGAATCTCAATAAACCTAGAGTTAAGACTTGGTCTAATAGTGAAGCTCAACTCAGTTTCGGATTCAAGCTCAGATTCAACATTAGACCCATACTTATGTTCATGCTCATTCTCAAGCTCTAGCTTTACGTTAGAATCAAGACCAAGCTCAAAGGGAGGTTTAAGCTCTTTCAAATAAAAAAAACTCAGACTCAAACGTGCGTTAAATTTGCAGTCAAGCTATTACTAAGACTAACCTCAGACGCAAGCTAAAACCAAGATTAACGTTAAGGCTAAAGCTCAAGCTAAGGTAAAAAAAGTACAATGTATAACATAAATCATCAGGTATTTACTGTTACACCCTTCGTGTAGAAAAAAAACGCAAGCGTTATTGTAAAAAACGATAAATTATTAAGACATTAACAAAAGATTGTAATTAATCGTACTTGAACGAAATTTATAACAGCTTATTTAACAAACTGTAATAAATTTTGAAAATTCTTTTCTGAAAGTTGTGTAAGATCACTGTTCAATAACAATCGTTGCTTGAAACTACAACAATTTACACTGCAATATCAAGCTTAAACAAGTAATCATTTAAGTAACATTATTTATTCTATATGAGCAACATGACTTTCTCCCTAACCCTGAATAATGAAGAAAACAAGTTAAAAACATTATTTTATAACAAATGTAGCAGTAAAATGAACCAAACAATTATTTTTTTTTAATTTTAATTGAAAACGACAAAAATTTTGTAGTAAAAGTAAAAAATAGAAGCTGATACACCAATAAATAAGCATCAATAACAACCTTGTTTACTATGTTACACCTTGTTTTGAAATACAATCACAGCGTATTCCTGTGTAACAAAGCTCGGAAATTTTAAAATTGTTTGTTATAAGTAGGTTTTGTTATACAGATGTTTTAAATGCACTGTATAGTTGTAGACAAAAGCCTAGTCCGTTATACAAGAGTTCATTATAGAGGAGTTTGTTATACAAAAGTTTTTTATAGAAGAGTTCGTTATACAAGAGTTTGTTAAACAGCAGTTCGTTGCACAGAAGTTCGTTATACAGCCCTCTAATACAAAAAGTTTCTTTCATAACAAGTGGCAACATTTACCATAATGTTTTCAATTCATAAAAAATTATCGCCTTAAATATACCCATATTACTTACCAGCCACCGTTTTACCGGATTTTACCTGTTGTTTGTTCAACAATTAAGATGAACAATTTTTAATTAACTCTAAAACAATTAGTCATATCGATAAAGATACATTCCAAACATAAAAGCTGAAAAAATTAGCTACTGTCAAAATACTGTCATTCTAAATTCGATTGACAGTAGTACATTCTTCCGTTTGTTATCAAAGCTTAGTTTTTGACATATTATAATAACCCTAATTTAAATGGCAAACCCTGATTGTAAATTAAAAACATAAATCTTACATTTTAAAAAAGTTACAAGGAAGTAACGAATGTGAAAGTTCATTAACCGTTCAGAACACCTATTGTTAAAATATTTTTTTTAAAGTTACAGTAAGAGTTTTGTTATACAAGAGTTCGTTATATAGAAGCTTCAATTTATTTATAAAATCCCAAGAGAGAGAGAGTGAGATGAACAGAGAAGCAAAGAAACGCTGTTTCGCTAATCGAGCGGCCTCAGTCAAAAGACAAATGAATGTTTTTACTAGTGGAAGGGTCAATGAATCGTTTTGTGGATAACATCAACTTCAAAATTGGTGGGCATGCCAGTTTTTTCGAACATTATTTTCTTGAAGACAAGTTTCTTGTTCTAAAGCTAAGGCTTGATCTAACACTAAAGGTTAGAACGTAAGGCTGGCGCTAACGCTAAAGCCAGAGCCACAGCTAAGGTTAGAGCTAAAACTAAGACTGACGCTAAAGCATGTGGGAAAAATGGTGCAATTTAAATTTTTCAAAAATGAGTTTCTGGCATTTTACTCAATACTCTACTTCTATACGTTACCATGAAATACTTCCTTTTGTTCATTACTTTTACTAATCAAAAACAAAAAACACAAATGATAGCCACTCAATCACCGAAGTAAGGCGATATAACAAATGAACACATTATTCAAATACCAATTGATAACACTTTACAAATGCACTTTTTAAAGGCAGTGTAAATTTATGTAAAAAGTGCACTTTTCATAATTCAGCGACTTTTCAGAATGCCACACATTGTTTTTTGACAAGTTGAGAGAACACGAATTGCAAAGTTGCTAGACTTTACACCTTTGAAACAATCTTTGTTCACGACTTTCTACGAATTGGTCAGATCAAAGAATGCAAACAATTTGGAAAGGTAGGACAATGTATGGTAGAACTAAAAAATAAATTTACTTTATTATAACATTTTCAATAAATACCAGTATGATATGTAAACCACCTATGAAAACAATGAAACTTCAAAATCAAGATAACACTGATGGTGATAAAACAGAAGCCATTAACACACTTTCCGTTAATACAGCCGGACTAGCCACACTAGGCGACAATATACCACCCCCAAGTGCTTGAGGTGATATAACATCCGGACACAATACATATGGACTTAGTATCAATGGACTTAACAAATATGGGTTTAGCACATTAGGTGACAAGACATATGGTGTTAGGATAAATGGTGCCATTACCAGAGGAGATAATACATAAGGTGATAGTAGATATGGCGACAATATAAATGGTATACCTACGCCAGGGGATAAGACGTAGGGTGATAGTACGGCTGGGTTGAGAATTAGAGGAGAGAATAGGGAGGGGGATAGTACTACTGGTCCAAGTACTACTAGACCGTAAGCTGGTGCAAACATGAAGGGTGCTAGTACGACTGGTGATAGTATTGAAGGTACTTCTAGAGAACGCTTTTGACGGGTTTGAAATTTAAAACGGTCGATTTCTGGGTCAAAACGGTCGATTTTTTGGTCGAAATGGTCGTTTTGCTGGTCATAATGGTCAACATTGAGCTTAGAATGATCAATATTAAATTTAGAATGGTCGATTTTGTTCCGACCAATATCAGATCGAAGTCGGTCGATATCAGTATCATATGTACTGATAGGCTTAACCGTTTTGTTATTGGCAATGTTTTCAATTGTCAACCATAAAGCTTCGAGTTTTTGAAAATGCGACAGGTTTTTGTAGTTTTTAAACTTTAAGGCCTCAGGGGAAAATTGAAATTCTGAAATTTCGAAGTTATAATATTTTAAATTAAAAAATTTAAATAAAATTTTTAATTTAAAGAATTTGAGTTGTTACCTTCTTTTTTATAAAATTGTTCTAATTGATTGTCGTTCAAAAATGTAAAACCATTATTTTCTAAATGATGAGTTTGTTTTGGACTGAACGTGCTTTCTAATTCTTCGTATATTGAAGCTATTTTTTCTGTTGCATCCGTTACTTCGTCTTTCATACCTTAAAAAGATATACTTTAATTAGATAATAGTTAGTCTTAAAGCGTAGGGGCAAAGGATTTGGCTTAGGCTTAAGGCTAGGTTTAAACTTTGGTTTAGGCGTAACCATGGGCATCCAGACATAAGCTCAGGTTTAAGATCAGGTTTAAGCTTAAGCTCAGACACACCCACAAGCTCAGTCTCAAGCTCAACCTCAAGCAAAGACTCAGGGTTAAGCTAAAGATCAAACTCAGACTCAGGCTTAAGCTCAAGATCAAGCTCAAGATTACTTGGCTGAGGCATAATTTTATGCTTAAGTCTAGGCTTAAGCTCAGGCTCAAACTTAGGTTCAAGTCCAGGCTTAGGCCCAATCCTAGGTTCTTAGGCTCAAGTTTAAGTTTATGCTTTGGCGTAAGCTTACTCTTAAGGCTCAGACGTAATCATAGGCATAGCTACTGCCGTCGCTGTACTAAATTCTTACTCATAAAATTGATATTATCCAAAAAAGCCACAGCTTCATCCACAACTTTATTAGCACCACTGAACTTCATCAATGCCGCCAGCAGAGCATCTCTTTCCGTTTTTCCAACTCCAGCTATTTTTAAAAGTTTTGGGATCGACGCAATGTCATTTTTGTCATTACTTTCATAGAACGACAAGACTGATGGTGATAAGCTCATATCAGAAGCACCTGACTTTTCTGGCATTACTGAAGCAATTCGTGGGCTTAAGATATTCAAATTCATGGATTCTCGAAGATTTTTGTGTTCTTGGCCACCAACTTGGTTGAATAGTGTCATTGCCATCTGTAAGAGGCCTTGAGGCGATCTCTGAAATTTTTTTTTCAAAAAATGTGGGAAATGTAAGCTTCTTTACAGTTCCGTTAGCGTGATAATGGGCTATACGTTATTTTACATTACAATTACGATAGCGTAGTAATGGGATTATACGTTACAGTTCGGATGGCCCGGTAATGTGGTATACAATCCTTTATGAGATACTACGCTGTACGATATACAATGCCACCCGCAATGCAAAACAATGCGATGTATAACAAAAATGGATGTTAACAATGGCAAACACTGTAAAATAGTCTATTAGCTTCAAAAACAGTAACAAAAATTACAGTAACATAACTTTTCAACTAAAAAAATCATTTTTGCTACAATGTTATTGTCAAGTGGTTTTTAATAGACTCTATGAATTCCTTGACATTACTGTGGGTGGCATACAAATTCTCAACATATTTCACATTTTTCATTAGTTTAAGTACAATATGTACGTATATGGCGCTGTTATGTACGATAGCATCATCTTTTAATTAGGATAATAGTTCTTTAGAGTCAGCGGCCGTTTTGTATTTATTTTATATCAGCTTTTATAAAACACTCCCCAGTCTGTACCCAAAATAACAATTTTTAAAATTTTACTTTGCGCTTTCTTAACCAAATTTACTTATATTTTATCTACAATCAAGTGAGTAGCTGTAAGATCAGATTTGATTTACACTTTTCGCAAATAAAATCTTTCGTTGCGGGACCTAAGTTTGGCTTCAAAGACCTTCATGTAGGCCTACCCGTGAGTCCGGTCGATCCCATTTTGCCCGTTTGTTTCAAATTATTAGGTGCCGGCATAAAGAACCCGCCATAATTTTTCTGTAATTTCTCGTATAAATAGCCGGTTCTTTATGTCGGCACCTAATAGTTATGGCCATTGACGAATTAGGCTTAGTCAACATATTAGAAGACTGATCAAGTATAACCTCAATACAGCTCTACTTTATTTCAACTTTAGCCTTGTTTTAAAGCCACGCTAGACTGCTAGCCCTACTCTAGCTTTACCTTAGTCCGTCTCTTGCTGTTCCACCTTCCTCCTACCCTAAACCTACCCTAGTTCTAACTAGCTCTATCTTCTATCCTTTCCTTATCACAGTCTTACCTTAGCCCTACCCTACCCTAGCTCTATCCTTATTTCTGGCCTTGTCTTTACCTTATCTTAGCTTTACCCCAACCCTATCATAACTCTACCTTATCTCTATCTTCTGCCTTATCATCCTAACTTACAATCCTTTATCTTTGCGTTTATTTAGAGCTTACGCTACAAGAAGGCATACCTAAAACTTACACTTTGTTTCCTAGTCATACTGGGTGTTTTTCTATCCAGCACAAGATCGTACATCCTCATTGAGTAAACTCTGGCTCCGGGCTCTTTTTCCTTTTCTTGAAAGCGTTGCTTTAGTTTCAGAAGACGGTCATAAGTTTGTTTCCATTCCACAGCCTTGTTCTTGGTGTTATCGGTAGAGTTGTCGGCAAACGATGACAGTAGGTTTATTATCTATGAAATTTGCGATAGTTGATTGCATAAGGGCAGTATAATATATTTCAGTACGATAGGAAGGTAGAGTAAGGTAAGGTAAGATAGGATAAGGTACCGTAAGATACGGTTGAGTAGGGTAGGGTGGTTTAGGGTAGGGTAGGGTATGAATATAAAAAACTTACCCTGTTAACATAGTTCTTGTCTTTAACATCTTTCAACTTTGTCAGCTTGTCAACAGTTTTTACCTGTAATATGTTAAGCTACAGATAAGTGTAGGTCCTTTAAAGGAAAATTACAGTGCGTTATAGTAAAATACGTCAAATTTTGTTATGAAGCAAAATTACAGTAACCTACAACAATCTTTTCTTTATTTTCATCACTTTCCCGTTCTTTGAATGTAGTGAACCTGGAACTTCTTTTCTGTCGATGCACTCCTCTTAGCCGTACTGGTCGACTTAACGGTAGAAATAATTTTTGTCGCCGTAGAAGGGCATATTTTGGCACTTTGGTTATTTTTATCTAAACTTCGTATGATTAGTAGTACCTTGGGAATTATTGATAAGTGTGGTAAAGTGGCACCAGAATACGGCCAGGGTTAACGTAAAGGATACGCTACAGCTAAAGTTTAAGTTGGGTAGGGTAAGGTAGAATAGGGTAGAATACAGTAGTATAGGATAGAGTAGGGTAGGGTAGGATAGGGTAGGGTAGGGTAGGGTAGGGTAGGGTAGGGTAGGGTAGGGTAGGGTAGGGTAGGGTAGGGTAGGGTAGGGTAGGGTAGGGTAGGGTAGGGTAGGGTAGGGTAGGGTAGGGTAGGGTAGGGTAGGGTATTAAAAATGCTGACTACCTTATGAATGTGTTGGTGAATATAATTGTTGAATGAAGGAGCATCTGTTGTTTTGTATTGCATGTGGATGTTACTCGTTTTGATATTGGTTTTGAGATCATTTTTTTTCTTATTAGTGTTATTAATGTTGAGTTTAGTGGCAAGATTGTGTCGTTTTCTAGCTTTAACAAGACAAACAGCACTTTGTTGAAGGTCTTTTTTGTCATCTATTTTGTTTAGACAGTAGGCTAGCTTCTGTTGATCAACTAGAACAGGAAATCATGATTATAGAAAGAGAGGAGAGAGGGGGGGGGGTTGAATAAAAATAGCTAAAAAATTTTAAAAAATTGAAAAAAGATATCTTACCATAGTTAAGCTCTTTGTACAAGTCCTTGCCCAGCTGACCCATTATGGCTTTTAAAGACGTCAAATACCAGTTGACGTGAATAGTCTTTATCTTTTCGTAATTCTTCTCTGTGATACGAACTTTGTCGTATTTTTTGAGCTTTTCATCTAAATTCAAAAAAAGTTAAACGTTAGTTAAAAAAAAATTTTTTTTAATGTAATACAAAGCATTTTAAAATTTCAATAATAACATCTGTAGCTTTAAAAACTTTTCTTACCTGATAAATCGGCTGAGATACGCAGTAAAACAAACGAAAAGAACAGTAAGCTGGTGGATTGCATCTAAAAAGGCTTAAACAAAGTGGTCAAGAAGTAAATAAGGATTTTACGAAAATTATTACATTAGAACTCTTGTATAACAACTCGCTCGGAAATTTTAAAATCTGTTTGTTACACAGAAACTTCGTTATATAGAAATTCGTTGTACAAGAGAACGATTATCGCTACAGTCAAGTAAAAAAACCCACAGGCCTAAAATTTAAATTACACTATATTACTAAACTGTAAAGACTAAAATGAAAAGTGAAAATAATCGGTTATGAAAATATTACTCATATTGTTCAGAACCTCTTAAATATAGGTCAAATTTAAACCTTAAAACAAAAACAAGCGGTAAACAGGGCATTTAACTGTGAAAGTTCAAAAACTATAACAACAATTATAATTATATTTCAACTAAGTATGCATGCAATCATCTATTCATGACAAATCATAAAGTAGAACTTATGAATACTGATTCAAATTTAAATGCCTTTAGAAGGAGGCCGTATTTCATCGGGCGAGTAAATGTGATTAAAGTCTTAAAATAATAAAACGCGTTCCTAAACGTTCATATAGTGCAAACGGGAGAGGGTTTATAATAAAAATGACCTTAAAGTTATCGCAACAGTAGGTCTAAAAAAGAATTTTATTACACAGCCCTACTTTAACCCTACTTTATCTCTATTCTAAGCCTATTCTAGTCTTACAACGCTACCCTCGCTTTCAGGGGCGTCTCGCTAGGGGGGGGGGTGGATCTACCCCCCCCCAGAGCCGACCCGGAAAAAAATTCCACAGGTAGCTGTGGACGAAAAAATTTTTTTTGGGTCTCTCCCCCCCCAGAAAAAATCTGTAGTGACGCCCCTGCTCGCTTTAGCTTTTACCTTTCCAATAGCCTTACCGCAACCCTCTACTATAACCCCACTCTAATGTCAACGCTAGCCATGCCCTTGTCCTACACTAACCCTGCTTTAGCCTCAAAAAAAAAACGTTTGAAAACCAGCCAGAGTACCACATACACTCATATTTTGACATGAGTGTATGTGGTACTCTTCGCCAAAGTTCAAACTTCAAAAACTCGAAAAAAAGCAAAAAATTACAGTAGCTATCCTACCCTACCCTACCCTACCGTACCCTACCCTATCCTACTCTACCCCACCCTACCCTACCCTACCCTACCCTACCCTACCCTACCCTACCCTACCTTACCCTACCCTACCCTACTTTACCCTATTCTATCCTGCTATACCTTACTGTATCCAAACGCGCTCTACCTTACTATGTTCTACACTACCGTACTCTACCCTACTGACTTCTACTAAATCATATCGTACCCTACCTTATCCTAATCTACCTCACTCTTTACTACTTTACCTGACCGTACAATAGGGTATTCTAGCCTATTCTGTTCTCCCAAAACCATTCATATCTTTCCCATTCATATCTTTCCTCCCTCTCCTATATCCTTACAGTATTCTTACCCTACCCACTTGTAGCCCTACCATAATTTACAGATATATCTGTATTAGGTCTCTAGGCTATGCCTCTCTTTCACAACTACTTTATGGCTTATATTACACACAATAACACAACAACACATTTACATGATCATCATGACGCACTAAACTCTAAAAACTTAAAAATTCAAAAAACATTTAAATTTATTCAAAAAGCCGTATAAACTGACAAGTGATATGAAACGGATTAAAAACCCAGTCAAACTAACTATTCCCAACCAAAATGAAGTTATTTTCCAAACGACTGCGGTATAACAGTGAAAGTGACGTGAGAAACGTACATACTGATTCGTATGTGGAACATACGTTAACAGTACCAGAATTGGCTAGGATTTATATTGACACTTGTATTAATGAAGAACAGCCAGAGCAGAGCGATGGATTAGGTTTGGCATTGGCGAGGTAAGAAAGAGTTTTTAAATGTTAGCTAGACTAAACAGTGAGCAAGAGCTCTGAGTTAAGATATTTTGAGCTAGGGTTCTCTGGGCTAGGTTTATCTGGCCTAGGGCTCTGGGCTATTGCTTTGGGCTAGGGCTCTGGGCTAGGGCTCTGAGGCTAGGGCTCCGTTTGGGGCTAAACATGAGGAATGAGCCAGGCGGGCCTTGACAAAACTTTAAGTAGGGCTAAACCTGAAAATCAAAGCCCGTCCTAAAAAGCCCAGTCCGTTTGCGCGTGAAAAAATCGGGTTGGGCCGGCTTAAGAAAAGTTTATTATAGAGTAGGCCAAGCCTAAGATTCAGGCCGGGCCCGTTCCCTGTGTCTACTCAAAGCACATGCTGGGTTTGGGGCTAGGACTCGGGATGAGAAACGGACCTTGCGCGTGAAAAAAAGATTGGGCCAGGCTTGCTTGAGGTAAAAATAAAGACGGGCTAGGCTTAAACAGTTTTTTTTGCTATGTCTAGAGAAAGAGCTAAGGTTAGGGCTCTGGGCTAAGGCTCTGGGCTAGAGCTAAGGCTTTGAGCTAGGACTCTGGGCTAAAGCCCTAGACTAGGGCTTTGAGCTAGGGCTCTAGGCTAACAATAAGACTCTGAGCTAGGGCTTTGGGCTAGGGCTCTAGGCTAGGGCTAAAGCTTTGAGCTAAGATTCTGGGCTAGACCTCAGAGCTAGGGCTCATGCTTAGAGCTCAAAGCTAGGACTCAAGGCTAAGGGTAAGCTAAGGCTTTTAATTTTCTTTTCAGAAAACGTCTAGAAACCGAAGGACCAAACCTAGTAGATGACACAAAGAAAAAGAAATGGAACTTCCTACTAAACAAACATTTCTACAAATTCTGGATTCTACTATCAGGTGCAACCATCCTCAACATCATTGCCTACATCCTAGAACAAAATGATGAGAAAGAGAACAATGCTCTGACCATAGCTACTGGTATAACCTTGGTCTTTGCGGTAGTACTAATGGTACTATTGGCATTTTGGCAAGAACGTAGATCAATTGAAATTGTCAACACGACCAAACGCTTCATAGGTACGTTCTGTTTTGTAGTACGCGACTGTGATACTAGATGCATATCAACCAAAGACCTGGTCGTAGGCGATCTACTTCACATTAATGCTGGCCAACGTATACCAGCTGATGTGAGGTTACTATTGGCCAATGGGTTATATATTGATGCCTCGATTATCACTGGCAACAAAGATAAGCAGATTTACAATTGTGAAGTTGCTGATAAAAAAACGAATGTCTTTGAAGCCAAAAATGTGGCCTTTCAAGGAACCTATGTCACTGATGGTGACGGACTTGGACTTGTTATTAAGACTGGCAGAAATACTGTAGGTTTTAAATTGTGTATTTTATCAACGTATTTTACAATTAATTTTGAAAAAACTATTTGTTGTTACAGTTTTCAACAAAAAAATATATTATCCAGCGTATAAGATGTCACCAGCAGTTTGCACAAAACAAAAAGTTGTTGTTTTAAGAAAAAAATGGCAAGAACTTTCTTTACAAAACAAAAAATGGCAAGAACTTTTGTTACAAAACAAAATATGGCAAAAACTTTCTTTACAAAACAAAAAATGGTAAGAACTTTCTTTACAAAACTTAAAATGGCAAGAACTTTCTTTACAAAACTTAAAATGGCAAGAACTTTTTTTTCATACTTGAAAATCTCGTATTTTAACTTAATTTTAAATGAAAATTTTAAGTTTTTTAATGTTTCAGTTTTTGGGTAACACTTCAGAAACACAAGATCACATTAGAAGATCCAGTTTATTGTCTAAGAACATCAAAGAAGCTGTGGATAACATTTCATACTGGGCTTTGCTTATGGCCTTGGCTGCTTTTATGATTGGCATGGTTGTTAATGAGTAAGTAAAGTGGCAAGAACTTTCTTTACAAAACAATAAATTGCAAGAACTTTCTTTACAAAAAAAAGTAAAAAACACGATTCATCGTATAACTTGTCACCCGCAGGTCGCAAATACCAAAAAACATATAAAATTAAAAAATTGTTACAGTACTCCAAATGCAATTACAGTACCCAGAAATTTCAGCTTCAACAACGTACTGTACTACTTTATCATCGGCTTTCTAGTAGTACTAGTCGCCGCAGTACCACAAGGACTACCTCCAACAATCATGTGCCATTTAGCTATTACTGCCAAACGGCTGTCACAAAAACATATTTGTATTCGAAATTTAGATGTCATTGAAGAACTTGGTGCGGCTACAGTACTCTGTACGAATAGAACTGGCATTTTGACGGAGAATAAGCTTACTGTAACTGATTTGTGGTACAGTAAGAATGTTCATAAAGGTAAAATACAGCATTAGAAATGTAATAGAAAACGGCAAGGACTTTCTTTACAAGGCTTAAAATAGCAAGAACTTTCTTTACAAATTACAAAATGGCAAGAACTTTCTTTACGGAACAAAAAATGGCAAAAACTTTCTTTACAAAGCAAAAAATCGCAAGAACTTTCCTTACAATACAAACAAGAAAAAAATATACGTCGTATAACATGTCACACGCAGGCCGCAGCCAACAAAAGCCTTTATTTTTCTCAAAAAACGCGGCCGGGTCCGTCTCGAAACAGTTTTTCGTCTGATCATCGGTATTTTTTACCTACTTATCGACTTGTTTGTATTATAAACTGTTACCTATTATTAAAAATATCATTTATCTTTATCATCTAACAGTTCATTACCTTTTTTACGTTTATTTTCGAGAATTGAGGCCAGTTTTTTAAAGCAAAGCATGGATAATATAATTCTTATTGTTTTTGAAGCGCGCTTCTCGAATCCAGAAGATGTTTTGGTATGTTTTTATTGTATTTTATTGACGTTTAGGTATTACTTTGAGTAGAAAAACGTTATTCATGGTTATTTTTACTTTCAAAGGTTCCAAAATGTTATTTAGGTAATGATCGACAACTTTTTTTCGTAGTTTAGTTAACAACCGGTAATAGTTCACTTTGTAAAGAGAGTTATAGTCATTTTTTGTTTTGTAAAGAAAGTTCTTGCCATCTTTTGTTTTGTAAAGGAAAGTTCTTGCCATTTCTTCTTGTTTTTCAATTATAGTAACTTAAAATTGTTACAGTACCTCTAACGAAATCAGCGATAAAAGAAGTCCGTAAGCATACGCCTTATGCCAATGCCACATTATTTATTATGCACTCAGTAATGGGTGTATGTAATCGTATCTTCAAGTTTCACGAACTGCCATCGTTTAACGTACGACAAGCCTTTATTCACAATGATAACATAGAAGCTGAAAGTACGGCGAGAAGTGTGCAGTTTCAAGCTGATTTAGTGACAATTTATAATATTAATGATGAATATATGGATACCAGGCATACGGCTGACTTTTCATTGGAAATGAAGAGGCATGGGTTTAATAGTACGGTGGATGCTGCCATTTATGGGTACTTGAAGAAGGCGAATGTCTCGATTATTGAGTTGGGACAGAGTTATAAGGTGAGTTACGAGGTGGGGAATGGTAGGTAGGGTTGGGTAGTGTAAGGGATATGCTAATGTAGGCTACAGTGGATGGCAAGGTTATGTAGAGCATGGTACGGTAGGGTAATGTAGAGTAAAATGGGGTAAAGTAGAGTAAAGAGCGGTAAAGTAGGGTAGGCACAGAATTACTTGAACAACCTAATACTATGTCTTTAAGGTAAAATACGTCCTCTTCATCTTCACATACTTATGTTTTTACAGTAGTATTAAAAGGGCTGTTTTTCGTAATATGATACTAAAAGCTTTAAGTTGTGGACAGGTAAGGTAGAGTAAGTTACATTAGAATAGATATTGAGTTCCTTTTCTTTTCAGCCAATTTTCGAAATTCCGTTCAACGCAAACCGTAAATGGCAGTTGATTGTAGCGAAATGTCAACGGCCAGTTGATAATTTCTTATATCCAATGAATGTGGAAGATAAAGATGTCTATGTAGTTATGATGAAAGGAGCACCAGATGAGATTTTAAAGCGCTGTAATCAGTTTACATACAATGATGCTGTAGTCAACATGGATTATGACTTTATTGCTCAGTGTGATGTGAGTTATAAGTTCTTGCCATTTTTGATTTTGTAAAGAAAGTTCTTGCCATTTTTGGTTTTGTAAAAAAAGTTCTTGCCATTTTTTGTTTTGTAAAGAAAGTATTTGCCATTTTGTGTATTGTAAAGAAAGTTCTTGCCATTTTTGGATTTGTAAAGAAAGTTCTTGCAATTCCAGGCCACAGCCGAGTCCTTTCGCCTAAAAGGCTGTCCAGTCATTGCCTTTGCCATCAAGTATTTTACATTGGAAAAGGATGTAAAACCCAAAAACCTAGATGAATGGGCATTACAATCAAACCTCATCTTCACAGGCATGGCTTCGCTAAATGATCCGCCCCGATCCGACACCCGCGAGGCAGTGCGCATGTGCAAAACGGCTGGGTTAAAGTTTTATTTAATCACCGGCGAGCACCCAATGTCAGCCTTGGCTTTGGCATGTCAAATCGGACTGGTCGATCAGGATATTGACAGTATTAAAATTGACTTTGATCAACCGGACTTTGAAGTATTTTATGGTACTGATTGGGCTGTGGTACGAAGTGGTACACTTCAGTCATTGAGTCAGGAGAAACTGAGGAAGTTGCTTGAGAAACCTTATATCATATTTTCGGAGTAAGTTTGATTTACTGTGGTAAAAATGGTTTTAAAATTTTTAAAATTACGTTTTTTGAAATTTTTTGTTTTGTAAAGAAAATTTTTGTCATTTAGGGGTTTGGAAAGAAAGTTTTCGCCGTTTTGTGTTTTGTAAAGAAATTTCTTGTCATTTTGGGTTTTGGAAAGAAAGTTCTTGTTATTTTTTGATTTGTAAAGGAAGTTCTTGCCATTTTTTGTTTTGTGAAGAAAGTTTTTGCCATTGTGTGGTTTGTAAAGAAAGTTCTTGCTATTTTTTCTTTTGTAAAGAAAGTTCTTGTCATTTTGGGTTTTGGAAAGAAAGTTTTTGTTATTTTTAGGATAACATCGGCCCAAACATTGCTTTTGGTGAAAGAATGTCGAAAAAACGGAGAAATTGTGGCTTTGACTGGTGGAGCGGCGAACGATGCTCCAGCTTTGTCAAAAGCTAATGTTGGTATCTCTTCTAAGAAGTTTAGTATGTTTTTCCTATTGCCTCTACCTCTACTTTCATCTTTATCCTTCCCTCCCCCCTTTGTATTATCACAAACAAGCCTGCAATACCCATTTTAGACCTGCAGTACTATTATAAAACGAAGCTTACAGTACCCAACCAAAATATAATTTTGATTTTTAGGCACAGACGTAGCCCAGAGAGCAGCAGACATTATATTAGAGTATGACGGTTTACCAGCGATTATTGAAGCCATTGGAGAAGGAAGAACTTTATTCAAAAATATGCAACTGGCCATAGCCTATACGCTGGCTCATCTCTTCCCAGAAGTTTGTCCCATCATTTTGAATTTCACTATTGGATTGCCGTTGGCTTTGTCTCCGCTACAAGTAAATTTTTAATTTTTTAGTCTACCCTTGCTTTATATTTGCCCTACTCTACTCTACCATACTTTACCCTGCCCTATCCTACCCTACCCTATCCTACCATACCATATCCTACCTAACCCTATTCTATCCTACTCTACCATATCCTACTCTACTTTACCTTACTCTCGTCTACCTTACCTTGCTCTATCATATCGTAGCGTACCGTACTTTAGCCTATCCTAACTTACTCTAATCTACCGTACTGTGTTGCACCGTATTTTATCTTAATTGGCTTTATGCTGTCATAATTGTGGTCTACCTCACACAAGCTTGCTCTGCTCTACCGGAACCTACCCTTTCCAAACATGTCATATTTTACTCTATTATGGTTTATTCTACTTAATCTTACTCTACCTTACCCTAACTTTGCTTTACTCTGCCTTAAACACACCTTCTCTTTTTTATGTATATTTAACCTATCATTACCTATCATATTTACAAACATATTTTTAGGTACTAAGCATTGACTTAGCATGTGAATTATTGCCTTCAATAGCATTAGCTTTTGAAAAACCAGAAAATGATGTTATCAAGTGTCCTCCAAGGTCACCAAAACAAAAAATGGTCAGTTATGGACTAATGATCTATTCCTATTTCTTCATTGGAGCTATTATCACATTGGGATGCTTCATATCTTATCTGACTGTTTATTAGTAAGTTTTTTTTCTATTTTTAGGCTAAAAATTATGTAAAATACGTGCATCTTGATCTTTTTTGTAAATATGCAAATTTAAACAATTTTTTTTTCAAAAACTATGCAAATTAAAAAAAATCAATTTTTCTCAAAAAATATGCAAATTTTCAAAAAATTGTACTTTTGCGCCAACCGGGATTCGAACTCGGGCCTCTGCCTTGGGAGGGCAGCGTCCTAACCACTGGACTACTGACGCCTTGAAACAAACGAAAAGCGGCAAAAATTAATGCCAACGGGTACCACGGATTCCCATGGATATGAGAAAAGGAAAGGCTTTATCAAATAAGACCAAAAATGCGTTTTTTATTTATGATATCAAGGAAAAACGGCCAAAAAACGTTTTTATGATACCTGAAACTGAGCCTCTATGACTGGCTTGATCTCGGAGTGGTGCAGGCTAAAGCAAACTTCAAGAGGGCCAGGCCAACTGATGTCGTCTCTAAGGCCGGGGCTTAAACTAGGACTTGACCTGTAGGCCGAAATATTGAGCTCGGCCTTTTTGCAGGTGTCGCTTTATAAACATTTTCCACTAGTCTAAAGCCAATTTTAGCTACAGTTTAAAAAAAAACTTTACTTAACAAATGCGATATATATATAATTGAATTTGGCATATCTCTAAGCAAAAAAAAATTTTTTTTTGATTTTTAAACGTTTTGGAAACCGAATTAAACTTTAAACTTTCAGTGCAAAACAAACTTTGAGTTATTAGCGTAACGAAGAATAATTAGAAAAATTAATTATTTTAGGGCGCGTAAACTTTTGCAGACACATTAATCTGAAAGTAGGGCGGGTTAGAATAGTGAAGGTTACTGTATGAAAGTTGGGAAGTGTAGGATAAGGAATTGTAGGATAGGGTAGGGTAGAGAAAGTTACGGTATGGTAGAGTAGGTTACAATACTCTAAGGTAGTGTAGGGCAGGATAATGTAAGGTACAGTATGGTAGGATAGGACAAAGAAAGTTACGGCAGGTATGGTCGATGAGGACAGGTTACGCAATGGTAAGGTCGGGTATGGTAGGGTAGAGTGAGTTACTTTACCATAGGGTATTGTGGGGTAGGCTAGGCTAGGCTAGGCTAGGGTAGGGCAGGGTAGGATAGGGTAGCGTAGTGCAGAGTAGGTTAGGGTAGGGTAGGGTAAGGTAGGGTAGAGTAGGACGTGGTAGAATAGGGTAGGGTATGGTAAGGTGGGGTCAAAAATAATTCGCAAAACATCCGCTTCTATATCTTTTACTGTTACCATAGCCTACAAACCTTATTTTAGTCACCACGGTATTCCACCATCAACCCTACCCTTTTCTCGAACAGATTTTTGGCATGGTGACGCCGAAAATCTGACTTCACCGTTAACAGGTGAAGTACTGTACGCTGAGCACCAACTCGAAGTGCTAGGCCAAGCTTCAGCGACCTACCAAGCCACATTGGTCGTAGCTCAAGTGTTTCATATCTTCACTTGTACCACTAAACGATCATCAGTACTACAACGACTACCTAGTGCAGCTCTAATTCTTACTGTAGCGGTCGAAATTGGCACTTTGTTCGTGCTGTTTAATATACCCTACGCTAGAGAGCTGTTGGGTGTGAGTGAACCGCCCTTGTTTGCATGGATTTTTGGACCGGTGGTTGGAATTGTCATTGTTGTTTTGACGGAAATACGAAAATATTATATTAGGCAGAGTCGAAAAGATAACTGGTATCATAAAATGGAGTTTTAAAATGACTTTTGTATAAATAAATTTAATAGTATGAGCTGGAAACAGTTTTTGACATGTTTTGTAAAGTTCGGGCCATACTAGAGAAAGCACCCAACATAATAAAGGCACCCACTGGTTTAAAGCACCCAGCAATATTTATTCAAATTTTATCATTATGAAACGTAGCGCTTTCGAAGAGCGGTGTAGAAGTGTCCAATTCGTGAATGGCGATTGTTTTAGCGAAAACTGAAAAAAATATAATAAGGTGCACGACTACTGTAACTAGATAGTTGGCCTCTATAACTAGATGGTTGGCTACTGTAACTAAGAAATGGGCTACTATAACTAAATAGTTGGTTACTGTAACTAGATGGTTGGCTACTGTAACTAGATAGTTGGTTACTGTAACTAGATGGTTGGCCACTACAACTAGATAGTTGGCTACTATAACTAGTTAGTTGGCTTTTGACTACTGAAACTAAATAATGGGCTACTGTAACTAAATAATGGGCTACTGTAACTAGATAGTTGGCCACTATGACTAGTTAGTTGGTAGTTGGCTACTGTAACTAAATAATGGGCTACCGTAACTAGATAATGGCTGCTACAACTAGATAGTTGGCTACTGTAACTAAATAGTAGGCTACTATAACTAAACAATGGGCTACTATAATAAGATAACATTAATATTATGGTAAAATCAAACGTATTCTTTAAATAAATACTAAATTCTTACCTGTTATCCATCTGTATATCATAGTAAAAGTCTTCATAAACTCAATAGAAGATGACTTCTTTGAAGGTGGTTGATCTTGGCCTAGGTTGTGAGGTAGTCGATGAATCCATGATCACCACGGTCAGATTCCATGCTGACCCGACCGTCTCACGCAGTCGATAAAATATGAATGACCGTTTTCAAAAAAGGAAAAACAACAAAATGAAATTGCAAGATTATGCAAAATTTGAATACTTTTGGGTGCCTTAAATAGGATAAAAATTGGGTGCTCTCATTAGTAATACTGGGTTATTTCTTTAGATTAGCGCCGAAAGTTCCTGCCATTTTTTGTATTGTAAAGAAAGTTCTTGCTATTTATTTTAAAAAATGAAAATTTTCGTTGTGCAACCTGCGGATGTCAAGTTACACGATGAAGAACTTTTTTTGCTTTGTAAAGTAAGTTTTTGCCATTTAAAATATATTTTATTAGCTTGACCTAAATTAAAAGAACTATTAAGCCTTATGGCTTTTTAAATGATTTCTCATTAATGTTTGAGCAAGGTCTCGTATTTTACACATGAAAATTAATACTAAAAATTTATGAAGCAAACGTTAATTGTAACCTGGCGCGCTTTAAATTATTTTAGTTTTTTGGAATTCTACCGTATTCTAGCAGTCCTTGCTTAAACTTACTGCAGCCCTAGCTCTAGTCCTAGTGATAGCCCAATTCCAAGCCCTAGTCCTACCCCTAACTCTAGCTTTAGCTCTAGTCCTACCTTTGTCATTGAGTTAGCTCTAGTCGAGCTTTACTTGTGTTTGGTGCTAGCTCACCCTACCTAACATTACAACACCTATTTAGTTTATTCTACTTTATCTGTGGCTGAAAAAATAACTGTAGTTTAAAGCAACCGTACTCTACCTTTTATCGTATAGTATAGTATAGTATAGTATATTATAGTATAGTATAGTATAGTATATTATAGTATAGTATAGTATAGTATATTATAGTATAGTATAGTATAGTATAGTATAGTATAGTATAGTATAGTATAGTATAGTATAGTATAGTATAGTATAGTATAGTATAGTATAGTATAGTATAGTATAGTATAGTATAGTATAGTATAGTATAGTATAGTATAGTATAGTATAGTATAGTGTAGTATAGTATAGTATATTATAGTATAGTATAGTATAGTATTGTATATTATAGTATAGTATAGTATATAATAGTATCTTTACCTAAAGTAAGGTACGCTATTTCTACTCAAAGTGAATTTTTTTTTGTAAAATACGATAATGTTTTTTTCGGTTTAAAATTATGAAATCTTTTTTTGAAACATTTATACCTAAACATCAAAAACCATCCGACAATTTTCAACTTTGATCTCTCTTCTGTAGCAAATCAAAGAAAACTCTATATTAACTTACTGTGTCACTCAAAAATGTGTCAAAGTTCAAGAAAAAAGTGTTTGAAACTTTGCGGAAGCCTAATCTCGAAAAGAAGCATTCTATATGATTATAATATTCGGGTGTCTAATGCGGTTTGAATAACGGAGAGAAAGATTAGCAGAATGGGGCCATCACCCGCCGCGCCCCCCTCCCCTTCAACGTCTAGCGTTATTGTAGGCGTTGTGCAATAGGTGTTGCGATATTCAGCGTACGATGGGGTTATGGGGCAAAATGTGTCATAAGTTTTGTCACTATTATTTTTGTTTTGATTTTAGGGTTTGGAAGATAAGTTTTTGCAATTTTTATTTTGTAAAGAAAGTTCTTGCAATTTTTATTTTGTAAAGAAAGTTCTTGCCATTTTTTGTTTTGTAAAGAAAGTTTTTGCTATTTTTTAGTTTGTAAAAAAAGTTTTTGCTATTTTTTTGTTTTGTAAAGAAAGTTCTTGCCATTTTTTGTTTTGTAAAGAAAGTTCTTGCCATTTTTTGTTTTGTAAAGAAAGTTTTTGCTATTTTTTAGTTTGTAAAGAAAGTTCTTGCCATTTTTTGTTTTGTAAAGAAAGTTCTTGCCATTTTTTGTTTTGTAAAGAAAGTTTTTGCTATTTTTTGTTTTGTAAAGAAAGTTTTTGCTATTTTTTGTTGTGTAAAGAAAGTTTTTGCAATTTTTTGTTGTGTAAAGAAACTTATTGCCGCTTTGTTGAACCACACAATCAACGGACACGTATTTTACCTAAAACTATATTTTTTAATAGCTATGTAAATTATTAGTTTTTTTCAAAAAATTGTGCCGGAATATCCAATAAAATCCTGAATTTTGTGAGAAAAAGCGTGTATAATGTCATGGATTTTGGTTCACTGTAAGCTTAATTGTAGGTATTGCGTTATTCGAACTGCTTTGTCATATAACATCTTTTTTCAAGGGGTCTCGGATTTTATTACGTGCCGACATAAAGAACCCACCATTTTGTGCAAAAAATTACATGAAAAGTATGGCGGGTTCTTTATTTTTAATATTTTTAATGTATAGTAAGGGCAGGACAGGATAAAGGTATGTGGAGATTGAGTAAAGCTGTCCTAGGACTGTTTGTCAAATATGGAAGGCTAGAGATACTGTAGGATTAGTAGGGTTAGGCTAGAGTAGGGCGTGGTAGGGTAGATTAAAGCAGGGGCGTTGCTATGGTTGTTCTTTGGGGGGGGGAGGTCACAAAATTTTTTTTGGATCCGCCGTATATACCTGCAGGGCTGGGGAATGGCTGGGGCAGAATTGGGCAAGCAATTTTGGTTTGGGGGGGGGGTGGGGGGGGGGTCGGAAGTATCTTCAAAAAAAAATTTTTTTTGTTTTTTTTTGAAAAACCCACAAAGGGAGGAGAGGGCATATTTATAATTTTTTAAGTTTTTTTTTCTGGGAGAGACGTACCCCCCTTCCCGCGTCCTCGTGGGAAGGGTAGAACAACGTAGAAAGGTGTGATCAGGGCCGGGCGCTGGGGGGGGGGAACCCTTCCAAAAAAATTTTTGAAAGAAGTTGGACGTGGTCCCTACTGTGCATTTTTTCGACCCCCGCTCTAGACCAAAAGTCCCCGCCCTCCCTTGGCTGTGATACTGTAAGTTTAAGAGTCCATTTGGGGTATAGTAGGGTAGCACGTAATTTACCAAAAAATGAAATTTTTTTATGTTTTTATTTATTCTCCTGTTTTGTTTTCGTCACAATAACAACACAGATCCTAGATAATACATAACATCATCCCTTACGTTCAATGTGTTATTCTCCATGATATCATCTCATTTAAAACGGATGATGGTAATACCTAAACGTTGAGTTCTACTTCGGATCAAAATCGTTTGCAACGGGCGAGCGATCACAATATTTGAATCCTGAAGGCGGCTTTCGTCGAACTCTGAACGATGAAAGTTTGTTCTCTTTGAATGTTTCATTTTTACCGCGATTTGTACCGTGACGCCCGCCTTTTGTCACCGTTTAAGTGTTGCCGTTGTTTGCTAAGCTAATAACTGTAGTTGACAAAAAGTGTTTCGTGCTTTGGATTGTTGTTTGCAGGGCCGGGCGCTAGGGGTGAAGGGGGGGGGGAGGACAGAGGAGGGGGGGGGGTGTACTCCTAGAAAAAAAGATTTTGAAAAAATTGAACTTGGTCCCCACTGTGGATTTTGGAAAAATGCAAAAAACTGGCATAGCTACCTGTTCCAATTTTTTCAACCTCCGCCCCCAGACCAAAAGCCCCGCCCTCAGACCAAAAGTTTCCGCCCGGCCTTGCATGTCGTCTATCATTGTCGGCTAGTCTCGGTAAAAATTTATGTGTAGGGTAGAAAAAGAAAGGTTAAAACATTTGAGGGCAGGGTGGGTTAGAATTACAGCTCAAAACATGGCAAAAACTTTCTTTACAACACAGAAAATAGTAAGAACTTTCTTTACAAAGCATAAAATAGCAGGAACTTTCTTTACAAAACAGAAAATAGCAAGAACTTTCTTTACAAAGCATAAAATGGCAGGAACTTTTTTTACAAATTAAAAAAGGAAAAAATTTTCTTTACAAAACAAAAAAAGTGGCAATCTTTACAAACCAAAAATGACAAGAACTTTCCTTACAAGTCAAAAAATTGCAAGAACTTTCTTTACAAAACAAAAAATGGCAAGAACTTTCTTTACAAGTAAAAAATTGGCAAGAACTTTCTTTACAAAACAAATTTTAAATATCTTTTTTTATTTTTTTTATTTTTATTTTAAATTTTATATTTATATTGTAACTATCATTTAGGTTCTTACTTTTGTTACACAACTTTATTTTTGACCGTTTGTACCCTCACTTAATGGTGAATATGATTGTTTCTGAAGATGTTTGAGCTTAGTTTCAGAGAAAAGTTTGCAATCGGAACAAGTGTTTGTTGTAGGTAAAAGGCTACCGGAACAAATCCCGCCGCTCATCACTTTGTATCGGGCTCAAGAAGAGTGTTGCATATTTAACAATGAAATGTAGCATCTGGCTACACTTAGTTGTTCTATTTGGAAGGATAGGCACGTTTTATGGGGATAGTAAGTTGATTTTCGGCTTTTTATGACTTTGATTTTATAGTAGGGTAGGGTATGGTTGGATAAAGTAGGGTAGGGTATGGTCGGATAAGGTAGGGTAGGGTATGGTCGGATAAAGTAGGGTAGGGTAGGGTCGGATAAAGTAGGGTAGGGTATGGTCAGATAATGTAGAGCAGAGTATGGTACGTTGAGGTTGGGCAGGGTGGTTACAGTAGGTCAAGATAGAGCAGGATAAGATAAATAGAGTAAGTTTATTTTCGGCCGTCTTGGAATGATTTTACGGCGTGGCAGAACAAGAAATGATTGGATACAAGGTGGCAAGGGAGTGCGGGGCATTATCAAAGTAGAGCGGAGTAAAGATAGAGTAGTAATGATGTACGTTAGCGCATTTTTGGGTAGAATTAGAAATACTAAAGCAACTGCTATGGGAAGGGGTAGGCACGGAAAGCTAAGATAGGGTAGGGTAGGACAAGACAGTCTATGGCGCAGTAGGATAGGTTAGCCTAGGGTAAATTAGAATAGGGTAGGGTAAAATAATGTAGGGTAAGATAGGATAGGGTAGTACAACTTCCAAATACAGTATTGAAACTATATTTTCATTTTTAGAGCAAATGTTCGAATTACATCCAGAATACATTGATCTGTTTCTACATCGAGCCAGCACCGTAGCTTTGTTTGAGGTAAGTACATTTTTTTGTATTCATGGTTAAGGTCAGGAAATTCAATGGGCTAGGGCTAGGGTTAGGGCTATTGCTAAGGCTAGGGCTAGGACTAGGGCTAGGGCTAGGGCTAGGGCTAGGGCTAGGGCTGGGACTAGGGCTAGGGCTGGGGCTAGGGCTGGGGCTAGGGCTAGGGCTAGGGCTAGGGCTAGGGCTAGGGCTAGGGCTAGGGCTAGGGCTAGGGCTAGGGCTAGGGCTAGGGCTAGGGCTAGGGCTAGGGCTAGGGCTAGGGCTAGGGCTAGGGCTAGGGCTAGGGCTAGGGCTAGGGCTAGGGCTAGGGCTAGGGCTAGGGCTAGGGCTAGGGCTAGGGCTGGGGCTTGACAAGGTAAGGCTAGTAAATGAACAAAGACTAAGACCAAAGCTAAGCTAGGCAAGGGTCAGGACTAAGGGTTAGTTTTGGGCTACGCCTACACTAGTGCAATATCCAGGGCCGAGCGGGAACTTTTGGTCTGGGGGCGGGGGTCCAAAAAAATTGGCACTTGCTACATGTGCCATTTTTTGCAAAATTTTTTTTTCTGGTGGTTTCAGGCCAAAGCCCGCAAAGAACTCCAAAAGCTCTCGTCCTCGGACAAAGTCTTATTCAAAGACTGTGCCACCTCGGCCAAGACGGTAATAGCCATGGCCAGGTGTGTGAACCGAGTATTAGATAAAAGAGACAAGTTTAATGACGAAATAGAAGAAACCCTACCCGATGACAACAATTGTGACTTTGACCAGTCGGACGGGAACTGGGTCATGGGATTAATGAGGAGTATCTACCGCACTTTCGGATGCCCTGAGGGCAAAAAACCAAAAATTGAAAAAGAAGATGGATTTAAGGTCAATATTAGTAAGTTTTTAACATTTTTTATATTTTTAAATTTGCAAACCGTATGGCTCATTATTTTTTGAACAACAAATTTAAAAAAAATTTTTTTTTATTTAATTTATCTTACCTTATCATATAAAAAGTTTGCGTACTTTATGGCTCATTCTTTTTTGAACAAAATATTTTTTTTAATTTTTTTGTTTTTTTATTTCACCCTACTCTACCCTATTTTACCGTACCCTACTTTACCTTACCCTACTTAATGAGTTTACATTTTCAGATATAACAAAAAACTCCATGCCTAAACCCATTCCTAAGGTCGTAACAGTACCAATAGTACCAAGGCAGCCATTACGGGTGAAAGACCGGCTTACGATGTATCGTTATAACCGTACAGCGCCTAAAATACGTCCTTTATCTACGACTAATTTTCAAAAACTTCAATTACCAGCTGAAGCTCAGCAAGCTCAAGATAGGACTGGTTCACAAAATGGGCTACATAGTACTGGGACTCTAAAAAATTTGCATATTGAAGATTTTCATCGTTCCGGGAGCGGGAAACATCGTTCTGAAGTAGAGGGTCACCGTTCTGAAGGAATTATTCAACGTTCTGGAGAAGTGAATCGCCGTTCTGAAGGATTGAACCACCGTTCTCAAAGTGTAAATGGTCGTGATCAAGAAAAAAACGAAGCAAATCATGCTCAATATAGTACCAATGCTCGACAAAGACACAGAAAGCTGTTTAATAATGCTGAAAGGATTGTCATGGGCAAGGATAGGAGTTCATCGGACGAGGAACGGCACAAGTTGGACATTAAGAAGCTGAAACGGCGGGAGATTAGTGAGTTTTACATTTCTTTACCTTATCTTGCTTTGCCCTGTCTTTGCCTTGCCTTTGCCCTGCCTTTGCCCTGCCTTTGCCCTGCCTTTGCCCTGCCTTTGCCCTGCCTTTGCCCTGCCTTTGCCCTGCCTTTGCCCTGCCTTTGCCCTGCCTTTGCCCTGCCTTTGCTTTGCCTTGCCTTCCTCATCAAGATCCTTTTCTACCTTGCCGTGTTTTGCCGTGCAATCTTTTATCGTAACTTCTGGTGCTTTACCCTGCCCTGCAATATCGGGCATTACCCTACCTTTTCTTCTCCTGTCCTGCCCTTCCTTGCTCTGCTTTCTCTTATCTTATCTTAACTTAAGTTACTCATTTCTGTATAAAAACGTAACTTTAGGACCCCCGCCTCCAGCCTATCCAGTGTCAAAACGATGTGAGGTGCCACACAATGTTGGACTGTTGAGGAATGTTCAAAGTTACTTTGACAAAATGAACCATGTCATTCGGTTTACTTACAAAATGGGCAAACATAACGAAAGGTAATACCTTTGTTTAAAATTGCAAAAACTTTCTTTACAAAACACAAAAGGGCAAAAACTTTCTTTACAAAACACAAAAGGGCAAAAACTTTCTTTACAAAACACAAAAAGGGCAAAAACTTTCTTTGCAAAAAATGGCAAAAACTTTCTTTACAAAACAAAAAATTGCAAGAACTTTCTTTGCAAAAAAATGGCAAAAACTTTCTTTACAAAACAAAAAATTGCAAGAACTTTCTTTACAAAACAAAAATAGCAAGAACTTTCTTTACAAAACACAAAAAGGGCAAAAACTTTCTTTACAAAAAAATGGCAAAAACTTTCTTTACAAAACAAAAAATTGCCAAAACTTTGTTTACAACGCTTAAATTTTTCAGATTTTTCAAAGAAATGAACGAAAATGTGGCGTTCCAAAATCGACCACCCAATGGAAAATCACCGTACGAAGAGATGCAGAAAATGATGCAGCAAATCGAAGAGTTTGATGACAAAGGAGTCATATCTATTTTGTCTCCAAAGCTCTTCAATTTAATGCCAGATCAACCTGATCCTGAGTCGAAACGATATATGTCACCGAACATGTTCAGCTTCCAGGAAGAGGGGTTTCTACCACTGCCTAAGTTGTTTCGGGTAGGTGTTTGAAGTGTTATTAGACGAGGTAGGTCTTAGGTAGAGCTTGAGTAGGGTCATTGTAGGGCTAACGTAGGGTATGGTAAGGCGGTGAAAGTAAGGGTAGGGTAAGGCTGGGTTGTAGGACACCGTAGGACTATTGTAAGGACTGGGTAGGGTAGAGCAGGTTAATGCAAATACAGCAAGAACACTGTATATTTAATCATTTAGTCATACATATGGTATGACTAAATGATTTGCTACTACAGATATGGTATCCTGCTACCGTTTTAAGGTTAAGACCAAATTAGAACACGGTTCAGAGCTTTTGTAGGGGCTACGGTATTGACTATGGAAAGGAAGTGTATGACTATAAATTGCATTCTATACCGGTTACTGTAAGGCTAACGAACGATTCAAATAAAAGTAATGCTAAAAACTACTTTAGAGGTAACGGTAGGGCGAGGGAATCATTAAAGCAAAGATTAAACTAGGGTCTGAGGTAGAGGTTACGGTAACTAGTTTTGAGAGTTTGTTAAATGGTAGGTGGGCTTGTATTAGTAAAGAGTAGGATGGGGTAAAGTATGGTAGGGTAGGGCAGGGTAAGGTAGGATAGGGTAGGGTAGGGTAGGGTAGGGTAGGGGAGGGTAGGGTAGGGTAGGGTAGGGTAGGGTAGGGTAGGGTAGGGTAGGGTAGGGTAGGGTAGGGTAGGGCAAGGTAGGGTATCATATAATATCATCTAACATCATATCAATGTCTTCAGATGAGTAACTCTGACGAATGTGAGACCCTAAAATGGCTCGACCTAATGTTAGACTTTACTGGTGGTACTCGAATTCTCAATGGTCATATGGAGAGATTGGGTGAGCATATGAAAACGGTCGATTCCACACTATATCCACGGGTTTTGGAGACGGAGAAAATGGAAGAACATTACGATTATGTCCATTCTTTCTCGACCGACGAGCAAAAGAAACAAATGAAAAGTGAGGGATATGCACCTTTGAATGCCAAACAATTGGAGTTGATGTATGGACAAAATGGTAAGATTTTGAATTAAATAGCAAAAACTTTCTTTACAAAACAAAAATGGCAACAACTTTCTTTTCAAAACCAAGAATGGCAAGAACTTTCTTTACAAAACAAAAATGGCAAAAACTTTCTTTACAAAACAAAAATGGCAACAACTTTCTTTTCAAAACCAAGAATGGCAAGAACTTTCTTTACAAAACAAAAATGGCAAAAACTTTCTTTACAAAACAAAAATGGCAACAACTTTCTTTTCAAAACCAAATATGGCAAGACTTTGTTTACAAAACAAGAAATGGCAAAAACTTTATTTACAAAGCCAATGACGGAAAAAGGTTGATCATCGTATAACATGTCACCCGCAAGCTGGTGCCAACAAAGTTTTTATTTTTCTCAAAGAACACGGCCTGATCTATTTCGAAACAGTTTTTGATACTATTTATCGACTTCATTGTATTAAGGGGGTGCAGAATTAAGTGAGCGGTCTTGTATTGAAGAGGCGCGGAATTAAGTGAACGACTTAATAGTATAAAATTGTATTTAGGTATTCTTCCCTCCTACAAAGTGGACATAAACGCTCATCAACAAGAGCCAGATGCCGTTTTGGAGAAAACAATCCGTCGGCTAGCCTCGTTGAGCGACGAAGAAGTGAAAGAAGTCGAGAAAATGGATTCAGACGCCGAAGCTTCGACGATACAACCGAACAAAGTAAATGAAGATGGTGACATTCCTTTCCGAACAAAGCGACAGGCCGTACGTCGGCCGAGTTTTTTCGATTTTCGAGATTTGGATCCCTTTGCTATTACTCAACGAATAGGCAATCCGAACATACTGGGACATTATGTGTTGTCACCATATGCGTTCTATCTACAGGTCTTCTCACCTACATTACTTAATGTAAGTTTCTTTAGTTTGTAAAGAAAGTTCTTGCTATTTGTTGTTTTGTAAAGAAAGTTCTTGCCATTTTTTGTTTTGTAAAGAAAGTTTTTGCAATTTTTTGTTTTGTAATGAAAATTCTTGCCATTTTTTGTTTAATAAAAGAAGACATTGCAAATTTTTTGTTTTGTAAAGAAAGTTTTTGCAATTTTTCGATTTGTAAAAAAAGTTCTTGCAATTTTTTTTTGTAAAGAAAGTTCTTGCCATTTTATGTTTTGTAAAGAAAGGTCTTGCCATCGTTTGTACTGTAAAGAAAGTTCTTGTCATTTTTTAATTCGTAAAGAAAGTGTTTGCCATTTTTTGCTAATATAACAATTTTTGTTTTGTACAGGCTGCTGGTGACATCTTATACGCTGGATGCTATATTTTTCATTTATTTTTAATTTTAAAATTTTTTTAAATTTCAAAACTTTCAGATGGAAATAATAAATCCTCGAGCATTCATAGCGACCATCTTCTCGCCAGTAGTACTAGTTCTCCGTGTACTATCACCATCCGCCTTCCGGCTTATGTTATTCTCCCCTCTGATGTTGATTGCCTGGGTAATGGTGCCAGAGGCATTTTTGGCCAAGATTTTCTCACCGAAACTTCTGGATGCCAGAATCTTGTCTCCAGAATCGTTTTCAGCCATCGTGCTTAGTCCAGGAGCTGGTGTTATGCGTATAGCATCACCTAATGCTATGAATGTGCTTGTCTTGTCACCATCCATCTTTACCTATGGGTTGTGGTCCGGTAACAGATATGTGGTACAGGTATTGTCACCTGGTTTGGTTGGTGTGGATCAACATCCTTTATTGAAGCCGTTGCCTTAAAAGTTTTTTTTTTTATTTTTCGAAAAAAATTGAAATAATTTTAAAATTTCAAAAAAATTGTACCAACATGGGAATGTATCCAACATGAAACGCTTTGAATCAGCTCAAAATTTCATCATGAATTCTTTGTACCATCAATAGTACTCATAAAAAATTTTAGCTCATGCTTTTGAGTTAAAATTTTTGAAATATTTGGACTTCCCGCCAATTTGGCATTGTGTTTCAAGCACTTTTTCTTACTTTCCAGACAAGCTACGCTTACAAATTTCAAAATGTTGGTTCATTTAAAGGTTTTCTACTAGTATATCAAAGAAAAATGATTAAAAGTCAAAAAATGACAAATCTATAAGCTTAAAACACAATGCCAAATTGGCGGGAAATTCAAAACGCATTTTTCAATTTTCTCGAGATTTCCTGGAAAGCGCGATTTTGTAGCATGCTGAAGGTCTTATATTTACAGGATCTTTCGATATAAAACGTTTGAAGTCAATCAGAGCGGAGCATGTCGGGTACTCTCCTTGTTCGTTGGCTTGGCCTTACTTTCCTTGCCAGTTAAAAATTGTTTGTCTAAACGAGTCGTGCTCAATAGTTCTCAGGATTTTTAATTATAATAACACTATTATATTACACATGCTAAATTTCATTTTTTTTAAATTTTCGACACTTATGTCATCTTTTTTTACGATAAGTTAGTTAGTGGCGGGTGGACTATTTTATACATACTTCTTTCTTGTGAGAAAGGGAAGGGGAGGGGGGAGGTAGAGAAAGGAGAAAGGTGCAATTTTTTTTTGCTAAATGAAGTTTTAAAAAAAGTATTGAAAATCGTCTTATTTTACAAATTTTTTAGAATAACTTTCCCCCCCCTCCTCCTCTCCTACCGTCATCCCCTCCCAATTCCTTTCCCGATTTCTCCTTCTTTCTGTGTTCTAACGTCCGGCCCTGATTTTAAATTATAATATTCATAGTGATCTATCTGGCTTGCAATCTCAATATGTAACGTATTATTATCCTATATATAACTTATTTATTGTAGTAAACTTAATAATAATGTTGATTAATAATAAAGTAATTTATGTAAAATACGCTCATTTCAACTTCGTTAACTCTACATGTTAGTTGTAACTTGTAGCTCTAGTTTTAGCCCTATCCCAGAGGCCTAGCCCAGAGCCCCATCCCGAGCCCTAGCCCAGAGCCCTAACCCAAAGCTCCATCCCGAGCCCCAGCCTTAGCCTTAGTTCCATCTTGAGCCCTAGCCTAGAGCCCTAGCTTAGAATCCCATCCCGAGCCCCAGACTTAGCCCTAGCACCATCCCGAGCCCTAGCCCTGACCCTAGCCCAGAGCTCCATCTCGAGCCCCAGCCTTAGCCCCAACTCCAACTCTAGCATTTTTTTTAGCCCTAGCCTAAGCCCTTACTTCAAGCTTTACCTAGTTCTAACCCTAACCTTGACCTACCATTCCTGTTAGCTCCCTTTGAAACACTTAAGATACGTTCAAGTACCCTAAACAGTATACCTAACTCGGTAACATGAAAAGTTTCGTTTCGTACCATTAATCCGATCCGAATTGCTCATTAAATGACAAAATAAAAGATTTTTATTACCCATTCCTTCTCACATGTGCGAATGTTTGATGGCAACATTCGAGATGGTTTTATGCGTTTCTTTGGTTATTTTAGGGTTTGGTTGATCTTGCGACAGTCTTTAGTGTTCTTTAAAAGTTTGAAATTTGCTTTTCTAAAGAATTTAAATTTTGAAAAAAGAGGTATGGTTAGGAATGTAATGTAGCTTTTGGAGCGGGGGTGGAGTTGGTGCCATGACAGAATGTAAGGATAGAATTTTACAGTGAACGCCATTTTTTAAGAATGGGTATAGCACGAGTAAGCGATGGTAGGATGAAGCAAAACAAGAGTACGGTAGGGTAAAAAAGTAAGGGTATGGTAGGGTAAAGCGGAAGTAGAGTAAGGTAAAGCACAGATAGGCTAGGGTAAAGCAATGATAAGGTACGATAAGTTAAAACAAAGATAGACTAGGGTAAAACGATGGTAGAGCGAGGTAAAGCAAAGGTAGGATACGGTAAAGCAAGGATATGATAGTGTAAAGCAGGAGTAGAGTAAGGTACAGCAATAGCACTGTGTAATGGAGCAAAAATAGGAAAAAGGGAAAGCAACGCTAGAGTACGATAAAGTAGAGGTAGGGTAAAGCAATATAGGTTAAGGTGAAGCGATGGTAGACTAGGAAAAAGTTAGGGTAGAATATGGTAAAAAAAGGGTAGGGTAGGGAAGGGTAGGGTAGGGTAGGGCTGAAATAATAGTTCAAACAGCATCATGTTTGTTTGTCTAATTCTTCCACTCATTTTGCATTTAAAAAAATGAAAATTGAAAAAATATCTTTTTTTGTTTGTTTTGGTGATTTTAAAAGTGTTTGCCTTTGTTCTATATAATGTGACTTTTCTCTAGTTTAAAGCCCACGCTTCTAGTCGTGATTTTGACTACAAACAATGTTGTCATAACGTCATTTTTACTTTTTTTATTGACCTGCCAAAAAGTTAGTAGAACAAATTTACAAAGCTTGATTGTATTTTTGTACTGCCATTTCTTAATAAACGTTAAATCTCTATGTTTACGCCAAACTTTTTACAATCGTTTTTTTTTTGTTTTGAATGTTATCAGTCCTTTCGCTGGCTCTATTTTCCGTTGCTGATAAGTCTTTCATCACCTATATGTTTTCTTTCTTTGAAGGGACACTTATCAGGCAATGGCATTCTCTCTTCCAAATCAATACAAAAGTTTTAGCGGTCGAGTGAGGTTAATTGTTTAGTTTTTATGACTTACAGTACTTTTTTGGGCTTCTTGTTTGCTTTTTTCGCCTTACCCTACTCTTATTCTGTCCTGTCTATTGGTGGCTATAGATCCTGTCTAGTACTAAAACCGGAACTAGGGCTGCAGTTTTAAATTTTTTGACTAAACTGGACTGATTTGAAAATGCATTTTGACCTGACCGAACCGCTTAAAATCTGGGATCGGACCGAAATGACAGCCATTTCTGGCCTTGCCCTAGCTTGCAATGCTCGAATTTGGTTTACCCTTCTCTACAGGCTATCCTAATTTACCCTACCTTACCCTAGCTTATCTTCCTCATTCTAGCTTTTGTATCTTACCCTATCCAACCCTGTCCTCTTCTACTGTAACCTTCCCTACCTTACTGTTCTAGAAAATACCTTACTCTACCTTCTATACACGAGGAACGCCTGGCCGGCTTTGACCCAAATGTAGGTTGGACCGGGCTTGAAAGTCAAAGCCCGGTCCAGTCCGAAAAGCCCTACCCCGTTTGCACGTAAATATGTGGGACCGGCTGGGCCTGAGCAAAGTATAGATTGGGCCTGGCCAAAAAAATGGGTTCTGTCCGTTCTTACAATTCTCACCTTACCCTTACCTAATTTTTTTTTGTTACTTTAACCTATTTTTCCTTACCCTACATTACGTCTTAAAAATTGAATATACCACGTATGTATTTAAGCGGTTCGGTCTGGTAAATGTATAACCTTTTAACACTAGTTACTTTTACTTTCCTATCCGAGTGTTTTGATTCATTAGAAATTCACTCCCACTTGGCCGCCCACCGTTACTATTTATTATTGCGAGACAAACAATGAGTTGGTGTATAAATACAAGTCAAAAAGCAGTAGTTAACAGTTGTACAAACATTTTTCTGTAAGATGTACACGGTTTTCAAAAACTTTATTTTTGTTGCAATTGCCCTGGCTTAGGTTTTCTTACTATTAAATTTTACAACGATGTTTTAGAGATTGAAACACTTATTATTGAAAAAAAAATCTTCTTAGAATTTGTTGTTGATGCTTTATGGAAGCAATAATCGGCTTTTGTCTTAGTTTCAAGCGTTTTCTTTTTTAGTTTTAACACGTTTTTTAAATTTTGATCTTTTTTTTCAAATGTTGTTTTTGAAATAGTATACTAGTTCATTGTTCTCACGGCTACATTTTTTGTCTTTAAAGGTTTAAAATTTTTTACGTTTTTTTTGTTTTTTTAACTTTTTCACCTTTAAACAAGCCCAAATTTTGCCTTACGTCCTTAAGATTACCTTAACTTTACCGCTTCCAATCATACTTTAGGCTTACTTTAAGCTGTCCCCAAATTACTTTAGGCCTACTTTAGACTTTCCCTAGCTTTTCGCAGTCTTTATTATAGCTTTATTCTTGTTCTACTCGCACTAACCAACTTTAGTTTTACCTACACCTTCCCTGCCCTAGTCGTACCCTTGCCTTATATACCTTAGCCAAATTAGCTATGTCTGCCCTAGACTTACCTAGTCTGGCTCTACCTAGCCCTACTTTACCCAGTCCTACCGAGACAAGCCTTACCGTTACCCTTAGGTTTCCTTATAGGGTAAAGGTATCTACTTTTTCAAGCACTATTTTTAGCCCTTTCTACTTTATTTCTACCTACTCTACTTTACCCTACCTAGTCTGTTTCTACTTATTAAAACACTACCCCACCTACCCTAGCCCTACTTAGTCTGCCTCTACTTATTCAAACACTACCTACTCCAACCCTTTATACTTTAGTTCTACCTACCCTACCTTACCTACTCTACTCCTAACTATTCCAGTCATACTTACTCTACCTCTATCTAGCCCTACTTGAGTTACTCTACCAAGTCTCACAAAGCAAAACTTTACCCTTAACCTTTAGTTCTTAAACTTGTAGAGTAAAGGTAACCAAGCAACATCTAACGAAATAACAATAAACGAAACAATGGTATAGTTTACTCCAACACGTGACATTATTATGCATCTTATTCGGAATAATTGGGGGAGATTATACTCTGTTTCCGTTTCGATTACGTTTGCATTTTTAAGAACTGTGAAGAGTTACATTGTAAATACAAAACAAGATTTGTGGTGGGGACCCGTAACTTGGCCGGGCCCATTTTTTGAGCCTTGCTTTGGACTACGACCATCGGGCTATTGTGTCCATGCCTGAT